CTGCTATGTATGACCATGTTCATTCTCAAGTTCTCTGAGGCCATGTGGTTCTGTTTTAATGAATGAAGACAACTCTTCACAGAAGTGAACAAAGAGTAGAGGTGTAACAGGAAAGCAGGACTGTCTCCTAAATGAAATATGCCCAGCAGGTCTATATCAACACAGGAAAAAATATTACCTACCTAATTATTTTCAAAACTTCTGTTTCAGAGAAACAAAAAAGCATAAAAGATTTATATTCAACAGCATGTTAGTACAATGTAATATAAATTCTCTCTCTTATTTTTTTGTGATACTGGTGTTTGAACTCAAGGGACTACACCTTAAGCCACTCCACCAGCCTTTCTTTGTGATGGGTTTTTATACAACCTACTTGCCTGAGCTGGCTTCAAACCTCAACCCTCCTGAACTCTGCCTCTTGAGTAGCTAGGATTACAGGTATAAGCCACCAGCATGTGGCTTAATTATAACTTCCTCTAAAGTTTATGGAAAATGTCCTTTTACTTTGGTAGTTGGAAGATACTGAACTCCATAAAGAAGGCTGAAATCCCAATTTGTGACCACTAGATCCATTTTCTTTTAGGTTTTATTTTAAGATGAAGTAACCTTATGTTTCACTGTATACCTGCAACCCTGTTTAAACTGCTGGTACTTCCTTTCACGCTAAAAAATGTTCCAGTTGATTGCAAACCAACTGATGACCTGAACAATGGCACAGGAATAAAGTGAGAAAATCCCTAGGTTTTAGTTCTGACCCATTTCCTGGACAGTAAATTTTTTTTTTTTGGTGGTATTGGAGCTGGATCCCAGGGTTTTGTCCATACTAGGCAAGCACTGTACTTACTACTGAGCTATACCCCTATCCCTGGTTTTTATGAGTCAGGATTGTGCTATGTAGCTCAGGTTTGGCAATGAACTTGCTCTATAGTCCAGGCTGGCCTCAGACTCTTGATTCCTGTCCCAGCCTCCTAAGTGCTGGGATTATAGGTGCCACCACATTTTTTTTTCTTTGTAGTTTTGGGGATTGAACCCAGGGCTTCGTGCATTCTAGGCACATGGTATACCACTGAGCTACATCCTCAGTCCTGAAAAAGGGATTTTACTTATTGAAGAAAAGTCATCTTTAAATTACTCTAAACTGTTAAATTTGATATTAACACTTTGGATTGAAACATACCTTCTTCCAAATTACAAATGGACTCCACAAACAAATGCTTAAAGGTCAATTCAAGTAGCATTTCAGGAGCTCACATGTACAATCAGTTGATCAGGTAACTGTTCAACTTCCCAGTGCAACAACTAGTTTTTTTTGTAAACAATAGCCAGATGCTAAAAATATGTCCTTGCAAACTACTATCTCAGGAGCTCACATGTACAATCAGTTGATCAGGTAACTGTTCAACTTCCCAGTGCAACAACTAGTTTTTTTTGTAAACAATAGCCAGATGCTAAAAATATGTCCTTGCAAACTACTATCAAAGCAAGAGGTCAGAAAGCAAGAGTAGGCACTAAAGGTAGGGTTCTGGGTGAGGTCCTTTCTGCCCCCTCTTTGCTCCACTCCTAGGGAGGCTGCTGTGGCCAGACAGCCAAATGGGAGAGTGTAGCCTAGGTTCAGTTTAGTATCTGGAAGATTCTAGAGATCTGTAGCATGACTAGTAGCATTTTCAGATTGTTCATTCACTGGGTGTTTCTTAGTGGGTCTCCAATGCATCTTCAAATGCTACTAACTTTTTAGGGTTAGTCAGACCTAGCTGCACCACTAGGTTATCTAGGTTATCTAGATGGCCTCAAAAAGAGGACTGGAAAAGAGCTTCTTCTTTCCAAGTAGCCATTTCTAGGTGGTCTTTTGCTGGGTGTTGTTTACTCAGAGGGCATCACCGATGTCCATCTTTATCAGGAAAATGATAACCTGAGCCTCAGCCCCATTTCGCCTTTTCCTCTGAATCTTCTTGAAGATATTTGTTAGCCCATTTCTGGCATCCTTGTCTATTGTGCTAGTTTTGGCACTGGCCATGGAAACAGATTTCAGGGTCCCTGCCACTCCTGATGGGGTTAGGCATGGCAGAGGTGTGCCTATGGCTGAGTCTTCTGAGTGCTCAGTTAATTACTCCATGGCCTCAGCCAACATGTGGTTCAGCTGAACGCCTCTGCTGCTCTTTTCTCCTGAAAGCCCATCAAATCACCATTATCTGCCTCAGAGCAGCTTCACTCACTTGCTGATCCTCATCTTCATCCAACATAACATAACATTTGCCTTCCCTCTTCAAAATTTTTATTTTCGTTTATTGAGACGGTCTCACTATATTGCCGGGCTGGCCTTAAACTCCTGGACAAGTGATCTTCCCACTTCAGCCACCAAGTAGCTTCAAGTTCAGTAGATATAAAGTGCATGGCAAAACATAAAGTGTGTGCTCCAGCATACATATGGAACCCAGCTGCAAAGACTGGGCATTTTTGGCTTTACAAATTTAAGAAAACTGTCAAATCACCAGCTGACTACCAAGCTAACAGAACAGAAATTTCAGTGACCACACACAACAAAGACATAATCTAAAAAAAACCCAAAAAACAAAAAACAGGTTGCTGAAATTACTGGACAAATAACTAAAATCCATAATAAACAATAACAAAGGCTGAAAACAGGGAAAAGTCTGATTTCCAGAGTTATCACATTGTAAATATTCAAAATGTCCGGTTGTAACTGAGTGTCAGGGGCTCACACCTGTAAGTATCCTGGTTCAAGGCCAGTCCAGGCAAAAAGTTTGTAAGATCCTATCTTAACAGAAAAAGCATGGTGGTCTACATCTGTCATCTCAGCTACTGAGGGAAGCATAAATAGGAGGAATGTAGTCCACGATGGCCTAGGCCGAGACCCTATCTCAAAAGTAACGAGAGCAAAAAGGGATTGAGGCATGGCTCAAACGGTAGAGTGTCTACCTGGTAAGTGCAAAGCCCTGAGTTTAAACTCTAGTACTGCCAAAAAAAAAAAAAAAAAATCCAACAAAAAAATAATGTGGCTTTCAAAGAAACAAGACAGTACGGTCTATTTATAAGAAAGAAATTAATGGAAATTATTCCTGAGAAAGCTCCGACATTGGACTTACAAAAAAAAAAAAAAAACCTTTAAATCAACTGTTTAAGATATAGTCAGAGAACTAAAGGAAACGATAAAGAACTAAAAGAAACAAGAATGATGTCTCACTAATGAGAGACATTAATAATTCTCTCAGCAGAGAGAATTAAAAAACAAACAAACTAGAGCTGGCCACCATAATCCTAGCTACTCAGGAGGCAGAAATCAGGAGGATGCTGGTTTGAAGTCAGCCCCAGGCAAATAGTTCTCAAGACCCTATCTCAAAAAAAACCATCACAGAAAAGATTTGCAGAGTGGCTCAGGCAGTAAGAGTGCTTTCCTAGCAAGTGTGAGAGGCCCTGAGTTCAAACCCTAGTGCTACCGGAAAAAAAAAAAAAAAAAAAAAAAGAGGAAAAATAACCTAAACAGAAATTCTTAAGCTGATTAAGTGTAATAATCAAAATGAAAAATTCATTAGAGGGGTTAAGCAGGCAAAACAATCTGCACTTGGAGGGGAGATGAGTCAGCAGGAATTATTCAGTCTGAGCAGAAAGACAAAAAGAATAAGAAAAAATGAAGAGACTAAGCTGGGTGCTAGTGGCTCGTGCCTGTAATCCTACCTAGGCAGGAGGTACAGATCAGGAGGATCACAGTTCGAAGCTAGCTCAAGCAAATAGTTCGTGAGACCCTATCTTGAAAAAGCCCATAACAAAAAGAGGGCTGGTGGAGTGGCTCAAGGTGTAGACCCCGAGTTCAAACACCAGTACCGCCAAAAAAAAAAGAAAGACTAAGAGAAAATGTTGTCAAAGACACTAACACAGGTATAATGGGAGTTAAATCTCTGGATCACATGGTTGCTTTTTTAAAACTATGAGCAAAATGAACCAAGCCTTGTATGCACATATGAATAAAAATAAAAAAAAAAAAACATACGATGGAGAAGAGACAGCCTCTTCAAAAAAAAAGAAAATGTTAATGAAACAAAACAAAACAAAAAAAACTATGAGCAATCAGATCTGGGTTCAATTCCCAACACCAGGAAAAAAACAACAAAAACCATGAGCCATCATCAGTATAAAGCTTGTGACTACTAATCTTTTAGGAATTCATTTCAAAAGGTAAGAGTGGCTGGGGTAAGTAAGTTCTTGAAGCAAATCAGGGCTAGGAGGGAAACACAACAGCTGAAAATAATGCCAGTATACAATTGTGCATACAACTAGATCTAAGAAACAGATTTCTACAGAGAACACGTAGTAGTGCAAGAGAGAATCAGTCTTTTGACTGGTCTTCCTATTTCCTACTTGATTCTTATAACATATTCTCCACACAGCAGCCGCAGTATGTGTCAGCTCACATCCACCAACCACTCTGCTCATCCTCCTTCCCCCAAGGGTTTCCTGTTCACTCCAAGTCCAATTGCTACACTGTCTACAAGGCCTACATGACCGGGTGTCCGGCTACCTCAGAGGGCTCATTTCCTACCACATCCCCTACCCTGCATGAGCCATCCAACTTTATTGTTTTGATCATGCTAGATACTCTTAAGCTTTTTGCTGTGCCTGACAGGGAATAAAACCTCAAGATAGTCAAATGGTTCCCTTCTTTATTTCTTTAAGGCTCTACTCACATGGTAATTATCAGCAAAGTCTTTGCTGACCATAGGACCTTGCCCCAACGCTGCTCTCTATTCTTACTTTGCTTTATTTTATTAATAGTCATAATTATCACCTGATGCTTTGCACATCTGTTTTTTAAATTTATTTACTGACTCTTTAACCTCTGCCCCAATATTATCTTTAAGACTTAACACAAACTTCTATTTAGTCACTGCTATACTTCTAATATCTAGAAGAGTGCCTAGCACAGAAGTAATTTAATAGATATTTATAGAATGAATGTTATTAAATGAAAAAGCATAAATACCTACCCAGAATACATGTCATGGGACAGGTCTCTTCCAGATTACTCAGAAACACTTCTTTTTTGTAGAACATTTTTGTAGGTTCATGTTCTGTCTCTTCTGGGTGAATGAAGATGGGCCCATAAAAGTATGCAGCTCCATCTCGAACCCATACTTTTTCAATTCTAGGGGTAGGGAAAACAGAGAAAGTACATTAATATAATTACATTCTTGAAGGATTATCTAGTAAAAAATTCTACTAACCAAAATGTAGTGTGTCATTTAGACATTTAGAGGAATTTCACTTGCTGGTTTCTTTTTTTTTTTTTTTTCATTTTTCTTTTATTATTCATATGTACATACAAGGCTTGGTTCATTTCTCCCCCCTGCCCCCACCCCCTCCCTTACCACCCACTCCACCCCCTCCCGCTCCCCCCGCCAATACCCAGCAGAAACTATTTTGCCCTTATCTCTAATTTTGTTGTAGAGAGAGTATAAGCAATAATAGGAAGGAACAAGGGGTTTTGCTGGTTGAGATAGGATAGCTATACAGCTGGTTTCTTCTTCTTTTTTTTTTTTTGGTGGTACTGGGAGTTGAACTCAGGACCTCACTCTTGCTAGGCAGTCACTCTACCATTTGAGCCATGCTCACAGCCCTTTTTGCTTTGGTTAATTTTTAGACAAGGTCTCACCTTATGCCTAGGCTTGGACTATGGTCCTCCTATTTATGCTTCACACCTAGCTGGGATGACACGTGTGCACTACCATGCCCAGCTTTTATTAATTGAGATTTTTTTTTTTGGGGGGGGGTTGTCTCAAAAACATTTTTGCCCAGGCTGAACTAGAATTTCAATCCTCCCCTCTCCACCTCTCAAGTAGCTAAAATTACAGGCTTGAGCCACTGTGCCCAGCTTTACTGACTGTTACTAATTTTTTTGGTGGGACTGGAGTTTGAACTCAGTGCTTTGTGCTTGTAAATCAGGTGCTCTACTGCCTGAGACACACCTCTAGTCCATTTTGCTCTGGTTATTTCAGAGATGAGGGTCTCTCCAACTATTTGTCTGTGTTGGTCTGGAATCATGATCCTCCCAATCTTAGCCTCCCAAGTAGCTAGGATTACAGGTGTGAGCCACTAGCAGCACCTGGCTCACTTGCTGTTTTGAGAAGACAGTTTCATTAATTCCCCTCACCCTTTTAGCATGTAAGAAGATACTGGGAAAAAGAAAAAAGAACTTCTAGCCTCTTATCTGAGGGGAAAAAAGCTTTAACATAGTATCAAGATTAAGTAGCTTAGTAGTTTTATCTGGCTCCGAGGTTTTCTTCTTGAAATGCACATGATAAAAACAGAACTATGCATCTGTCATTGAACTTGTGAGTTCCAAGAAGACACAACCTTCAATATCTGGGGTGAGATCACATGAGTGGCAGACATTCTTTTAAAATAGTGGTTTATAACCTTATGAAAGGTCAAGATATAGGAACCCTTCACCTCTTGAGAATCTAATGAAACCAGATACATTTCTCTCAGGGGGAAAATTAACATGTGGCTATGTGCCAGATGCTGCAATATTTCTCACAACCAACGCATAATGATGATATTATTGTCCCACAATCTTATGGTCCATGACATGAAGCAATGTTCTCATCTCAGTTAATAATTACTTCAACTTCAAGCTCACCAGGTCAATACACAGGAAATCACCCTTGACTGATCACTCTTTCAGATTCCACATCCAATTTATTAGAACTACCCTTGACAATCATGCTCATTTGAGCTGCTATCATTCTTGCCTGGATGTTTGCAATAGCCTCCTACCTATCAGATCTCATTTCTACCATTGACCCTTCAAAGCCTATTCTCAATAACCAGTAGTCAGAACACTCTTATTAAGCCCTAATGGTAATTCTGTACTTGAAAGAATTCAGTGACACACCATAAAAGCCCAAGTCCTCACAATGGTCTTTAGGGCCTCTGATTTGCATACTACTTTTTGTCCCTCACCTACTATCTAAGTTATGCATGGCTCACTCTGCTAGTAACAAACTTCTGGATTGAAAATGGCTATTCACTCTGCCTGGAGTGCTTTTTCCCTGGATATTCATAATTCTCTTTGTTTCTTAAGGTGTTGGTTCAATTGCCAGCTTCTGAGTAAGGCCTATATAGACCTAGTTCTGACACACTGTGCTCCATTTAACAGCATGTATCATGATCTAACATACAACTTTACTTACTCAAAATGGTTATTGTTTGTCTTCCTACTAGAAGAAAGCTCCATGGAATTAAGAATATCTGTTTGCTTTATTCATTAATATTTCATCAGAACTTCTCATAGTGGCAAATGGTAGATGTGATAAATGATTACTGAATGATGAGCAAATATGTTCTGAAGAAACAGAAACCTAGGGAGATAAATCATTTGCCTAATGACATGTAACCAGAGCAGAGCTGGGTTTTAAACCAAAATCTCTTGGAATCAACTACTGCTGTTTTTAAATTTTTATTTATTTATTTTTTTGTGGTACTAGAGATCAAACTCAGAACCTTTCCCATGTTAGGCAAGTGCTCTACCACTGAGTTACACTACCAGTCCCCAACTGCTGATTTCTCTTTCTTTCTTTTTTTTGTGGTACTGGGGGGTTAAATTCAGAATCTTGTGCTGAGTTCAAGTGTAGGCAGGTGCTCTGCCACTTGAGTTCCACCCATAGCTCCCAATTTCTGCTCTTAATCATTCTCCTCTATTGCATAACCCTGTACCTGATCCCTTTATTGCTATTTTTGCCATTCAATCTTACTTCCATCCTTTCATCAACTCACCTGTTCATCAAATATCTTAGCTTCTACTATGTTTCATGTACTATGATTTGAGCAGAGGATACAAAGTCGAGCAAAAAAGAGTTCCTTTTCACAGGGCATTCAAAGTATGGAAATTCAAAGTATGGAAACTTGACAATAATAGAATACCAATATGTGATATATACTCTGAAGGGAAGGAAATATGTGGTGCTGTAGGAGTGTATAACAGGAAGATTTAACACAGTCTGGAAAAAAGGCTTCTTTAAGAAATGCCATTCCAGGGGCTGGGGATGTAGTTCAGTGATTACGTGTTTGCCTGGCATGTACAAGGCCCTGGCTTCGATCCCCATTACTGCCAAAAAAAAAAAAAAAAAAAGTAAAAGAAATGCCATTCCAGCTGGTGCCAGTGGCTCATGCCTATAATCTTAGCTACTTGGGAGGAGGGATCAGGAGTATCTATTTGCCCAGGCAAATAGTTTGAGAGACCTCATCTTCAACACAACCATACCAAAATGGTTCAAGTGGTAGATTGCCTGTTTTGCATGTGTGAAGCCGAGTTCAAACCCCAGTCCCGCCAAAGAGAAGGGGAAAAAAAAAAAAAAAAGTGCCATTTCTAATTTAAGCTAAGGACTTTACCACACAAAGTGGGCAGGGAGATTTCTGAGCTGAGAGTAGCAAATGATGGGAGAAAAATAAAAAAAACGGGACCCCCATAGGAGGAATTTAAAGAAAATGTGATTAGAGATGAAAGCAGGGCAAATGTGGTATGAGAGGAAGCTGGAGAAATTGCCAGAGGAAAGACTTTTGCCTTCATCATAAGCATGATGGAGGTCTACTGGCTCCAAATTTCAGAGTCAACCTCATCTTCCCTACTTCAATGACATTTACCTGCCTACACGAGGGCGCACCAGGCCATGGGACTTGATGAAGACACAGTCGCCAACCTTCAGCCACATGTCATTGTAATGAAGCTGCTCAAAGTAGTGGCAACCAGGCTCACCATTGGACATTTCCACAGGAACATCTTCTTTTTCCTGTGGTAAAGAAAATGAGTTGAACAAAGACAGCTTACAATCATGAAGTAGACAGAAAAGGAAAGGAAGGAAAGCAGAATTTCCTTTACATTAACTTCTGTTTGAAGTTTTGATGAAAGGAAGCCAAAAACTCAGGTGTTGAAACCAGACTTATCAAATACTGTATTTACTTTAAATAAACAATTTAAATAAAGTAATATTACCCTAATATGCTTTCATACTCTCTCTCCCTCCTTCTTATTCTCATAGAATTCCAGAAAAACATACTGGAGGGACTTATCAGCATTCAGAAGCAGACAAATTCACACACTATTATAGAGTATAAGGGACAAATTCTAAGCTTCCCCTTTATTTTGTATTTACTAAGTTTTCTTTTTTTTCCCTCCCTCTTCCTCTGACTTTCTTTCTTTCTTTTTAACCTCTTTATAAATTCAGTCTACTCAGCTGGGTACATGCCTGTAATCCAAGCGTTCCAGAGGCTGAAGCAGGATATTGCTGAGTCTGTGCTACATAGTGAAACCCTCAAAAATTGATACACACACAAATTCAGTCTAATTAATCTCCTACAGTGGCAAAATTCATATACTTACTTACATTCTGAAAAACATGCTTTCTTTTAACCCCTCTTGGATCCAGAAATTAAACAAGTTGGCCCTCATCTTGCCTACTCCATCTTTCTAGTTTTAATCACTAATTAAATTTCTAGTGGAACCCCAAAACAGGGAACCCTCTAGACCAGGGAGTCCTTACAGCACAGAAGCACCTCAAAAACTCATTTCCGGATCAGATGGGAAAGAGAAGGAGAGCAGATAAACTCTAGGATACATGCCAAAGTGACAGGCTTAAGTCCTCTCTGAGAGGCTTAACTGCAACCTGCTCCTCTCCATGCCAGCTCCACATCCCTGGGAAGGTAGAAGAGCACATGCAGGGGATGTGGAAGCTGCCAAGGACCCACACCAACCCAGACAAGGAGGAGGAGGAGAGTCCAGGCCATATGCTTCCCTCTTTGTCAGGACGTTTCCCACTGACCCTCTGCCTGCAAAGGGCTCACTGATTCTCTCTTTCTGGTCTCTTCTTATCCATCCCTAGGAAGTGCACTTCTACTATTATCGGCAAGTTAGGGAGGAGGAAGAGAGTTAAGAGAGCTTGGTGCCTTCCCTTGTTCCCCACCATACCTCTTCCCTTTAAAAAAAAAAATAGTCCATACATATCTATATATTTGCATCATTAGCATGTCGTTTGTACAGAATGGATTTCATTATGACATCTTCATACATATATTTATCTTTTGATCACGTTCACTCCTCATTATCCTCTTTTATCTCCCCTCCCCCTGGTCTTCTTCCTTTTCCCAATAGTCCCTCTTCTACTTTGTCTTTTTTTTTTTTAAAAAAAAAGTAGCTTCTGCATGAGAATACATGTGATATGTTTCTGCGTCTGCCTTATTTCATTTTTAAGAGGATCTCCAGTAACGTCTATTTTCCTGTAAATGACATAATTTCATTCTCTTCCATGGCTGAATAAAAGCCTCCTAATTTCTTAACATTAACTGACAGATTTAAACTTTTTCCTATTTTGATTTATTCAAATATGGACTGGAACAGTATAGCCTCTTTGATATAAACATACTCTTTTTAAATAAATTACTGAGTTTGCCACCTACTACCTGCTGTGATATTGGACGAGTTACTTGGCCACTAGTGGCTTAGTTTCTTATTATATAAAACAAAGATAATGACAGTATGCCCACCAGATGGGGTTGTTAGAAGGCTTAAATGATATAATCCATGAACATTGTATTAATAGTACATAGAACTATTAATACAATGAAATGTAAAAACTTTCCTAATTTTGAACAATCACTGCATTCCTAGAATGAACTCCTCCTTGCTTGGCCACATTGTTCCAAAAGAATTAATTTGATTTTACTTACAAAAATATTTTCCCCCAAGTTAATTTTCACAAATTAGACTGAGTTGTAGTTTTTTGCTTTTTATTTTGCCAGGCTGTGGAATCCAGATGTCAGGATTTCTAAAATGAATTGGGAAGTTTTCTTTGTTCTTATGCTCTGAAAGAGTTTAATTAACATTGTAATTGTAGTAGTCCCTCAAAGAGTTAAAAGAATTCATATATGGAAGCTCAATGAGGTTTTGGGTTAGCTCTTTGACACTCTCAACTTTTTGTGTTGTCCGCTTACGTGCTGTATCTCTTTATCTTCTTGATTTCATTTTGGTAGTTTGTATATCCAGAAAATTATTCATATTATTCAGGTTTTCAAATTTATAAGAAATATAGTCTTTAAACTTATTACACATTTTGTGTGTCTGAGTGTACCACACCTCTTTGTTTTCTTTATTAAGATAGAGAGGGCCAGGCATGGTTGCATAAACTATAATCATAGCACTTAGGAGGTAGAGGCAGGAGGATTTAGGTTCAAGTCCATATTCCTAGGTTACATTGTGACTAACAGGCTACTAGCCTAGATTACATAGCAAGATCGTGTCTCAAAAAAAAAGGGAGGGTAGCTGACAATTTAACTCACTGGACTTGTAAAAGAATTAACTCTTGGATTTACTTTTATAGCTGGCCATTTATTTTACTGGACATTTAAAAGAATTTAGCTCTTGGTCTTAGTTTTCACTTTTATTTTATTGTGGTGCTAGGGATTGAACCCAGGACTTGAACATGCTAGGCAAGTACTCTACCAATCCCAAGCCCCTGAGTTTTCTTTTAAATTCTATTTTTTTAACCAAAAATCGTATGTTCTCCCTCATACGTGGACATTAGATCAAGGGCAAACACAACAAGGGGATTGGACTTTGAGCACATGATAAAAGCGAGAGCACACAAGGGAGGGGTGAGGATAGGTAAGACACCTAAAAAACTAGCTAGCATTTGTTGCCCTTAACACAGAGAAACTAAAGCAGATACCTTAAAGCAACTGAGGCCAATAGGAAAAGGGGAACAGGTACTAGAGAAAAGGTTAGATCAAAAAGAATTAACCTAGAAGGTAACACCCACGCACAGGAAATCAATGTGAGTCAATGCCCTGTATAGCTATCCTTATCTCAACCAGCAAAAACCCTTGTTCCTTCCTATTATTGCTTATACTCTCTCTACAACAAAATTAGAAATAAGGGCAAAATAGTTTCTGCTGGGTATTGAGGGGGGGGGGAGAGGAAGGGGGCTGAGTGGGTGGTAAGGGAGGGGGTGAGGGCAGGGGGGAGAAATGAACCAAGCCTTGTATGCACCTATGAATAATAAAAGAAAAATGAAAAAAAAATAAATTCTATTTTTTTTTTTTTTTGGTTCATTTTGAGACAAGGTCTCGCTATGTAGCCCAGGCTAGCCTCCAACTCACAATCCTTTCTTACCTCCCAAGTACTGGGATTACAGGTATGTGCCAACACACCCTGCTCATTTTTTTCTTTCCCTTCGTTCACAATTAAGGTTTTATATTGTCTATCTTTTTTTCTGACTTAAATACTTTATTAATGTTTTGGAATAGATACTTCGAGGTATAAAACTCCTTTCTATGTGAGTGTTATCTACATACCTTTTCCAAGTTGAAACTGTCTTCAGCTCGATTGTCCTCTGAGTTGTCTGTATTCTTCTCATCATCCCCTTTATCTGCATTTGCAAATACAGACGCCACTCGGACCACAGGCAGGGGCACATCACGAGGGACAAACCTAACTGAGCTGATGGGCATGGTCCACAGTTTAATTTTCTTAAAAGATTTGGTTTTGGCAGAATACCGTGATTCACAGACAAAAACATCCTCATCTCGAAAGTTTTCTGGGCATAATTTAAAGTATTCCTGGTGGGGTATAAGAACAGTCAAGTAAGTTTTCTGAAAATCAACCCCCAAGATAAAAAGCAAATACAAATTAATCAACTAAAGTTTAAACTTTAAAGACTTTTTGGCAAAAGGAGTAAACAGCTAGAGAGCTAGGAATACTTCCTTAGCTAGAGAACCGATTTATTAAATATAAACCCTTCAGGTTATAAACATAGACAACTCCATTTAGCTTATGGATTGCCCTTTGAAAATAAAATACTAATATTCCATATAGTTACAATGTGCCTTAAAGTTCTGGACAGGACTCATGTACTTCTATCAGAGAGATACACAAAATGTATAACTCGTTACCTTAACGGCAAACTGATAATTTATAATGATTATCTCTTAGAAAGCATCATCTTTAAAAAATGAGTCTTGCACTGGGAGTAGTGGCTCACAACTGTAATCCCAGCCACTCAAGAGGCAGAAATTGAGGTTTGAAGCCAGCCTGGGCAAGAAGTTTAAGAGGCCCCCATCTCTACCAATAAAAAGCTGAGCATGGTGGTATGCACCTGTCATCTCAGCTACACAGGAAGCTTAAATAGGAGGATGGGGTCCAGGCCTGCCAGGGAATAAAAGCAAGATCCTATAACTAAAGCAAAAAAGGGCAAAGGTGTGGCTCAAATGGTAGACATCTGTCTAGTGTGCAAGGCCCTAAGTTCAAACTAGTACTGCAAAAAAAAAAAAAAAAAAGAGAAATATCTGGCAGACTGGGGGAGCATGGCTCAAGTGGTAGAGCTTTTGTTTGGCAAGCACAAGACCTTGAGTTCAATCTCCAGTACTTCCAAAAGATAAAAAAATAAAAATAAATGAATAAAACAAATAAGTAGAAAAGTCTGGCAATATTAAAATATTAAGTTAATTGTATATATGTAAACAGTATAGCAGCAAATGCTTTTCAAAAACATATTTAAAACAAAACAAAACATATTCAGGCTGGAGGCATGGCTCAAGTGGTAGAGCACCTGCCTAGCAAATATGAAGTCTTGAGTTCAAACCCCAATACCACCAAAAAACCTCCCCCACATATTCAAGCTAATTTTTTCACAAATAGTTATACAGATATAACTTAAACAGAGTTTAAAACAGAGTTTCTAATTTTGTAAATAATGGTTTTTGTGTTTTTAAAATTTATTCCCAGGGAATGATCAACACTTTTGGAATTAATAAGCTTCTTACCTTGACAAACATGACCACACATTTGCCTAGAATTTTACTAACAGGAACTTTATTGTAATAGTCACTCTTAAAAACTTCTTTTTCTAGAAATTTTCGTGTTGCCAGGTGGAATGTTTCATTTGGCCGATAAAACCAACAGCCATACAACCACTTTTCACCTCAAAAACACACACAGAAAGAGAACATAATCATTAACAGAAACCATGCATTCTCTGCAATACTAGGAATATTCCATCAAGCCATTATGCCATGGAATTTTTTAAGCAATAATTTTTTAATTACCTAAGAAGAAATAATACTTTAAAATAACGAAGTAGAAGAAGGCATAAAAACTGTCACTCTCCCCCTCAAATTAAAAGACATGTAACATAAAAAGGTGATGCGACTTGCTCTGGTCAATACACACCCAGAACTCTGTACTTCAGTAGCAATGTAGATATAATAAAGGACATATTTAGCACTCAGGTGAAGGAATCCACAAGTATTTTAGTAGATTGGCAGTTTTATTAATTTCTATTCATTGCCCATGTCTCAACTTAAAGGCTATTTTTCTTTTCTTCCCTCCCTCCCTACATCCCTTCTTCCCCATCCTTTCTTTTTGAGACAGGGTCTTACTATATAGCCTAGGCTGGCTTCAAATTCATGATTCTTGTCTCAGCCTCCTGAGTGCTGATTTCAGGCGTGCTCCACCACACCCAGTTTAAAGGTAATTTTTAAGGAAGTCTTTTAAACAACAAATTCTAAGCCAAGGCACGCACGTTTCTACAATAATTGCTTTGTGATCTTTACTACAGTGTTTTTTGCCAGAGAAAAACATAAGCCTTTTGTTCTTCTGAATCTCTGCCATCCTACACAGTTTGGCTTTAACCTTTTTTTCTTTTTGTGTGCTGGAGAGCAAACCCAGGGCCTTGTGCATGGTAGGAAAGCACTCTATCACCAAGCCATATCCTCAGCCTTCAAAGTGCTCAGAGAGATAGATAGATAGATAGAGAGAGAGAGAGAGAGAGAGAGAGAGAGAGAGAGAGAGAGAGAGAGAGAGTGTGTGTGTGTGTGTGTGTGCGCACGTGCGTGCTGCAGTACTGGGGTTTGAACTGTAGGGCTTTGGGCTTGCTAGGCAGTTGCTCTACCACTTGAGCCATGCCTCCAGCCCTTTTTGCTCTGGTTATTTTATTTAGCAGTACTGGGGTTTGAACTTAGGGCCACTCTGCCAGCCCTGCTCTGGCTATTTGAGATAAAGTCTTGCTTTTTTTGCCTAGGCTGTCCTGGACTATGATCCTTCTATTTTATACTTTCTGCCACAGCTGGGATAACAGGCATGTACCACCACTCCCAGCCTTTTCTTGTTATGATACGATTCTCAAGAATTTTTTACCTAGGATGGCCTGAAACCATCCTTCCATGTAACTGGGATGACAGGCATGAAGCCGTGGCTTCAAAGAAGTGTTTTTAGTGAAGGTTTTTGTTTTGTTTTGTTTTGGATACTGGGGATTGAATCCAGGTCCTTGCATATGCCAGGCAAGCACTCTACCACTTAAGTCTTGGCCCCCAGACACAATGTGTGTTTTTATTAATATCAGGTAAATCAATGAGTATCAACTAGACTTTAAAAAGTTGCATCTCTTCTGACTCTGCCCAATAGTGCTAGATCCTATATTTTTCATATTGTGGGTGCTTAATTATATTTATTGATTCACTAAACAATTATATTTACTGACACAAAGAGAACAGCTATTGTTGGAAGACATTAAATGTGAGTTAAGATTTTGTTCCCTGAAGAACAAGGCAGAGAAAATAGCCACATCTCACCAATCAGTTCTTACCAGCTGAATCTTCCCATAGTCTCTCAATACAGACTATATGCGGTTGTAGGTTGGCCTCAGCAGGTTCCACATAGACATAATCTCCAACATGGTACATACTGTTCTTAAAGCTGCAGTCCTGGCTGTATGTGCGATGTAAGACTGAGAGGCCTGTAGCACCCGAGGAATCTTCACTCTTTTCAGCTTCTTGTGTTAAAAAGGGAAAGAGGTACTCACAAAAAGATGTTGGAATCAGACATATTCTAATACATTTAATTCTTTTTTTGAGATAGGGTCTCACTATGTAGCCTAGGCTCCTTCCCAGTGCTGGAATTAAAGAAGTAAGCCACTATGTTACATTTAATTCTTTTATGACATTTAAAGGGGCACATAATGAAAAATAGTATGATTTTCACATTTTCAATAGTCTCTACCCAATATTGCCCTATTTTGGGGATGGGTGTCTAGCTATGTTGTCCAGTCTGGTCTCAAACTCACAGGCTCAAGACATCTCCCTGTCTCACCCTTCCAAGTAGTTGGGACTTACAGGTGTGTGCTACCACATCCAACTTCAAAATTGCCTTCTTCAGTTATAACCAAATGCAATTAATTTATGTAAGCATGTAAAGATTCTGTAGACAAAATAATCACCTCAATAGTTCAGAAAGGAAATAGAAAATTAGTCATTTATAAATCCTGTAATTCTACAGAAAAATTTATGATGTACTTCCTCTCCATCCTGATGTTTGAAATTATTTTTTCTAATAGTTATTACATGTATATGCTACAATTAATGGAGTTCAGAAATGAAAAATATGGAATATGTGTATCGTACAATGACTATAAGCAATAAACACATACACTTAAGTCACTTAGTATACCATGGAGATTTCCTTTGAGATGAAATGCTTTTTGACAACTTATTTTTTGTTAAATAAAGCTTTTTTTTTTTGGCCAGTACTGGGGTTTGAACTCAAGGCCTTGTGCTTTGCTAGGTAAGTTTTTTACCAATTGAAGCCATGCCCCCAGCCCTTAAATAAAATCTTTTAATGGTTCTAATACAAGCTATCATTTGTTGTTGTTAGAATAATGCTTTGCCCACATCTTTGATAATTTCCTTAGGATAATTTATGGTAAAGAGCTGGGAAAAAGCATTTTAAATGTTTTAAAGTGCATACTGTAAATCTCTGAAAAGTCATAGCAATTTAAGTTCCTCACTGTTTGGGTGAAGGGAGTCTATTTCTCTGCTCCCTCTTTAATACCAGCTTTTGCCAATTTTAGTGAACACCGTTATCTAGTAGTTGATTAACTGAGCAAATCCCTGAGATATACAAAGCAGGTCCAGATGGTTCTTGAGAATTTTATACCAGTAGACATAGTTGGCTGCACTAAAAGGGGCAGAAAGAGTACAAAATGAAAGAAGGCTGTCTAACTCTCCACATTCTAGAAACAGGAAACAGCTGAGAAAACTACTCAGCTGCAAATACCTTCTGTGAAAACAGATGATTCTGAGGGCAGAGAGCATTGAGCCACAGAGGACTGCTTTCAGATCTAGAAGCCCAGAGGGGGTCTGTTCAGGTGGATTTCAAAATTGCTCAGAATCGGTAACATTCTCTTTAATCTCTTCTTTTTTGAATAGAAATATATGTAACTGTTATCCTTCACATGTCTCAATGTCTTTAGAGCAGAGGACATTTGATTAGTTTTAGAAGTCCACAGATAGAGAGGAATTGCGTACCAGGACGGATCATACCCTGGTACCTATACAATGAATTTAGATGGTTTAGATGATGAGATTTGGGACTTCTGGGTTGAGGATAATTAGATAAGATTTTGCTACTTATTAGAGGGATGCAGCTGTAATAAAATACCTAAAAAGCATGCAAGTGACTCTGGAACCTGGCAGTAAGCAGACTGGAAAAAGTTGAGAAGCATGACAGAAAAAGCCTATTGCCTTGAATAGACTGTTAGTAGAAAAATGGGCTGCTGTTTTAGTTATCTTTGTCATCCTATTTCTTCAAAGTGTTCTTTAATTCTGTATTCTAATTTTTCTGTTTCCTGTCATATTTTAAAAGTTTTATCAAGATGTAATTCATACAACACACAATTATTCACTCACTTATTCATTCACTCATTCATTCTTGTTGATTTTTGGTTTTTTTGGTGGTATTGGGGTTTGAACTCAGGGTCTTATATTTGCTAGGCAACCACTCTACCACTTGAGCCATGCCTGGAGCCATTTTTGCTTTACTTAAGTAGATGAGATGACAGATGCGTGCCACTATGCCCACCTTTTTATTGGTTGAGATAGGGGTATCACTTACTTTCTGCCCAGGCTGGCCTCGAACTGCAGTCCTTCCATCTCTACCTCCTGAGTAGCAGGAATTACTGGGGAGAGCACTTATCTGGTTTGTTTTGGTTTTCTTTTGAGACAAGGTCTCAATATGTTGCCAGGCTGGCCTCAAACTTACAATTCTCCTACCTCAGCTTCTCAAATGCTGGGATTACAGGCATATATTACCATGCCCAGCTATAATTCATCTATTTAAAGTATACAATTTAGTGGCTTTTGATATATTATATTATTAGTTTTTAGAAAATTGTGGTAAGATGTATAACATAATATAAAATTTGTCTTTCTAAAAAATTTTTTTGGAATCAGGATTTTACTATGTGGCCCATGCTGTCCTTAAACTCTCTCTTTTTTTTTTTTTTGGTGGGATTGGGGTTTGAACTCGGGGCTTTGCACTTGCAAAGCAGGTGCTCTCATGAACTATTTGTCTGGGCTGGCCTCAAACCATGACTCTCCCTATCTCAGTCTCCCAAGTAGCTAGGATTAAAGACATGAGCTACAGGTGCCCAGCAGGTCTTGAACTCTTGTTCCTCCTACTTCAACCTCCTGAGAACTGGAATAATAAGTGTGTGCTATGTACTGAGCTAAAATTTTCCATTTTGACCACATTTTTTTTTTTTGTAGGACTGAAGTTTGAACTCAGGGCCTCATACTTGCAAAGCAAATGTTGACCACTTTTAGGCATATAATTCAGTAGCATTCATTGTTGTGCAACTATAACCACTATGGATTTCCCAAACTTTTTCGTTATTCCAAATAAGAAAACTTGGTAATCATTGTACAATAACTCCTTATCCCAACTCCTCGCTCCAGGCAACTTCTATTCTACATTATTTTTCTATGAATTTATACCTAATCAGGTGCAATCATACAATCTGTCCTTCTCTGTTTGACTTATTTCACATAGTATGTTTAAAGCTTCATCCATGTAGCATATGCATTTCATTTCTTTTTATGGATATGTAACATCCCACAGGGTGCTGGACAGTTGGGCTGTTTTTGCCCTTTGGCTTTTAAAAGTAACGCTGCTATGAACATGGATATATAAATATTTCAAGTTTCCTACTTTTAGTTCCTTTATGTATATACTTAGGAGCAGAACTGGTGGGCCACATGGTAATTCTATGCTTAGCTTTTTAAGAAGTACCAAATTTGTTCCTTCAGTTGTTCTTTTCTTTCCCCCTTTTTTTTTTTTTTTGCTAACAGCCATCCTAAAAGCTGTGCAAGTGGTATCTCATCATGGTTTTTATTTGTATTTTCCTAATGATTCATGATATTTAGCTTCATCTTGTGTGTTTATTGGCCAGTTGTATAATTTCTTTGGAGAAATGTCTATTTAAATACTGTGTCCATTTTTGAACTGGACTGTCCTGTTTTTGCTGAGCTGTAGGAGTTGCTTATTTTGTTCTGGATACTAGAACCTCATCAGATATAATTTGTAAATATTTTCTCTTATTCAGTGGATTTGTCACATTTTTAATTTCCAAGAAACTTTTTGTTCTGCAAATTTAAAAAAAATATGGAATGCTTAAAAAAATCTGTTATCCTTGTAAAAGGACCATGCTAATTTTTTCTGTATAGTTCCAATTTTAGTATACATGATGCCTGAAGTGAGCACTGTGAATGTTCTTTTTGGTTGTTATTTATGAGATAGGTGTATGTAGCCCAGGCTGGCCTAGAACTCCAAATCTTGATCCTCCTGCCTCCACCTCCAAAGGACTGGGATTTCTGGTGTACACTACAACACCTGGTTCTCATCTTTTTTAATAGCCTCCTGTTCTTATTTTATGGATGCAGTAACTTGTCATGTCTCTGAAGATATACATTTATTTTTAATCTTGCATTTCACAGATTTTCCTTAAATATTTGGTCCTTTTTAGAGAAATACCTGTTCCTATTTGAGGTTCAAAAAAAGTTAATTAAAAGCTCTCTGTGCATACAAAGAGATGGCTAACTGATAGTTTCACTAGAGAACTCCAGATACTATCATCTTTGTTTTTTCCTCATTGGGTGGTCCATTCATCAACAGAAAATCTCCTGCCTCAGAACTATATGCCTGGCTGCCACAGGAAGTAAATAGTTAGGAGGGCAAAGGGGCCTATTTAGTAGAAATCCTTCCAGCAGGAAAGCCTATAGCAGGAATAGTCTCAGGAAGGTTTGAGGAGGTAATCTGGAGACTCAACTCCTTTTGGCTTTCAACTAATCCTCCCATTTTTAGCCTCACATGTCCCCCCACTTTTAGAAATACCTGGTATTCTAATCTCTATGCCACTGAAGCCAGTGTTAGCAACTTATCCATCCATTTTCCAGCTTCCAAATTTTAACTGTCACCATCTCTTCCATTGACTTCTTTTTTTTTTTTTTTTTTGTTGTTGTACTGGGGTTTGAACTCAGTCCTCATGCTTATTAGGTAGGCATTCTACCACTTAAGCCACTCTGACAGCTTATTATTTGTTTTTTGGAGGAGAATGCTTGTATGCTTGTGTATTTGTCTCTTTTTGTTGCTTTTTAATGCTTTTCTGGGGCTGAAGGTATGACTTGGTGGTAGAGTACCTGTCTAGCATGTGTGAAGCCCTGAGTTTAAACCCCACTGATAAAAAAACAAACAAAAACGAACAACAACAAAAACTTTTGTTGGGGGTATAGCACAGCGGTATAGCACTTGCCTAACATATACAAGGTCCTAGATTCAATATCCAGGACCACACACACAAGCAAACAAAAAACCCCCAAAATAAAAAGATAATACAAAAAGCAAACAAAATACCCTTTGCCATAAATCCTTTCCCATCATTTTAGATAGAATATCAGTAGATATTTGTATACAATCTGCCTCATTCAATCATTCAATAGTTTTTTTTTTTTTTGCTTATTTACCCTTGCATAAAGAGCTCTGATTCTTAATAAAAAATAGGGTATGCAAGATCTCTGTTCCCTCATTTTCCACCTGGTTGTTTACTGTCCTCCTTTTATGGCTTAAAGACAGAGGGTTGACTGATACATACAGCCACTATCCAATTTTCAGGTGCCTTGCCATTTTCTAATGTTCACAGTAATTAAACACATGATCTGAGGTAGACTGTAATTTCTTCCCTCTATATGTGGCCCTGCTTTTCTATGACAGACTTTCCCCATAGATTAAGTCACCCACAATATTTTCTGATAGTTAAGGATCAATTAAGGGGAAAGGTCATACTCTTTAAAATGTTGCACAACCTCAGCAAATAATGGTTTTACATATCAGTGCTAAACAACCAAGAAGGCAGGTGCCATAGTTCCTGTTCCTCTATTCATTAAATCTAAGGCCTCAGAGCAGTGGTTCCTAGATTTAAGTATACATTAGAATCTCCTGGAGGACTTGTTAAAACTTAGTTTGCTGGGCCCACCCCTAGTTTCTGAATGGGTAAGTATGAAGTGGAACCAGAGAAATGCAGTTCTAACAAGTTCTCAGGTGATACTGATATATGCTGATATTGCTGACCTAGATGCCACACTTTTGAGAAATTCCTTGGAGTAACTTAAGAAGCTATTGTTAATTTTGCATTGCCAAGAAATATGTCAGGTAAAGTTAAAAAACAATTTCAAGTATACAGAACTCTGCAGGTAGAAATGTGAGTGGTCCTAAATATAATAGCACTGACATTTTCTGTTTTCTCTTTTAAGGATTTCTGTTCTAACCATTACTATTCCTTTCTTTTGGAGTTGACTTGTTCTTTTATTGACTTTAGGTCTTCTTTTCCTTTCTGATACCTTAAAACTATAAATTCTCCTCTACAAAGGACTTTAGCTTATTCCATAAATCTTACTATGTTTTAAAAATTCCATTCATTTCAAGATTTTTCCAATTGCCCTTCTACTCTCTTCTTAGATCATGGACTATTTACAAGTGTACCGCTTAATTTCTAAGGAAGTTTTCCCACTTTCTTTCTTCTAATCCCTAATTTAATTCCATTGCATATGGAGAGCAAACTTGGTAGGATTTTAATTCTTTTATTTTTGAAACTTGTTTTATGATCTAGCATATGGCCTATCCTAAGTGATGTTCCATAGGTGCTCAAAAAAAAAAATAATTCTAGTTACTTGGTGTGTAGTGTTTGACATGTCAGGTCATGTTGGTTCACAGTGCTGTTCAAATCTTCTATGCCTTTACTGATTTTTGGTCTTGTTCTATCAATTACAAGGGAAAGAGTATTGAGAATACAATTGTTCAACTATTCTTTTTCTTTCATGTATTATGGGGCTCTATTACATGTTCCTAATATGTTGACCTTTTTATCCTTATCCTTATTGAAATGTCTCCCTTTGTCTTCAATATTATTTCCTTTCTTAAAATCTTTGATATTAATCCAGCTACTTCAACTTGCTATGGTTACAGTCTGCATGATGTATCTTTTCTTCTCTTTTTCTTTCAACTTACCTGTTTGAGTCTCAAGTGAATCTTAGACAGAAAGTACATAGTTGAATCTTACTTTTCAAATTCAGTCTGATGATCTCTGTGGGGTATTGTTGGTGGTTACTGGGGTTTGAACTCAGGGTCCTGGACTTGTGAGGCAAATGCTCTACACCTTCAGCCACACTCACAGCCCTTTTTTGCTTCAGTTAATTTTGAAAAAGGTCTTGTGTTTCTGCCCAGATTAGCCTTGGACCTTGATCTTCCTTCCTATGCCTCTTGCACAGTTGGGATCACAATGTTCACCACTATGCCTGGCTTATTGGTTGAGATGAGGTATCACTAACTTTTTGCCCAGGCTGTTCTTAAGCCATGATATTTTGGATTTCTACTTCTCAAGTAGCTATTATTATAGGCATAAGCCACCACACCTGGCAATTTCTATGCTTTGACTGGAAAATCAAAATCTGTTTACATTTAACGTAATTATTAGTACTACTAAATTCACATCTACTGTTTTGCTATTTGTTATCCATGTCTTATTATCTTTTTTTCTGTCTTCTTATATAAACCATGAAGTGAGCATATTTTTTTTGTGTATCATTTTAATTCCTGTGCTTACTTTCTTGGCTATTTGTTTTTTGAGTGGTTGTTCTATGCCTAACAGTATGTGCTTTAAATACCATCTTCTCCTTAATTCTGATACTGACTTAATTTCATTAAATGTTACAACTTTGCTCCAACATATTTCCAAGCCTCCCTCCCTGTATGCTGTCACACATATTACTTATACAACTGTTATAAAAATAACATAATAGTGTTATAATTATTGCTTTAGACAATCCACTTTTTAAAAAGAAATTGAGAAGTAAAAAACATTATACATAGACTTTTCATTTATCCACATATTTAACACTACCAATGTTCTTCATTCCTACTGTGGATTCAAGTCACCAGCTGATGTAATAATTTTCATTGGGCCTGATGCTCTTTCTTTAGTAGGTCTTCCATTAGTGAATTCTCTCAGTTTTTGTTTATCTGGGTCTGCATTTATTTGAACTTCTTCTGGAGACAGAGTCTCGCTCTGTAGCCCAACTGGTCTTGAACTCACAATCTTCCTGCCTTAGCCTTCATTTTTAAAGAACAGTTTCACTGGATATACAATTTAAAAAATACCACTCCACTGCTTTTATGCCTCCATTATTTTATACACGAAGTCAGCTATTAATCATATCACTGTGACAAATTGTTTTGTTGCTTTCAAGATTTTTCTTCCAGCAGTTTTTGATGTAACTGAACAGGTTCTTTTTTGTAGTCGTCTTACTTGGGGTTTTTGGAGCTACAGGTTAACGTTTTTCACTATGTTTGTGTTTTCACCCAATATCTCTTCAAATATTTTTTCTCTCCCTCGCTTCCCTACTTTGGATTACTATATAGGTAAATCAAGAGATTTGACACTAAGGGTTGCTCATATGTCTTCACAGCCAATGGTTTAGGTGAAGGTTGTACTTGAACACCTCAAACCCATAAAGATTTACCCTCTGTTGACTCTGTGTATGTGTTAGGGGATGCATTCAAAGCTGCAGCCAATTTTCAAATATCCCTTGGATTTTACTTTTCACTAGGTTCTTCCATCTCCCACCTACATGTATAGTTTTCTAGTCAGTCAGGAATATGTGAGAGTTTATCTCAGCCCTTTGACAGCTCTCTACTTTCCAGGATAGAACTATGTGAGAGAGAACATATGTGAGAGAGACCATGTGATGTTTTTCTTAGTCTGGCTTATTTTGCTTAACACGATGATTCCCAGTTCCATCCATTTTCCTGCAAGTGACATAATTAGTAATAAAATTTTAAAAATCTACTAAAAGGTCTATAACCAGGAGCTGAGCTAGAGCTCTAGACTGTGTTCATGAACATAATGTTAATTCTTCCCTATTTATTCTTTTGTTTAATTTAATTTCAACAAAAATTGAATTAGAGACTCAGGATTTGGGGAGAAAACTCAATTAAAAAAACTCTGAGGTTTTAAAGTTGATTTTTAATTGATACATAATAATTGCACATAGTTATGGAGTACAATGTGAAAATTTGATTCATGTGTGCAGAGTGTAATAATTGAATTAAGGTAATAAGCATTTCCATTCCTTAAGCATTTACCATTTCTTTGTTTTTGGAGCCTACAAACTCCTCTGTTCTAGTTCTTTATAAAATGTGTAATAAAAAAGGGTTCCTTAACACAGACCCTCACCTTGAGCCAGCAAAGATGTAGTTTTACTCCATTTGTTTCTGTATCAACTACTTATAGCAAAGACACAAGATTCTACTCCATCTGAAATGAGTATAAACTCTTGGCAGCAAAGCTGCTGATCTGCTATCCTGGCAAAATAACTATTCTTACCAACTAGTTTCTTTTCTCTCCTTTTTTGGATATACTATCACTTATTAGAATTTGCTTCAATTCAATTAATTTTATTTTCTTCCTTAAGTGGGAAAAAAAAAAACCTAAGGAAGTCTCCTGCTAAAGGCTAATATAATTTTTGAAAAGACATATATCTAGGTACCTATGTGAATTCAAATATAAAAGTTAACAGAAACGATCAAATTTGTAATGAAAAGTTCCCATTACCAAATACTTGCAAATTCTGATGAATGGCTCAAACTAACATTTTTAGGTTGATATAATTAAAATGAAACTTTTCTCCTAGGTATGTGGTTCAACCAAAATATCATCTACTTGTCTGGCACAGTATGCCTAAGAGGAAAGCCATGCTACTGAATGATGTGGCAGCAATGTGAAATAATCACTGCTGAGAATGCATTCTAGCCTCAGCTAGACCCTTCAGACTTTCATCTACTAATAGTATGAAGAGACTTTAGGCTCCCGTATATGTGAACTGACACTAGCTGTGTCATAGGTAACGTTCAATCATATCTAGTCTGACAAAAAAAATGCTAATGGTAGTGCTCACTTTGGCAGCACATATACTCAAACTGGAATGATACAGAGAAGATTAGCATGGCCCCTGCGCAAGGATGATATGCAAATTCGTGAAGTGTTCCATATTAAAAAAAATGCTAATGGTAAAAACATTTCCATCTCATTATGCTCAATGTGAAGTAATCAACAACCTGAGTCTTAATTCACACAAACTCACCTCCAAAGCTGACTATGAAAACAGCTAGAACAGAGTATAATATCTCTTCATATTTAAAAAAATGAAAAGAAACCAACCTCTTTTTTCTTCTTCTCGTTTTAGTTTATCTTCCTCTATTTCTTTTGGCAATTTTTCCTTTTTTTCTTTCTCCACATCATTATGCAAATGCTTTGTGGTGTAGCTGAGTGCTGGAGAAAGAAGAATCTCTCCATTTTTGCAGAGTTCATCACGAATCTTAATAAAAAACTGCTGAAGTTCTACTGCATCCTCATATATTTCAGAATCTGTCCTATAACGGCATCAAGAGTATCCATTGACACATAAGCTCTTTTTTTAACACCTCAATTGTATGTTAAATTTTAGTAAATGCTTATTTATTAATTGCTACAATGATATTTTTTGTAGTTCTAAGAAAGGTATCCCCTCAAGGTTTGTTAAAACAGTGATATCCGAGGTATCACTTTACATGTGGAGCCTCATGCCCACCAGTTTCCTTAAGGCTAACTCCACAATAAAGGAAGGCCTCAGCATTTTTCCTTGGAAATGGAAGGTACATCATCCATTAACCATAGCAGAAGGTAGCTGTTAGAATTACGGACTCTACCAAAGCTCCAGACAGAGTCCAACGCTTACTTTGATCTAATCTTTGGATTAACTCTACATTCTCTTAATTGCAGACCCACATATTAGAGAAAGTGTAACAAAAGATTTAGATTATGTCTACTTCCTTCCTTTTGGACTTACATTATTGCTGCCTATATTGGTAGAACTCACTGAATATTTGAACCTAAACTGTAAAGCTAAGAGGGTACCCTGTACAACTATAGGGCTGAGTTAGTATAAATTTTAGTTTCTGAGAAATAATAATTCTGGGGAATCAGGAGAGGCAACGCAGTCAAAGATGGAACAAAAACTGTGTAACATCTTCAGAACTTTTCTAAGCCTCTTTTTCTTATTTATAAAATAAAGGGACAAGACAACATAAAACTTTAGAATTTAGACTAAATTTAATTTCTATCTCTAACCCACTATGCTCTGAAGAATGCTTAAATTCTATTAACTAACAGTATCAAAGTCTAAAAAATAATTCACGAAAGTAACCACAGACAAAAGTCTTAACAGTTACAGAGCCATTCTGGTCAGAGGAATGTGGCAAGCAAAGCAAAGGCAGTCAGTCATCTGCTGATACATGCCACTAGAATACCAGACTTCAGAGAGTCCTCCAAATGCCTTTCCCCATCAGCAGAAGGAACTGATAAGCAAGTAACACTACTAATAATCTGAATAGGTATTTCTAGAGAGGTTTTAAACATGTTCTGATGTTGCAGAAATGCTAATACTGGAGGGAAAGCAATTAAAAAAAAAAAACATGGGAAGACACCATTTCAGTATCTATTTTTCTGAGGACAGATATATGAAGTCTGTTTTCTTGACATTAAATTCTTTTTACATTAGCTTATAATCTTAAGTGAAAATACACAACTGGTAAATCCATGTTAAACTGAAAGGGCAGATCCTAATTCCATGATGTCACCTGGTTTAGTAATGAAAGTTTGTACAAGTCACTGAACACCTGATATATCCTTTTTTATTTTGTTTAGTCAAACTAAGTATTGTGAAGGATTTGCAAATCTAAGTGGCCAGGTGTTCACTGAATACACAAGAACAAAAACTCAAGATGGAAAAACTCATTTCCCTCAGTTGACAGGTAAGCTCTTTATACACGGCAAAAGGAACTAATGAAGATTATAACAAGGTCTTGATGCTTCCCTTGTCCTTATCTTGCAATGGGTTCTTCCTAAGCGATAAAGAATCAGGAATCCAGGAATACTGCCAGCAAATTAGAAAACTCAGTAGTTGACTGGCATGTGTTAACACTGTGTGGTTACTGTAGGCTTATGGACAAACCACTGTCACCTGAGTGAATGATTTTGTTATATCTCACCACTCAAATTCCTTCAGTTTCAAATGTGAAGGTCCTAGACATTGGGTGGTAGTAGTGGGGAGGTGTAAGTGGTAAGGAAGCATGAACAATCTTTAAGAGATCAGTCTGGAAACCTATTACATGCAAACTTCATTAAATGAATTCATTAATGAATTCTGGGATGCCTATCCTCATTACTGGCAATATAGTAGATAAAATGATGGTTTATCATTCATGGAACTAATTCACTCCCATTAGTTCTTATTAAGTACCTGTTCTTAATTCTTATTAAGTACTACAAACAGTCACAATACTATCTTCATTCATAAAGTAAGAATGGCTTCTCTAATGTTTTTCACCAAAGCCTTGGGCTTGGGAATCTGTGTGTATCTCGTATCATATTAATGCACAGTGGAATCTTTGATTACTCAAAAGCAAACACTATGTCAACAATGAAAGAATAAAGAGAGTTCATTCCCTAGAGCTACAAATCTACTTAATTCTTAAGCACGTTGTCTATACAACATTAACAAAGTTCCCAATAATTTAAGAGACAAATGCTGAGAGATGATGGGGGCAATGTAAATAATGCACAATATAATTTTAGTTGGAATTGTCACTACAAATTCCCCCATATAATGAGTATATCCTAATGAAAAATTTGTAATAATAATAATAAAAAAACAGACAAATGCTCTTTGGAAGACTCATAGAATTGATCCCAAGATGTAACAGGGTTGGGGACAGAGGGAGAGAGCACAGTGGCTTTAGACTTAAGGACTACTTAATAAACTGAGAAGAATAGAAGTCTAGGCTCCATGAAAGCACTGGTATATCCCATACTCATCAACAACTGGCAGTTACCCAATAAAAATTTGCTGAATGATAAAACTCCTATAGATTCTAATTGTAAGATGTCATACTATCTTTCCTTTTATTTCTATCTCCACTGTCAAAGAATAAGGATCACTTCCTAAACATGTCATCCAAGGGCCTCTTTAATTGGCCTCAACTGTACCCGTCTCTGGAAGGTGTCATAATCATTTCTTAATCTTTTGCTTTTGTTCAGAACACTCTTCATATTTGAAGTATCCTTTCTTTTAGTCATGTCAATCCTACCATCCTCCTATTCTCCCATGATGCCTCATGCCTTTTTAGGAGAACTCTGGCCCACAGAGTTCCTTACATCACCATGTTTTCTAAATATTAGGTTTTGATATGCTGTAGCACATCTGGAATTACTTTTCCTGTCCCATTCATGAGACATCAAGCTCTTAAGATCCTAGAGTTCAAGGTTTATCTTCCATGGCTGTCTTCCACACATTCTGTATTGGGGAACAAACCAAACCATACCACTTACTAGCTGTGCGGCTTTGGGTAACTTTTTTGCCTATGCCTCTAATTCTTCAACTGCAAACTGGGAGGATTATAACTTTTGCAGAAAGGCATCATAGGGGTTAGAGAGTATGTATATGAGTATTTAGCATGGTGCTTTACAAAAAGCAGATGTTCTCCAAGAGGCGCAACTGTTACTATACTATTTATTTTCTTTTAAGATCTAGAGTAAATGCTGGCTTCACAGGTTCTTCACCTGGAATTTTGTTGCCTAAAAGTTTAACTTTTGGCCCCATAGACTGTAAGATCCTGGAAGGTAGAGTTTGTACCTTTAACTTTTTAGTCTTCTAAGAGTACAATAAAAGCTGAATTCAGCTGAGTATGTATTGTTATGTGGCACAAACCAAAATTAGCAGGAAATTTAAGTTCAATGTAAATTTAAACTTGAATGCTTCTTTTAGAACACTTAAAGTCTACAGTAGGCTCTTAAATTCAGAAATGTGATTTTTTTTTAAGGAAGCCCTTTAACAGTACTTGGAGATCAAATTTACATGAGTTATATGAGTCTAACCTCAGAATAATAACTTAGTTATTTAAAGTATTATTATTATTTTTCGAGGTACTGGGGTTTGAACTCTGGTCTTCACCCTTGCTACCAGGTGCTCTACCACTTGAGCCACTTCACCAGCCCTTGATGGGTATTTTTGAGATAGGGTCTTCTGAACTAGTTGCCCAGTCTAGCTTCAAACCATAATCCTCCTATCTAGGCCTCCCAAGTAGCTAGGATAGGATTACAGGCATGAACCACTGGTGCCCCTTGTATGTATGGGGGCATGGTACTGGAAGTTGAACTCAGGACCTCATGACTGCTACCACTTGAGTCACACCTCCAGCCCTAAAGCATTCTTACATAAAGATAAAACCTTAAGAGAAAAATCCTATTACTACTATAATTCCTATTTCAAATTATAAGCACTTATCCTTTAAGAAACATGTTCTGTGAAATACTGTATTTAAAGTTTATGCTTTTCACAAGATCTTTAATTTTATCTTCTTCTCATTGGCCCTAATCTAGACTCAACACTGTATCTTCTCTTCTTCACAGAATGTACCTGCTGTTTGTAAGTTTTAGCCCCCAGCATTGCAAAAACAAAAAGAAGTTGAAGTTTTGGCTACCTAGAATTCAGGATAGTAAGCTGCAAATATGTGAGTCAATGCCCTATATAGCTATCCTTATCTCAACCAGCAAAAACCCTTGTTCCTTCCTATTATTGCTTATACTCTCTCTACAACAAAATCAGAAATAAGGGCAAAATAGTTTCTGCTGGGTATTGGGGGGGGGAGGGAGGGGGCAGAGTGGGTGGTAAGGGAGGGGGTGGGGGCAGGGGGGAGAAATGAACCAAGCCTTGTATGCACATATGAATAATAAAAGAAAAATGAAAAAAAAAAAACATATCCTCAAAATGAAAAGGCTTTGAAAACATACCGATTCATCCTTCTTGCTCTCTCCAAAACTTCAAACATATGCTCTTGAAATAAATCAAGCCTCCGGTAGCGATTATTTTCAACATTCTTCCTAATAATGTCAAAAGTAAGGGGAGGTTTGTTAGGAAAGCTGGGATCCACAGCAGGAATTTCTGCTAAGGAATCACTATAGCATCTTCCCTCATCATCTTGATGACTCATGACTGACACAAAAAGATTGTGGATAAGTTCTTGAATCAGTAAGGTCACATTTGGGACATGAGAATCCTCATCTCCTTCCAGGTCTCTCCGAGTTTCAAGCAGGACTTTGTGTAGGACAAGGGCATCTTTGTAGATCAGAGACTCAGGCTCATTGTATGTACAGGCATTGTTAAACATCATGACAAAGTCCTCAACCATAGAGTCTATATCTTGGTACTTGTTCGCCATCATGTGACTTCGAATTTTTTCCATGTCCATGGGCTTTTTAATGGTCAGATAGTAGTCAGGTAGTTCAGATCTAGAGGGAAGCCTCAGAAATATGGCGCTGAGACGGCGACCCCTCTTATCAGTATAGTTCTTTACAGCTTCATACACTTCATTTAGTTTCTGCTGCATTGGAGTCATGTACTTTGATTTTTTAGGAGAAACACCACTCTTCCTACCTGAAGAAACAGATGCAAAGTTAAGTGGATAAAGTGAAACAAGCCTAAATTTGTATGTAATTGGTAGTATAACCATAAGAAAAGGACTATTTAAAATGATTTGTAAAACACAGTAATTAGCATATACTTAGTAAGGAAGATCTTATTTAAGGGAAAAAACCAAAACAAAACTGGAAGAGGGCAGTAAAGAGCCTGACTAGCAAGCACAAATCCTTGAGTTCAAATTCCAGTATTGCAAAAAAAAAAAAAAAAAATCTAAAAAACAAATAAACAACAAAAATAAACTGTGGCAGAAAATTTTAACTATTTGGGGTAATTTTATTTTTCATTTTGGCAATACTGGTGTTAAACTCAGGACCTCCTACTTGCCAGGCAGGCTACCACTTGAGCCACATTCCCAGCCCTTTTTTTGCTATAGGTATTCTTGGATTCTTGGAGAAGTATCTCGAATTCATGCCTCAGCTAGACTGAATCTTGATCTTCCTACTTATGCTCCCTTTGTAGATGGGATGACAGGAGCACACCACTGTGTCCAGCTTTCATTGAGACAGGGTCTGGGCTGCCCTTAAACCACCATCTTCCAGATCTCTGCCTCCTGAGTAGCTAGGATTACAGGTTTGAGCCACCATGACTGGATGGGAAAATAAGTACTGTTATGTGCAGCTAGTTGTGAATATGTGAAGTAAAGCCAATGAGTAATTATGTGACATTCTAATTCCATCACCTCTGAGATATTTGACAGGTAAGATTTTTTTTTTTTTAACTTACTGAAGTTGAATGAAGAATTTTCTTAGCCTTTGACATATCAGTGAACAAAACAAGAATCCTTTCCCACATGGAGCTTTTATTCTAAATGAGATCTATCATATATTTATTTAATCAGTAACCAATAATGGACATTTAAATGGTTTTCAATCTTTTGCTAGTATAAACACTGCTGCAGTGAACAGCTCATACATAGATCATTTTGCACATATGTAAATATATTATTAGGAAACAAGTCTAGAAGAGGAATTTATTGGTCTAAGAGAGTACTAAGATTTTTATCACAGGAGACTGGTATGGAGGACATTGATAAAAAAAATGCTGTAGCCTTGAATTTTAATTAAAGTATCAACTGAGCTTATGATGTGTTTTAATCTCTAAACATATACAACTTTTTCTGTTTCTCTTCACTGAAAATCCTAGAAACAATGATTAGTTCAATAGTAGTGTATTCCAGAATATAATTTTAAAATATTAATTTCAAACACTAATGTCAAAGAGCCCTAACCTTTTTTTTTTTTTTTTAGCAGAAACACAAAAATGTTAAGACTCCTTGGAAAATATACCAGACCAATTTCCAGTCTGATATTTCATGAAACTCCAGGGAGTAAAGAATTTGCCAATAACTTACCAGGGTCATGTCAAAACAACACAGGCAAGCTAGCAAAACAGCAGAGTGCCTGCCTAGCAAATGTGAGGCCCTGAGTTCAAATCCTTGTACACACACAAAAAACTCCCAAACCCACAGACAACAACCTGAGACAATATAAGCATCAATAAGGACAATAATTACAATGGGTTAAAATTCAGCAATATGTTTAAATCTATAGTTCTTAATGACACATAAGAAAAATATTGGAGGCTGTTAATAAACTAATACATTATTTTGAAAACTAATCTGCATACCCATGTTTATTGCAGCACTATTTACAATAGCCAAGATGCCCCACAACCAACGAATAGATCAAGAAAATGTGGTATTTATACACAGCGGAATTTTACTCAGCCACAAAAAAGAATGAAATTTTGTCATTCTCAAGGAAATGGATGGAACTAGAGACCACCATCTTAAGCGAAGTTAGTCAGACTCAGAAGGCCAAAAATTGCATGTTCTTCCTCATATGCAGATTATAGACCCAAAATAAATGCAGTAATATTACTGGACATGGGTCACACACACTAAGGGGAGAACACTCACAGGAGAAAGAGGGAAAAGAAAGGAAACCTAAAACTTGAATGTGGTTGATGTGCTCCCTGTTGAGGAGCAAATAAAGTATAAAGTAATCTTAAATTGGCAGAGACAACTATGAGAAGGGGACAGAAAGTAGTGAAGAGGTCTGGCAGAGATGAACCAATGTGGGTTGTAATACACAAGTGCATGGAAGCAACACTAGCAATCTCTCTGTATAGCTATCTTTATCTCAAACTAGCAAAACCAGTATGTCTTTCTTATTATTTCTTATGTTTTCTTTTCAACATAATTGAAGAAGAAGAGGGCGGAACAGGTTCTGCCCGGAAAGGCAGGGGGAGGTGGCACAAACAATGTATACAACATGTAAGTAAATATAAAAACTACAAAATAAAAGGAGAAAAGAAAAAAAAATAAATAAGAAAACTAGTAAATAGAAGAGAAAAAAGAATGAAAATCAAGTTTTTACTATTTCAAAACAAAAAGAAGATAAATAAGAAAACTATACCGAGTAAATAAATATTAATTAGATAAGGCAATCCAACATAGAAATATACAGTATATTCTATATATATAGAATATAAATTCTCTTCATACTTTATATATAGAAATATATATAATATGTATCTATAGAAATATAGAAATAGTCCAGCTAATGAATTAGCAAGGAATGATAAAATTATCACTATTTTATAGTCCTTTAATGAACTGATGAAGAGAGTATCAGTATCTGTTAACATAACAGAAAGATACAACCAGGTATGTATGTGCCACCTGATGTATTTATTACCTATGAAGTCAGTTTTTGTGCCAAAGGGAGAGGATGGGGGATCAAATCTTAGTTTGATAGGGCCTCTAGCTAAAACGACTCATTTATAGGACACAAAGGACAGAAGGACATTGTAACTGCAACATAAGGATGCAATCTGCAAAATCCAGACTGTAGAAAACTCTAGTACAAACCCAATTTCTTCAACAGAAAAAAGAGAGGTGAAAGAGTGTTCATACTCAAAGAAATATCAATCAAATGCAACATGTGGGTATTATTTGGAGTCTACCTCAACCAGACATTGTTCCAAGACATAGTGCAACGTAAGTATAGAAAACCTCATATAATCTTTGCCAAGCTGAAACTCAATCTAACTTTAATAAAAGATAACTTACATTTATATGAAAGAGAGAGAGACAGAATAAAAAGTTAATTGACATCACAAGGAAATAAATGGACTAATCCAGAGCTTGGGACACTGTACACAGTAACCTAGTTTATTTGATGAGTCAATGGCATGGGGAAAGAAAAGGTAGAAGACTGCTCTAATTATGAGCATAAGGGCACCACAGTCAAACACAATATATTGAACATAATTAGATCCTGATTTGATGACACTAACTGTAAAAATACATTTTTGAGACAATCTTCAATAGTTGAAAATTTGTCAGATATTAAATGAAACCAAGAAACTATAGCTAAGTTTGTTAGGTATAAAAATCTCTGCATATTTTAGAGATGTATCTGACCTATACAGAAGTGAAAAAAACACATGATTGGATTTGCTTTAAAACAATTTACAACCTACCCCTTCCCCCCAGGAAGTATGGCACAACCTTGACAAATACTGAGTAACAGGTTTTTCATTGTATTTTTCTTCATATTAGTACTCGTTTGAAAGACTTCACAAGAAAATGAAAATTAAAAGAAAATTAACATTCTACATGAAAATCCTCTTTCCTGAGTCTGGTGGCCTGGCCAAGTGGTAGAGGGCCAGGCTAGCAAGTATGATGTCCTGAGTTCAAACCCCAGTACTGAAAAAAAAAAGAAAAGAAAAAATGGGATGGTGGCGGGACTCAAATGGTAGAGTGTCTGTGTGAGACCCTGAGTTCAAAACCCATTACCACACATACACACACAAATCCTCTGTCCTTGTAAAGCATGTATGTATGTATTCTTGTCACCATTAAACTATTATTAATAAGTCTCCTAACTCAATTTATGGAATTAATTCTGTTTTAAAAGGTATTTTGAGCTGGGTGTGGTGACACATGCATGACTGTAATCCAAGCTACTTACAAAGCAGACTGGAAGAATCATGGTTTGAGGCCAAACTGGAGCAAGGGTTGGCAAAACCCCATCCCAATCAATAAGCCAGGCATTGTGGCCAAAGGCTGTGATCCCAGCTACATGGGAGGCATATGCTGAAGGACTATGGCCTGAGGCTAGCCCCAGGCAAACACTTGAGACCCTATCTCAAAAATAACTAAAGCAAAATGCACTGGAATGTGGCTCAAGTGGTAAAGCACCTGCCTAACAAGTTCAAGGCCCTGAGTCACATGGTCCAAATAGTAGAGTGCTTTGACCTAGCATGTGTGAAGCCCTGGGTCCAATCCCAAATCAAAGAGGCAAAAAAAAAAAAAGAAAAAAGAAAAAGACGAATGGCTTAAAAGGAATCATCATTTAGCAGAAATTCCTGAAGCAAATGCAAAATTCAGTTTACTGTCATTTCATGTAAAAAAGTAGGTATCATTCCTCTTTTCAGCAAACACAGGTTTAAACAATAGCTGACAACATCACTATCATTCCCTTGGTATTTATGTGTATTTTAAATAAGGTAGAATCTCTTGTTTAGTTCAATAGTATTAATTACATCCTTTACAACTTTTAGTAAAACCAATCATTTGCAGAGCACACTCAAAAGGTAGCTGAAAAGTACAACTCTAACCTCTCAAATTTTGTACAGTAGCAGCTTCTGGGATTTTTAATTCTAGGCATATCAAACGAACATAACAGCAACAAAAATCTGCCACAATACTCTTCAGCCATTAGATACAGAATATCTATTCTTCCTATTTAATACTTACAAAATACCCACTACATTCAAAAAAACAATCAAAACCTCTGATGTTACATTCTATCCCCCTTCCTCCATTATGGTTTGGATATAAAGTGTCTCTTAAAAGGCTCATATGTTGAAGACTTGGTCCCCAGCTGACTGACCCAATCACTGAGAAATGACTAGATCATGAGGGCTCTGCCCTCCTCAACGGATTACTTCACTGATGGATTGAAAATATGGTAACATTATTGGGAGGTGTGTGCAAGGTGGGCTGATTGGAGAAGTAGGTCACTGGGGGCACACCTTTGAAGGGTAACTTGTCCCTGGCACTTCCCTATCTCTCTGCTTCCTGGCTATCCTAAAATGAGTAACTGTGCTCTTCTGCCATGATATTCTGTCTCACCAAGATCCAGAAACAATCATGGCAGCAGACTATGGATTGAAACCTCTGAAACTGTGAGCCAAAATAAATCCTTCCTTCTTTAAATCCTCCCTCAAGTACTTGGTCACAGCAATGAGAAAGCTAACACACACCATCACTCTCTTCACTGTTTATTTAAAATACAGTAAAAGAGAGTGCTTAAGAAATGAAACTCTAGCATAGAGTAGCAATGCATACAAATGTATTCACCATTTATTTCAAGACAAGCAATCTTGTCTTGTCAAACTAAATCAAATAACAAAGTTTGAGGCAGTCTTACTTAGCTTGAGTTTAGGAGAAGCCATATCATCATCATCAGGTAATGGGCCCAGCTCTTTCCTTTTATCCTTGAGTAACTTCTCCAGGATATGTGCATCATTGTATACCTAAGTTCCAAAAATATGATTAAGATTATTTTCTAAAAAAACCTTTTATTAAGCTATTATGTCTACAATGAAGTTTTTTTGTTTTGTTTTGTTTTTTTTGGTGGTATAAGGGTTTGAACTCAGGGCCTCATGCTTGCTAGGCAGGCTCTACCACTTGAGCCACTTTGACAGCCCCATAATGAAGTTTTTTGTTTTGTTGGGTATGATGGCACATGCCTGTAAATCCCAGCACTTGGGAGAATGAGGCAGGAGGACTGAAAGTTGAAGGCTATCCTGGGTTACATAGGGAAACTGTCTCAAGAAACAAAATACACACACACAAAAAAAAAAACCACCCCAATTAAAACATCAACAAAAATAATAAAAATAAAAAGTAAGTTTAAAAAACATGGTTTAGGACAACTGGAGCTAAAAACTGCTTAGGCTCACTTCAGAACAATAAAATCACTATCTCCATAGGAGAGCTTAGGTCCCAAATGATGTGTTTTTTAAGTTTCCCGGGTGATTTGAATATGCAAATATGCATGGTAAAGTTTGAGAACCACTGTAGTACAATTTTGCAGTTTTAACAGAAGTTCTGAACACATTTACATGTGTTGTTTTCCTTAAAAACCTATCTTTTCCATTGGATCTTCAAGGTAGCAGACTCAGCCCAGTAGAAATCAGAGATTAAAAATCTCTCTCAAAGTAGCCAGATGTGGTGGTTTATGCCAGTAATCCTAGCTAGTTGGGAAGCCAGCCTGGTCAAAAAAAGTTGGAAAGAATAAAAGCTAGACATGGTGGCATATGGCTGTCATTCCAACTACACAGGAGGCATAAATAGGAGGATCACTGTTCTGGATGTAAATGCCCCAGACAAAATTAAAAGCAAAAAAGGGCTGGGGATGTGGGTCAAGTGGTATTAGAGTGCCCACCTAGAAACTGTAAAGTGGGACAGTTTACTGAGATAGAAAAGTGTAAAGTGGGAGAGTATAGCCCCAGAGTTTGGGGAAAGGGGTCCCAAGAAAGGGTACCCCAAGGTGGCTTTTATTTCTACCACAGACAGGTGGTACAATAGCCAGTGATAATGAAGACAGTATAAACCCCTATTATAGAGAGGGCCATTTCTTTGATCTGCATGCATCTTCATTTGTGTATACTTTATTTTATATTCAAACGCAACAGCAGAAGAAATGATTTGAAAATGTTAATTTATCTCTAGGAGATTTAAAATGAATAAAAGATATGAATTATAAAATATAACAAAGAACGAAGTCTGTGTGTTAGCTGTACTGATAAAGAATTAAAAACTGAAATGAGAAAGTAAAGAAGGTAAATGTGGTTGATGTACTTTCTACACAAGTATTAATATGGAACATTCAAAACGTTGAAATCACCATAAGAAGGGAACTAATGTAGAAAGGAGAATAATGGAGGGGATGGACCAATTCAGGGTCTAATACACACACACACACACACACACACACACACACACACACACACACACACAGAGAGAGAAATGTCACAATGAAACTCCCCATATAACATCACAAACAAACAAAAATGCCTTTTTTATAAAATGAAAGACAGGAAGGTAAAACAAGTCCTATGGGTTGGTTCCGGAGGGAGGGAAGAGCACATAAGGAAAGGGTGAAGGAGGGTGAATATGGTGGAAATACTACATATTCATGTATGAAAATGGAACAATGAGACCTGCTGAAACTGTTCCAAGAAGGGAGGAGGGGATATAAAGGAGAAAGAAAGTGGGTGAATCTAAGATGTACTGTAAGCACTTTTGTAAATGTCACAATGTGCCCCTGATACAACTATGATACTAAATAAAGAGAAAAAAAAGAACTGAAAATTGTGGGCTGGGGGTATAAATGACTGGTAGAGCATATGCTTAGCATGCATAAGGCTTGATCCCCAGAACCACCAAGGAAACAAATGATTAAAGGTTTTAATGCTGTTGGCTCCTGCCAGTGTTTATTCAGTATCACACATTGCTCTAGTCAGTATACATTATCTCTTTTAAGCCGCACAATAACCCTGGGCAAGAAGTAGTAGTATTCCTACTTTACAGATGTATTATTCCTAAATTATGGATGAGGAAACTGAGGCTCAGAAGGGATAAATTACTTACACAGGGACTGGCAAAGCAGGATTTAATCTAAAATGTCAGATTGCAATGTATCAAGTTTAACCTTTATAATGTACTGTCTCCTATTTTAAGCAACTAAGATGAGACAAAGTATTAAACTGGCACCAACAACTACTTAAATTATGTGTACAGCTGGTCTCTCAAAATGCATTTTCTTACCAATGCTCAAAAGAAAATGTCTCCTTTAAGTCCCCCACCCACTCTTACCTGAGAGCCCTCCTCATTGTAGTGCCTGGCATTCCGGAACATGAGTTTCATGTCCTCTATCATTCCCTCTTCACCTGCATACTTGTCATTGCGGATGTTATGTTCAATTATTTTCAAGTCCATTGGCTCTAAGATGATTTTATAATAATCAGGATAGTCCTTCTTGGATGGTTTAACCATAAATAGATCACAAAGTCTTCTGCCTGAACCTGGCTCTCGAGCTTCAAGAACAACATTGAATAAAATTTTCATTCGCTGTTTTCTTATGTTCTTTTTACTGTCGAAGGGGGAGGTGAAAAAAAAAAAGGGGGAAAAACAACAACAGGTTCAGTTTTCTTTATATGATGATGAAATGAAACAAATTAATCTTGTGGGCGAGTGCTTCATAATGATTACGACTTATTGATTACATATGCCACAAACACAGTAAACATGCTGGAAGCTATAAGCAAATATTAGGAAAGTTTCCAAAATAGTTAAACATACTGATCCTGACAGGAGCGATCAGTGACACCGGATGAACCTGTTTAGAATAGCTCATGAAATGCAATGTTTAAAAAGATCTTGTCCAACACTAAAAGAAAATAAAACTCTATAATTAACTGAAATACATTTTTTGTTTTTAAGACAAATACAGCAAAAGTACAACAAAATTCACCATTCCTATTGTTATTAACATCTTCATTTCCAAGCACACAAACAACCTAACAAAAAGAATTATTTTCACTTCTTATGGTAACCACTCCTAAACAACAGTTTACAACAGTATACAACAGTTGCCAGAAAATTTAAGAGGACTGTCTACAAGACTAGTGTCTCTATACTGGATACAAGTCTCTTGAGTTGAATGTGTCAGAGTCAATGTCTAATTCCTCCCTCAAAGCCCCATTACTGTACAATCCCAGCTAGACTTGAAGAAATAGTCTGTGGTTCATCTGAGCACTTTACAAATTTTCATCCTCGAGCATGGGAATCCTTTAAAGCTTTTTTCTTTTTTTCAGTACTGGGGATTGAACCCAAGGCCTCATGCATGCTATACCTATGCAAGTGCTCTATTACTTAAGCCAAGCCCCCAACCGTGAATACCTGTTTTGTTCTCCAAATGAGATGTAATGCTGAGAAACTGGTATTAGTGGTATGGAATAAAGTACAAGGGACCACAGATTAGCACCAGAGCTCAAAAGGGGCCCAAGATCACAGATGGTCTTATTGTCTAGTTGTTGAGAAAACTGGCTCAGATAGGCTAGATGACTTGCCCAAGGTGAGTGAGTTGCTCAATAAATTATTAGAAGAGATACTCTTCCAATATGACTTTTGGTCAACTTTTCTTATATTTTCAGGAAAGTCAAGAAATTCTAGCCGGACTACCTAGCAGCCACCAAGTAAAACAGGTAGGTAATAACAAGAAATGACATTTGACTTAGTTTCTAGTCAACAAACATTTGCTAAGATCTTACACTATAGTACTTGGAGGTAATTTTTCTTTTACATCTGTTTCCTATCCTATAATGGGAAGGCAGTTTATTTCTGCAGCAAATTATGTGACTATATGGGTCTCTTAGCCCATTCCAACTACGTTCTCATTCTACTGCTGGATTACGAAGAAGCCAAAGGACAGTTGTTTTCTCAACAAGTTCCTAGGTATATTTTTGAAAAACAGAAATAAAGTTCAAGTAAAGAAAAATTAATAGAAAGCAGACATCCTTAATTCAAGACTTTTTTTTTTTGTGGTACTGGGATTTGAACTCAGGGCCTCACGCTTGCTAGGTAGGCGCTCTACCACTTGAGCCATTCCACCAGTGCAATTCAAGACTTTTTTAAGGGTATTAGAAATGCCTATCTTTCTGACATCATGGGGCTCAAGGCAAATTGAAAGTCATCTAATTAGAGAAAAAGAAAAGAACCTCTGGTTCCTAAGACTGGGCTCACCCTCATCACTTGTGTCATCATTCTGATTATTTTTCTTTGTGGACCTGGGATCATTCCTGCCCTCAGTTCTTATGTCTGTGTCTAGTGAATGAGTGTTAGATAATCTAAGTGGATACTATTTTATTTCATCTAGTAGATACCATTTCTCCAAAGAGGCAACCCCATGAGAGAGAGAGAGAGAAGGAGAGAGAGAGAGAAGGAGAGAGAGAGAGAGTTTTCTCATTATAGGTCTTTAGCAACTGGATAATGGAAGAGAAGTGCCAATACTATAGAGCTCCACATATGATATATGGACATGGCCCTGAGTTCAATCACTAGTACTAAAAAATTAAAAAAAGAAAAAAAAAAAAGAAAGAATACAGATGAATTTAACCTTCAGGAAGTCTCTAGAGGGAAACTTCAGAGCTTGAATCTGATATCACAGAAATTCATACTTAAAATTACTCAAGACAAGTAAGATTTGCTTAGGTTTTATATGTGGCTTTAAAAGGAAGACTTGAGAATTCAGTTTTGAAGTGCTAAGCTTTATAGATCTCGCTAGTCAACTCGCAATGAAATCAGCCCCCATTCCAGGAATTACAAGCAGAGTAATACATTAGTCAAGGTTTGACTTGGACCAGGAGATCAGCCCTATTCCCCTCTCGAATTCAGGAAACCATTCCCAATTACCAGTAGGCTTTTCTGTTTGAAGCTACAAATACTCTCATCTAGGACTGAATTTAGGGCAGATTTTTTTTTTTTGGATTTTTAAAGAAAAGGGCAAGTTTTTAATTGAATTTTGTTAGCTAAGTAAAAGAATAGCAAGTGGTCCATTTTTCCAATGCCAATAACTCTTGACTTTGCAGCTTTGAATGGAAAATACCCAAATGTGAAATCTAGTTTATATAAGAAGCTGTTCTAATCTAGTAAGTTATATTTTACCATTTTGGTACTCACACTATTAGCAGTATCCTTTCTCCATTTGTGCCATTTAGTCATGAAGAGTTAAGTAAAACTAACTGGTTTACATCCTCAAAGGCAAGCAAAACTTGTATTACTAGTGTTACTTATGACTGTCTCTAAACAAACCCAGTTTTATTTTGTTTTCATTTTTCCAGATCTTTATATTGCTTTTAAGACTGAGAATCAAGGGTCCACTAATTTTAATTTGGCTGCCAGCTAAACTTCATACTCTTTCATACTAATTCCATTAGCTTTGGTGGCTGCTATTTTTACTTTATCTCTTTCCAATATGAACAATGAACCTTATTATAAACACAACTTATGAAAGCTTCACATACTTTTTTTTGAATGAGAACTTTTTGGCTTCCATTTGCTTTTTTTTTTTTTTTTAAATCTTTTGGCACTGGGTTTGAACTCAGGGCCTCCCACTTACTAGGCACGCAGTCTACCACTTGAGCCACTTCACCAGCCCTTGTCTTCCATCTTCTCCCTTCCTTTCTCCCTCCCTTTCTTTGTAGTACTGACATTCAAATTCTCTTTCTTTTTTGCAGTACTGATGTTCCAACTTAGGACCTGATTTGAACTGGCAGGTACCCAGTCCTTACTTCCATTTTCAGTATCACTTTGCTTTTCAGATTTGTCTTACAACTCCTGCTAGCCCTACTTTTCTGCTTCTTTCAAACCTTCAAACCATTAACTGTCAACAGTTTGTTGATTCGTCTTCATTTTTGGAAAGACACACAAAACTCTGTCCTACATCTTGTAACTGGCATAATTATTTTTGCAGGCCCTGGGAATAACTCAGGGCCTCAGGCTTGCTGGCAAGGGTTCTATCATTTGAGCTACACCCTTACCCCCCCTTTTTAGGGTGTGAATGGGATTTGAACTCAGGGTCTCACACATGTTAGGCAGGCACTCTACCACTTGAGACACACCTCCGGCCCTTTTTCCCTCTGGTTATGTCTGAGATAGGGTCTCTCACTTTTGCCTGGGCCAAATAGGGCTTCACCAACCTTTTGTCAGGGTTGGCCTCAAACCGCAACCCGTCTCTGCTTCCCAAAGCTGAGATTATAGGCATACATTATGTGTGTGGCTTTTCTTTTTTAAAATCACCTTTGAATATACTGAAGAAAAAAAAAATTTTTTTTTTTTTTAAGACAGAGTCCCATATAGAGTCCAGGTTGCATTAATCCTCCTGCCTCAGTTTCCCAATACTGGGATTACAGGTGTGTACCACCACACCTGGCTAAAATACATCATAAAGGAGTTCAAAATGAGAACTTTTCATCATTGTGCACTTAAGGGGCCATACTTAAAATAGTATACCAAGTCAGACCTTAGACATTTTGTAACAAATATGCAATTTTATACGACTTGGGCCATAAAGGGTCCTATACTAAGAAAGTCAGTATAATACGGCATGAAAGTCATGTATCTTAAGAAATCAGTGTCTTTTTCTAAATTGCACAAATTGCTAGTAGAGGCTCTATTCTGAATCATCAACTCCTTTTTCAGATATTGAGGTTGAGATGAGGCTTATATCTCAGAGCTCGTAAGAAAAGCTGGGATCTGAATTTGAGTTATATAAGGTAGTAATATGTAAATAAGTTTAGAATACTTAACTTTCAAGGAGGGAAAACAAGTGGGAAAATAATCTTTCCCAAAGCAATCAGACAACACTTTTATACATCTGCATAGCTGTATGACTTATGCAATTATTTTACTATGCTGCTCTCACATAAAGTCACTTTTTTCCAACCTGCTTCTTTTCCTGGCCACTATTTTCCTGGCGAGTAGAAGAGATGACTAAATGTTCTCCTTTATGAGCTGTAAGAGTAATCTGGTGTTCTATACGCAACTGACATGCTGTGAATGTCAGATGACAAATGTGAAAACAACAGCCTTACATAATTATCATTAACACTCTACTGTGTCAACTCACAGGCTGTTTTAAAAATCAAGTAATGTGCAAAAGAATGGGTATTTTTCTAAAGAAGTAAGATGTGGACAGGATTAGATACTGAGGAAATGTCAAGAATATGACAATATGAAGTGTCCACCTGCACTGACATCATCTCAATTGACAATGTTGATCCCTCCACCACTACAAATCTGTAAAAGACATTCTTGGAACTGAATTAGCACTGCTAGCCCGTCACCAGCAATGCCACCTTATTAGCAGCTTCTATCTTTTGCTATAGAAGCATAGCCATAATGACTGATGAGGGTGCTTTCTGCTCCTGGAAAAGCTAGCAACAAATTAAAGGTAGTACTGAAGATATTGAGGCTAGCTTATTCTGATCTTACTAACTAGATTTCTAAACTGGCTGTTTATTTCTAAAATAAACTAGCACCCCAAATATTTTTCACATGTGTAAGGCTTCAGTTTTCATTTTGTCTGTACTGACCATGCCACAGAACAGTTATACTTTTAAAAGTATGTTTATGCAGAAAAAAGGACAGCACACCTGGATAGCCTCCTGAGACCCAACATCTCACTGTCATGAGTGTTCCTGGGAAAGCAGAAACAAACATTACATGTGAAGAGAAACAATACAAAGCACATTGGAGGGCATGCATAAACCAAATATGGTTGAGAAAAAGAGGATTATTCAGTCCAAAGGATAAACGATCCTAATACTTGCAACATTTCAACAAGGAAAACAGAAAGAATTTTGGTGGGGGTAAAGAACATATTGTCATAACGAAGAAAGCATACCCATAATTTTTCTTACACTCCTTGGTATTAAAAAGAATAAAGCAGAGACAGAATCATATGCAATACTTAGGAGTCAAGTCAAGTGGTACTTGAAAAACTTGGCCCTAACTTCTCTGGCCAAGCTTAACCTTATAGGCTGTAGTTTGCTGAGCTTCTGGAGAAGTCTATTTCTTATTACCAAAACCTCAACCTTCTGAAAGGCTCACCATGTAATTTCTTTTGTTATAGATCAAAGTATAAGACTTAACTCTCTCAAACTTTTAACATTCACTCATACTTGTATCTCAAATCTGGGTTTGTTCTTTCATTGCTTTGGTAGATGATTTATAATTATTCTCTTTTATGTTTTTCACTTTATTATACAAAACATTTCCTAGGAAACCCATTTATAAGGAAATGTTTTGTCTAAAATGGGATTTTATTCTAAGAACATAAAACTTAGTTCTCTTTCTACAGGAGGTTTAAGGGCAATGGCTTTCACTTAATCTGCTTGGGTGTCCCACCAACTACAAGCTACAGAAATATGCAACTTTTAAGGATCTGGCCTGGGTTAATGCTTCCTAGCAACTGTTTTTCTTAATACTCAACTAATTTGAGATCTTTCTTTCATCCAGTGCTGGCACTAACTGTACCATTACTTTTGCCTCCATTACCTTCTTTTGCCTGAGAAGTTTTTATCTTTGATTGGTGACTGATCTGGAAAACACGGGTGATGCTGAAGTAGAGTTATATAATTACACTCAAAGATGTTCTTGATTTGATGTCTCTGATCTGGTTTCACATTTTTCCTCCGTTGTCCCTGGTGTAACAAGGAATTAAGAACTTGGAAGGATGAAATTCAAAGTCCAGTAATGGAGGAGACTTACATCTCAGGGTACACCAATCAATTTAGTTACCATGGCATACATTGTAGCAATCTTCAAAGCTAAACTGTTTTTCCCCCCAAATGTTCTTTAAGAGAGGCAAAGACAGGACAGCTTCTCTTTTCTAACCACTTTTTAAAATCTTCTAATCTGAGTGAATCTTTTAACACATGTACAGACCTCTGTCAACAACTACTGACTTCTTCATTCAATTTTGAATGTCAAGTCCTGCTATTAGTGATTAGCTTATTTCTTGCTCAAGGAATTCTCCCCAGATTGACTGCTGAGGCAAAGATTATAAAGTAATTAAGTTTGAGGGAGGATACTGTTTCACAATAATCAGGCCAGAGAACTCCATGTGGGAGGTACAGATAAAAGAGATGGTCTCACACAATTCTAAAACCAAGCTTCAAAATCTCATAGTAAAGGTCCCCTTCCACAAAACCAGTGAGAGGAAAAAAGGGTTAGGGAAGTTGAGAGAAAGGTTAGAAAGGAAAAATCAAAATGCTCAAATATCTAGCTTAACATTTTATGAACTATAAGAGGCTATGATCTGATATTCTTAAAGCCACAAATAAAGTCCAAGTTAACAAAGAAAAACAAAAAGGGTCAAAGCAATTCACTTCAGTGGTAATACCACTTCCTTACCTTTTCTAATTCATATTTCATGTTTGCAACTCACTATGCAGAAATTACCTAAATTAGATTTAAGTGGTACTCTTAAAATGCCACCTTAAAAAAAAAAAGCCTGGATTGTAAAAAGAATAACATGTTTTGCCAAGCTACATGTCATTTTTCTGTGTCATTAAAAGCAATATGGGATTTATTTTTTTAAAAGCTCATTGTCCAGTTATAAACTGGATTCTAAAAGAAGATATGTTATCAAATACTTAAAGCTTTTAACAGAATTCATACATTCTAGCTTAAATTTTTCTCTGTACTTACTTAAAACAAAATAAATAGGGACTGAGATGAGCATATACCTTTTTCTTTTGGCACTACCAGTATCAGAAGTAGCTGAAGAGATCATGCTGTCTCCATCCTCAATGTCGTCTCTCCTGGCAAGCTCTTTCTTCTTTGCCTAAAACAGAGTAGATCCCAAGAGTTAGGCTCATTCTGCCAAGCACTACAATGAATACATGAATGTTAAAAAGCTAGACATATCAGATTCATTTAGAAAGTTACAAACACATGTAGGATGCACAAAATTATGGTCATTAACATTTTCAATAACCTAATTAAATAAAAGCCTGCATAGAAAAGCAAGTTAAAAAATGGACCCAGATGGTTGAAGAATCAATGTTACCTAGAGCATTGAAGACTGTGAAGGGCATATATTAGTTAAAAGCCTGAAGCTAGTGTAGGATCACAGCCTGCCCTGGTGGCCATATTTAGTTAAGTCAATTCAAATGGGCTTTTGCTACCCCTGACACTTAAGAGACAGTGTGGTTAAGTTTAACGTGAGAGGTGAAAGAAGATCAACACATGAATTTTTAAGGACCTTCTACAAAACAGAACTGAGAGTTCAAACACAGTGGGCTTAGGGAATATATACAGAGAACACTGCAATGTAAACACCTGAAATTCACAACACTAAGGATTATAGTGTTAATCACATAAAATGAAGATTGTATGGGTGATCTAAAATTGACTTTGCTGCTTCCTGGTTGTAAGATCTTTCTAGGAATTTCTACCAAAAACTGTGATATAGACAAAATCTGCATTTCATATCAACCTTTTTTGTCTTAAAATCCCTAGATGACCAGTGACCTCAGATGCTCTCCAAGGCATGTTCTCAGAGAAGATCTGACAAACTTTTGGACACTATACAATAGCCTTCAGGTATTTTTTCTCCTAGAAAGGATAATACTGTCTTTTTTCATTTCTGTGAGACACCATCTTGCTATGTAGCCCAGGCTAGTCTTGAACTTGAAATCCTCTTGCCTCAATCTTCCAAGTGCTGGGATTACAGACATATACTACCACACCTGGCAAGGTCATGCCTATCTTAACAGAGAAAAAGTCTAGAACCAAAAGAATAAAATGTAAATGTCAGAATATATTCTGGGATTGAAGGGTAACTTTCTGAGAATCCTAAAATTACCCTTCTTCCCCTTGGGACAAATCCCTGATGCTTCCAATCACAAAGCTTACTCAGTGGTCCTGCCAAGATTAAAAGAATACTCAGCAGTATTGTGTTTTAAATGAATGACTTGATATTGCTGGAAGGAAAGCATACATTTTAAAAGAACACATTCAAAGCACTTGAAATTCCTTCAATGATATATATGATAAGCTTAGCAAAACTAAGAAATCATACCTGCATGACTTGCTGCAATTTCAGAACTCGCTTATAGATGGCTGAATTAGGAACATTATAGCGTTTGGCATTTTCAAACATTAAATTCAGATCACACTCCAAATGATCTAAAGTTTCATATTCTTGGTTTTTTAGCTTCGTTCTGTGAAAGACAAACAAATGGCTAGAAATTTCTACTACAAAAATTATAAAACATTCTGCTTCAAAATCCAATACAAACTCTTCACAAAGACTAAATGATAGTGATTAAGGACTTGCAAGTGACTTTCAAGATAAAAAGGAAGGAGGTAAAAAGCACTATTATATTTAGGCAATATATCAATTTACCTGAAAAGTCAAAAGAATGAGCTAAAACAATAAAAATAAGAGGACTTAACAGAGTGGTCAATTACAAAGCAAATTAATATACTAGGAAAAATCCTAATGGAAAAGCCTTGATAATGGCTCTTTTTGAGAGATTTTAAAGCTATCTTGATGAAGAATCATGATGATCTACCTATTTCTGAAAATAAAAGGCAATTTTAGTTCATGCAGGTTAAGAAAAGAAGTAGTGCAATGCCATGAAGAAGTATTTACAATAATATATTTACTTCCATGGGAGATACACATGGAGAATGAAGAGGGATTTCTGATGATAAATGAGAGGAACATTTGTCGGAGTCTATTCATTATTATTCTTCCAATGTAATCATTTGTAACAAAGTATGATGGCTTAAAGGTGAGGATTTGTTGATTATGTTTATGATATCTTAGATATTATTGCTATTACTAACTTCACTTTGTACAAAGTGAAGAGTTTCTGTTAGTTTTAACTCTGTATTAATTTAGACATGATAAACTTTAAATCCTTTGATTAAAGCACTTGCATACTAATCACCAAAATCCCAGCAGTACTAAGAATGACAACATGAGCCAGGAGCTGATGGCACACACCTAAAATTCAGCTACTTGGGAGGCTGAGCTCAGGAGGATCATAGACTGAGGCCAGCATGAGCAAAAAGTTCTTCAGACCCCATAACCAATATAACCAGAGCAAAATGGACTGAAGGTATCAAGTGATAGAGCACCTGCTTTGGAAGCATGAAGCTGTGAGTTCAAACCCCAGTACCACTAAAAAAAAAAAAAAAAAAAAAAAAAAAAGAGAGAGAAAGAATTACAATATATACAAACAGCTTTACCAAATAAATGTAGAGATTCCCAACTGTCTTAGAAAATTTTACCAAAATCACATTCAGATTCTGTGTAGTGCTTAAAGAAATAATAAATATTAGCAAAATCTCTAGAATGAAGCAAAAGCAAGAACTAAGCATTAATTCAGTTCTCAGTATCAACTTATATAGTTAACACCAGAGTTTAAATTACAGCTTTAGACTTATTTTTGCCAATTCAAAGGTGAAGTGCTGGGTGCTTTTAACATCCACAAAGAACAGAAAATCCAAACTTGTAATTGAGAACTTATTCTAGATCCACAGATATTTACCAAAATACTATTAATCAAGAGTAGCAGGGGGAAGGAAAGATAAAAATAGGAATGAAAAACCCACTAAAGGAGAAAGCGGTATGAAAAGCCATACTAGCTAGCTCCTGCTTTTTTTTTTTTTTTTTTTTTGTGGTGCTGGGGCTTGACACTAAATGCATGCTAAGCACTCTACTACTGAGGTCATGTCTTCCACTCTTTGTTGCTTTTGGGAACTATCTGCCTTTTGTCAACAAATACTCCTAGGTCTATGCTGTAACATTAAGTAAGCCATTAGCAACATGTAGCTACTGAAGTTAAAATGAAACAAAATTCAAAATGAAGTTCCTTACTAAACTGGCCATGTTTCAAGTGCTCAACAGCCACATGTGACTAGTGACTTATCACACTGGATAACACATGCAATACATGTATTTCTATCATTGCAGAAAGTTATATTGAACAAACAGCACCGCACTAGACTTCACTGCTGCTCTGTAGAGTACAATGAATGGAAGTCCAAACACAGCAAAGTTCCTGTTAGGCACCACTGGAAGGATTGGGGTTCCAGTCCAGTCTGTGCAAAAGTTTGTGAGACCCCCATCTTAACAGAAAACAACTGGTGTGGTAGCATACACCTGTCATCTGAGCCAAGGTGGGAAGCATAAATAGGAAGATCAAGGTCCAGGTCAACCTGGGCAAAAGGCAAGACTCTTATCTCAAAACAAAAACAAAAACAGCAAAATGGCTGGAGGTGTGGCTCATGTGGTTCAGCACATCTGGCAAGCACAAAGCCCTGAGTTCGATCCCCAGTCTCTCTTACACACACACACCAAAACAAAACAAAACACAAACAAAAAAAACAGGCAAAGTTTATAGTAGAAACTTCTAATCTAAAAGATTATGGGCAAGGGAGTGGGTTGTCTAAGGACTCATTTTGACTTTTTTTTTTTTTAAAAAACTAATTACAGACTATTTGAATTTTAAAAAGAGTAAGGAAGAAACCAAGGACAAAAATTATTCCATTACGAGGGAACTTCTCAGTATCTATAAGACTGACACCTTTTTTGTTGTTGTTGTTAGAACTAGGGTTTGAACTCATGGCTTCACACTTGCAAAGTTCTACTGTTTGAGCCACACCTCCAGTCCATTTTGGAGATGGGAACTCCAGAAGTATTTGCCCAGGCTAGCCTTGAACTTTGATCCTCCTGATCTCAGCCTCCCAAGTAGCTAGGATTATAGATGTGCCTAGCTCAGTTTCTTTTGGTGGTGCTGGGGTTTGATCTTAGTGCCTCATGCTTACTGGACAGGTGCTCTAACATTTGAGCCATACTCTTAGCCCTTTTTTTTTTTTTTTTTTTGCTTTAGATATTTTTCAGATAGGGTTTTTGTATTTTTGCTAGAGGCCACTCTCAGACCACAATCCTCCCTCTTGATCTCTTCTTTCTGAGTAGCTGACATTAAAGAAGTGAGCCACCAATCCTGGTTTGTTACCATCTTTTTTAAGGCAAGGAATAAAAAAGAAAATTTTCTAGGCTATTTTCCTAATGAATGTCAGCAATAATTTCTTCATCATTTTAGTAAGGCCAAATAAACTGATTTTCTATATCCTATTTGTGTATAAGACTGCCAAAGATTAACATCAACGGATGCAAACAGAAAATACAAGTGTAAAACCATGAAATATGTTTTTAGACAATCTTACTTGCTAAAATCTGGCAAGTACAGCATTTCAATTTCTACTACTTGGAAGCTTAGCTATCTGCCATGAAGAATATGAGAATACTTAGTTTTACCTTGCCCAGTTAAGACAGTCTTACCTGCAATTTTTTTTTTTTGATACTGGGGGTTGAATACTGGGCCTTCACCTTGAGCCACTCCACCAGCCTATTTTTGTGAAGGGTTTTTTAAGATAGGGTCTCTTGAACTATTTGCCTGGGCTGACTTTGAACCTCAATCCTCCTATCTCTATCTCCAGAATAGCTAGGATTAGAGGCATGAGCCATAGGCGCCTGGCTTTTTTTAATCTGCCTTTTTAAAAAAATTTTTGAGATAGGGTTTTGAAACGTAGCCCAGGCTGGCCTTAAGCTTGACATCTTACTGCCTCAGACTCCCAAGTACAGGATTAGATATCCTAAACCCTGGTGAAGTTTTATCTACTTAATGCTATTTGGGTATATTGTAAAGCCTGTGGTGCAGCAGTTAGAGAATAACTATATTCTATAATACCACTTACATCTTTCATTTTAAATCTACTTTAGTTTAAATAAACAAGAAGGCACATCTGAACCAATTAAGTTCTTTTTTGTTTCGGTTTTGGCAGTACTGGGGTTTGAACTCAGGGCCTTGTACTTTACCACTCAAGTCACATCCCCAGCCCCTTCAGTTTTTAATTATTTTTAAGAAAGGGTCTTAAGCTTTCTGCTCAGGGTGGCCTTTAACCTCTGTTCTCCCATCTCCACACATGGATGTGCACCACTGTGCTGGGTCCTCTTTCCTGTTTTTCACACATGTAAATCTAAACAATTGTAATGGATTTCCAAAAATACTTCAATAAGTACTTTTAAAAATCTGAGCTCTAAGAAAGGAGCTTAAAACATAGGTAATATCAAGATTCACAGTGATTTTACATAGTCATTTATTTTAATTCAAATTAGTATTTTCAGTTAATTTCTCGTAGAGAAATTATTTATTCTTTAAAATGTTCTGAATTTGTATGATTCTTTAAGAATTTTTTTTTATATTAGGTCAGATCTACTTAAAAATGAGTTAAGGGAGGGTGGACCATGGTAGTCCATACCTATAATCCCATCTACTCTGGAGGAGAAGATAAGAGGATTGCAGTTGTCTGAGGCCAGTCTAGGTAAAAGCTCAAGACTATCTGATGGGGACTGGAGGGAGGTAAAGAATTTCGAAGGTAGGGAGAGTAGAATTTGAATGTGGACTTTTAAATAGGCCTTGCCTCCTGTGGTTCAAGGTCAGGTTTGCTGTAAATGGGAGGCTGTCGCATTCCTGGGAGAGATAATTCATCCAGGGTGTTTTTTTCTTTTTCTTGCTCCAAGAAGATCCCTATCTGCTTTGCCACCATTTGCAGTCTCCTGAGGACACTCAGGCAGAGAGGAAGGTGTAGGGGGAAAGTTATTTGCTTTTTCTGTGCTTTACTCTTTCCAGAACTCCTCCTCCTGGTAGGCCAGTCTTGGCCATGCCACCAGCTTTCTCATAAATGGTCATAACCAATCTCTAGCCCTCCCAGCCAGCTTTCCTTATTTCTAGTGTCTGTGGAGTTGGGGGAAAGCCTGAGATTCTTCTCTGTTATAGCCTCTGGAGTCATGGGCCTGAGATTGTGTGACTCCTCATCAGTAGCTCCTTGTGAAGGACTGAAACCTTTTTTTAAAATATGATTCTTCAGGATGGGGAATCGCTGGCTTACTCTGTGAAACTTGACAGCAATTTAATAAGGTTCCCCGCCCCCCCCCCCCCCCCCCCCCCCCCCCGAACTTTAAGGTGGCTGAACCAATTTTTTAAAGATTCAATGGCTTGTTTGTCCTCTGGTTGTAGCTACTGACTGTACACTTTGCAACAGTGTGTCTGTGGTGGTCCTGATTTATAAGATTTCTTAGTTAAAATGTCTGCTGAATAAATTTGTTTTTTTGTTTTGGAAGAAAAAAAAAAAAAAAGACCCTATCTGAAAAACTAAAAGCAAAAGAACTATGGGGAAGGGTGCATGTGCGTGGCTCAAATAGGAGAGCACCTACCTAGCAAGAGTGAGTGAGGCTCTGAGTTCATCCTCAGTACCACCAAAAACAAAACAAACAAACAAAATAGTTAAGGTCTGAAGAGTTCAGTGGTAGAGTGCTTGCCTACAGTGCAAGTATCACCCATCTCTAGAACTCTTTTCATCTTGTAAAACTTAAACTCTGGGGCTGGGGTGTAGCTCATCAGTAAGGCACTTGTCTAAAATGCATAAGGCCCTGGGTTCGATCTCCAATACTGTGAAACAACATCAACCCTGAAACTCTGTACCTACTAAAAACTAACTTCCTATTTCTCTTTATACCAGCATTCGACTTTCTGTTTCTATGATTTTGACTACTCTGAAGTATCTCATTTAAGTAGAACTATGTAGCACTTTTCTTTTTGTGACTAATTTCACTTAACATGTCCCCAGGGTTCTTCAAAGATATGGCATGTCAGAATCTCCTTCTTTCAAGGCTATTTTTTCACAGTATGTATGTACAGACCATATTTTACTTATCCATTCATGTCAGTGAGTTCTTAAGATGCTTCCATGTGAATAATGCTACTGTGAACATGGGTTTACAAATACCTCTTTGAAACCAGCTTTCAATTCATTTGGGTATATGCCCAAAGTCAAATTATTGGATAATACAGTAATTCTGTTTACTTTGTAAAGAAAATGTCAGGCTCTTTTCCACAATGGTTGTGCCATTTTATATTTCTAACAATGTAGAAGAGTTCCAATTTCTCTGCAACCTTGCCTCATTATTTCCTTTTTTTTGGATAGCAACCATCTTAATAGTATGAAGTATGTCATTATAGTTTTGATTTTAACTTTCCAAATGATTAGTGGTGTTCAGCATTTTTTCATGTGCTTATTAGCCATCTGTATATTTCTTTTGGAAAAAATGTCCATTCAAGTCCTTTGTCCATTTATTTATTTACTGGGTGGTACTGGAGTTTGAACTCAGGGTCTACCACTCAAACCATGCCTCCAGCCCTTTTTTGCTTTAGTTATTTTTCAGATAGGGTGTTGCACTTTTTGCGTGGGGCTGGCCTCAGGCCATTATCAACTTGTATCTGTGGAATAGCCTGGATTATAGGCATGCATCATCATGTTATCTTTCACATAAACTTTCCATGAACTACTATGTTTATTCTAGGGATTCAACTAAATACAGAATTTAAATACAGACAAATTGTCAAAATTAAAGTATCAATGAAAGGTGTAAGAAGATTTGTTTAAAACTTTACTCAGGTGTAAGACAAATGAATATGTGTGTGTGTGTGTGTGGTGTGTGTGTGTGTGTGTGTGTGTGTGTGTGTGTGTGTGTTTTATTGGGGTTTGAACTCAGGATTTTGCACTTGCAACAACAGGTACTTTACCGCTTGCTTGAGTCATGCCTTCAGTCCTGAATGGTAAAATTTTTTTTTACATTTAATATCTTTATCTATTTTTAGAAGACATATGTATGTGCAGGCCAACAACAAGAAAACAGATTTACACTGAATAATGTAGAGGTGATTTTACCTGATCTGTTGAAGTGATATAGGCATTTTGATTTGTTGATAGTAATCAGGGTATTTTTTCTTAGAAGGCAAATGGAAAAAAGGTTCAGCTATTAGCTGCCCTTGGTTATTCCGACAACTCCTAACTGTGTCATAAAGCTGATAAAAAGGATTTGAAACATCCATAAAAGAAGTGATACTCTCTGCTTCTGACTCTCCTTCTTCATAACGTGCAGCTGAAAAGACAAAAAAAAAAAAAAAATTTATCAGGAGAAGAAAAAATAAAGGACAAACAGAGTTACTTTAAAGCTCTTTCAACAACTTTCCAGATTAAGCAACATATACTTGAAAATAATTATTTTAAAAGAATAGTCTCTAATCTTCATTAAAGATAATGTTAAACATGCTTAAGGTAATTGCACGTTTAAGTATTACCTAGAAATAGAATGTTAAATAGTAAAAGTCACACACATTTGAAAAAATTACAAAATAGTTTCCATTTTCAACGTGCTTTCCTCAGAGACATCTTGCTATGCTTTGCCAAAAGGAGCAAGCAGCCATTCTGAGATCTCAGAACTAAAGCAATAGCATGAAGTTTAGTACTATAGTTAAGATCTAGAGTGGTAGAACGGTGGAATGTATCCCTTAAGGCCCCTGTGGCTATTGGGAGGTAATGGAAACTTTAAGATGTGTAGCTCATGCCTGTAATCCTAGCTACCTGGGAGGCAGAGACTGGAAGGATTGTGGTTTGAGGTCAATCAGGGTCAATAGTTCTTGACACCCCCATCTCCAAAATAACCACAGCAGGGCTGGGGATGTGGCTCAAGTGGTAGAGCACCTGCCTAGCAAGTACAAGGTCCTGAGTTCAAACCCTAGCAACACCAAAAAAAGAAGAATAAAAAAAAAAGGTGAGGCCTAGTGGGAGGCCTTCCAGTCATGGCGGGGGGGGGGGGGAGGCACATACCCTTATGCCCTTGAAGGAAACAGCAGGACCCTTCCATTTTTGTTTCCTGGCATGGTTCTGTTCTACTATATACACCTGTCATAATGTGTTGCCCTGCCACAACTTAAGAGCAACAGGTATGCCTGATCATGGACCAGAGCCCCCAAAACTGTAAACCAAAATAAGGTATTTTCATAAGCTTATGATCTAAGGTATTTGGTACAGTAATGGAAGGTTGACTAACACACTTAGGATAGTATAAATTTAGATTAGTCCAATGCTATCAGACATGTCTTAGCCTTAAGTGTCTGTGACTTTGCCCCACTGATCTGTAACATCTCTGGGGAATAACGTATTCCTTTATTGAGAGAATTTGGGGGTAGAAAAAACGCCAGAGCAAATGAAAAATGCTTTTACAGAAATACAAACTTATTTTGTTCATTTCTCTTCAATCATTTATTAAGTACTGAGTTTCCTATTAAGAGCCTGAAAAACACCAACCTCAGATAATAACTAGTATCACTACCCAAAGTAAGTATTGTTATTTCTTTGCCAAATGAGAAAACTGGGCATAATACACACCCTGCAAAACACTCAGGATGGAATCTGAATCCAAGGTCATGGAGCTAGAAGCAGACAAGGATTTAAAGTAGTCTTTGTTTTTTAAGAGTTTCTCTAAATAGTCCAGATTGAACGTAATCTTGCAAGGTAGACCAAGTTGCCCTCAAATTTGTGATCTTCCTGCCTCAGCCTCCCAAGAGCTAAGATTACAGGAATGTTCTACCATGCTGGCTCTGAAACTAGTCTTTTCTGGCTCTATTACCTCTAATCTTTTCCATAAAGAGCTTGCACATCTTGCTGAATTTATGCCTAGATTTCTTTCTTGTTACTGTGAACTGTATCTTTTATTTTGAGGTGTTGAGGATCAAACCCAGGGCCTTGTGCATGCTAAGCATGTGCTCTATTACTGAGCTATGTTCCCAGCCCAACTGTTTATCCTTTTCTTAGGATGGTGTGGGAGGGACTAGGGTTTGAACTTGGGACTTCACACTTGCTTCAAGCTTGCAAAGCAAGCACTCTATTGCTTGAGTCAGACCTCCAACCCTGTGTATCTTTAAAAAACTTGTATTTTCTATTCTGGTCTATTCCAGAAACAAAATGAATTTTTATATAATGATCTCACCTTTAGCACCTTAACTTTAATAATTTATCTGTAGAGTCTCAAGTAGAAAACTAGAAAAACAATCTATCAATTGTAATCCTCACATATCTTTCTTCTTGTCTGATCCTTATACCTTAACTGTTGCCATTGTAAGCCTGCTAGTACTTTCACTAAAAGAATTAACAGCATTCTTATTTATTTTTGATGATAAAGGGAATGATGCTAATATTTCTCTTAAAAATGAAAATGCCAACCAGCTATGGTGGCATATTACTATAATTCCAGCATGCACAAGGCTGAGGATTGTAATTTCAAGGTCAGCCTGGGCTACATATCAAGACCCTGCTTCAACAATAAAACCAAAATGCCTTTTATCAAATTATTTACCAAGAATCTTTTAAAATCAAGAAGGGGAACTGCATTTATCAAATGCATCTGCTGATGTGATAAGTGATACTATTTTTAATCTTCTATGTTGAATCAACCTGGTATTACTGGAATAAACCCAACTGTATCATCAAATCTTTTATATATATATGTACTGCTAGATATGGTGTACTTATATTTTGTTTGGTTTTGAACGTACAAGGCCTCAAACCTGTAATTTGCCTGACTTCAGAGTACTGAGATTACAGCTATGTGCTACCATGCCCATTTTGACCCAACTTATTTCAGTATGTGTTGTTTTCATTATTGCTGTCCCATTTTAAGTATTTTAAAATTTCTATATTTCCTTTCAAATAATCTATGTGTTTATTTTTAAATTTACAAATGTTTAGGTTCTAAAATTTTATCTTTTCCTCATTATTTGCTATCTTAGCAGCACTGCAGTCAGAAATGTGCTCTGTAGTAATTCTGAATTATTCAAATTTATAAAAACTTGTTTTAGTAATAGCTGTGTAGATGGTCAGTTCCCATAAATAGGAGCCTGAGAAAAATATGTATTTTCTAATTGTGATATTTCAAGCTCACTGTGGTAAGCTGCATAATAACCAACCATCACATTTTCAGGTCCCAATCCACAGAAGCTATGAATATTACCTTACATAGTAGAGGGACTTTGCAGATGTGAGTAAGTTAATAATCTTAACATGGGAAGATAAACCTGGACTAATCTCTAGATTATGTGAGTAGGTACTTAAAGGTAATCACAAGAATCACACCAAGAAGAGGAGGAAGAAATAATGGATGCAGAGGCTGGAGAAGTGCAGTTTGAAAATGGAGGAAGGGCAATGAGCCAAGATATACAAGTAGCTTCTAGAAGCTAGAAAAAGCAAGGAAATGGATTCCTCCCTAGAGTACCTAGATGGAGCATGAGCTTGCTAACACCTTGACTTTGAACTTGAGCTCCAGAACTGTGAGAAAATAAATTTGTGTGCTTTAAGTCACTGTGTTTGTGTTAAACTTTTTTTAACAGCAAAAGGGAACAAATATAAAGCAGTATATTCAAATCTTCCGTGTCTTCATTGGTTTTCTATCTGCTAGCAATTGAAAGAAGGGGAGCCAACTCTATGGATAGGATAGTGTTTTCAATTTCTCCATAGTTTTATCTGCTTATTTTACATATTTGGAGCTCTTTTATAATTTATCTTCCTAATGAAATACTTTTTACCATTATGAGGTGAATTCCTTTTTATTTTTCTAATGATCTAAGAAAATCCATTTCACTGAAAGTGAGTAAAGCTACTCTTTAGTTAAAAATATCTTTCTCTATCCTTTTATGTAAAACTGTTACATTTTTATATTTACCCAGCTATGAACATTAACACAAAATAAAGCAATTAGCATTTGATAAATCTGCTAAACAGAGTACAAAAAATGCAAAAAAGAGAGCATGTTCTCCAAAACACAACAAAATATAGGCCAGACCAAAGTCACTCCAATTCCCATCAGTCAGAAGTATCCACTAAAAAGCATTTAACTAGCAACAACCTAATGCCTACCAGCTAAAGCAGCATCCTCTTCACTTTCTGAGCCATACTGAAGTGCCATGGTAATTGCTGATAAACGACCCCCTTGGACTGCTCTTTTATTACTATAAAGAAAAACAAGCAATTAGAAGACAGGGAACAATGTTGTAACTATAATAAGTATAATTATAATAGCTAAATAATTTGATTACTTTACATGAACTAGAACTTTTAACAAAGCACTAATATCAAAGAAAAATAATTTCTATAACTGCTTCCTTCTTCACTTATTTTTGTACTTCTTAATATTCCTTATAATTAGTCTTAGCAAAGAAAAATAGGTTTTATATTCCCTCTCAGAAAAGAAGTGGTGGTAAAGAGCATAGAGTAGGATACCTGCAATTTTCTTTTACTTAAAATGTAGCACACTACTCCTTATGGACAGTAAGGATTCATCAGTTATTGCTATTCTAAGACAATCATATTTTACAATAATAAAAATTTTATTATGATCACAAAATTTATTAGTATAAATATTTAGCCAATTTTACTTATAGCAAACATTAAACACTAATCTATAAACAATGCTTAGGCAGTATCTGAGAGGTGAGGTTAGGTCTACGATAGTACTTTAACCTTTTTGTTATTTTTTTGAGACAGGGTCTCCTTAGGTAGTTCAGACTGGTCTTAAACTTGTGATCCTTCTGCTTCAGCCTTCCAAGCGGTGAGATTACAGGCATGTTACCACCACATTCAGCTCCTACTTCAACCTTTTTAATAAAGTACTTGATAACAAATTCTCATAATAACTTAAAAGTATCACTTCAATGCCACAAGGAAACTACCTATGTGGCTATCTTAAACAACAAAAAATATCATTTTTTTTCTTCTTCTCTTATACAAAATCAGAGAACAGGAAGGTGGAGCAGGTCCTGGGTGGGCGGGGGAAGGAGGGAGGAGGCTGGTACCAGTGAGAGGGGAGAGAAAGTGGGGAAATGTTGGATAAGGGTGAATATGGTGCAAATACCACATACACATGTATGTAAATGGAAAATGGTATCTACTGAAACTATTCCAGGCATGGGGGGAGGTGAAGGAAAATGAGGGGGTGAATTCAAGTAGGATATATTTGATATATTTTAAGAACTTTTGTAAAGGTCACAGTGTATCCTACCCAGCACAACAACAACAACAAGAGTATTACTTCAAGATAGCCATCAGGGAAATACCAGTATGCTTACTGCCATAAGCATGGGTCGGTCAACTCTCAGATTAAACTTTCTTTCACTCACCGGTAATACTTGCTAGTGGGATTTCTTTCTTCACAAAGGCTGCCTTTACTGTGAGAAGGACCTGTCAGCCTAGCTGCAGCCAAATTTGACGTAGTTCTATCCAGAGATAAAATTTAAAAAGTTCAGTAACTTAATAGCTAATATAAGAATGCTGGGTAAACAAAAAAGAAGATAATCATTTTCTTCTTTTCTAATAGAAATGACAAAAGTATTTCTGAGACTCTACTATACCACAGGCTCTGCTTCAAGATCTGGAGATTTTGCAGAAGAAAAGGAGCTTATGGTTACTGCAGAACCAGAGGACATGGTATCAAAACAAATGTGAGGGCCAGAAGAAAGCTCTGAAAGCAGTCACCAAACCTTTCCATTTTAGGTAAGAAGAAACAGAATCTCAGAACTGAGGTCTGTTCAAAGTTATAGTCCTAGTAAAGGAAAAGTCAGAATGAGACTTCAGATCTCCTGGCTAAATATCCTTACTGGGGGGATATTACATACATATATAATATTACATACAAATGGTTGTAATCACATAAGGAAATAAAAGTACATAGCAGTGTTAGGTCTTAAATTTTTTTCCCCCCCACGCTGAGGAGTGAATTCATGACCTCCTGCTTGCTAGGCAGGTACTCTACCACTTGATCATGCCCCTAGCCTTTTTGTGTTGGTTATTTTCGAGATATGGTCTCACTTTACACACAGGCCGACCTGGACAGCAATCTTCCTACTTGTACTTCCCCACTTAACTTGCAATGACAGGCATACATCGCTGAACCTGGCAACTGGTTGAGAATGGGGTCTCCCTAACTTCTTGCCCAGGCTGGCCTCAAACCTCGATCTTCCCAATCTCTACCTCTCAAGTTGCAAGGATTATAGGCTTGAGCCACTGTGCCTGCTCTACTTTTAATTTTTTTTTTAAATGAAGTCCTTCAACTCTTTTCAGATTACATTATAAACTGTAATATAATCTTGAAATGCAATATAAATCTTATTTTCCAGTGTACTGATCTCACTAGTTAAAAAATTCAGGAAATATAAAGAATCAAAGATCTTAGAAAATTTTTAACTTACCTTATTCGGAGACTTGACTTAGTCATTTCATGATGTTCAATTTCTGCTTTTTTCATATAAAATATTTTTTTAATTGAATTTGCATCCTGTCAAGATAAAATTACTTGGCTTAAAAAAGGAATAGAAAAAAAAGGACAGCCAAAACTGCCCTTAATCATATACCTTTTATAGTCCCCTTTTCAGTTGGAGCAGACTTCAATAGCCACAAAGCTGAATACCTAACCTTTCTACAAGCTCCCAAAACATCTTCATAAAGTTGTCGCTAATTAGATACACGTTAAAAAGATTTCTAAAGCTGAGGACAGCCAGCCCATCAATCCCACTGTGGAGGTGGGAGGAGGTGCTGGTAGCCAGACACTGGCCTGAAGACCTCCAGGGAGCGTACTGTCTCTTCTTCAGCAGGAGCCACCAGCCACACAACAAATCTTTGCATAATGTAGAAAACTTGAAACTGTGTGGAAAATGCAACAATACAAATGGCCATAGGTACAATTATAAAGTTGAGGTGACAATACATGGAGAGAATGATCCTATTTACAGGAGTGTTTATGAATTTGACTGACTGACCTCAAAAAAATACATGGAAGAGGCAATTACAACGTCCCTTAAACACAAAAATGTGGATTTAGATGCACCATACTTTTCAGATGTTAAATATGACAGAAAACATAACTGTATATATCTTGGAAAACCTGCAGAAACTGCTTCCTATGGGAGTTCTTTATAAAGAACTAGATATTCACTGTCTATGAAATAGACAATAATATCATAGTCTATGAAGAATAGTTCTTAGGGGTTAATATTTTTGAAAGACTAATTTCTTTTCATATTTGACAGTATCTTTGATCCCTTTGAATATTAAGCAGTCATCATGTAATTGTTATGCCTCTACATTGTGTTCTAGAGTGCCTATCTACTGAAAAAACTGTAAGACCTGTTATAAGTTTAAATCTATTTAAAAAAAAAAAACACTAACTCTTTAATGTATTAGTCCAGTAACACTCAAAAAAACTAATGGCAAAAAACAATGAACTCTATTTGTGTACACTGACCTAAAAATTTAAACAAACATCTACTTTTGAGATTCTACACATATACACAAGCTTTGGATGAATGTACTTGCTTAAATTAATAGCAAATCAATATTCAAATCTAAAGTGTCCTTTCTCTTTAAAACTTAGTTTTGGGAAAATTAGGCCAAAAAGAAAATTCTTAACTATATCAACAAATAACTAGTATTGTATCATTAAAATGTCCTATCAGGGTCTAATAGTACAAGGACATCACAATTCATTCCTGATTTTCATTCAAAGTTTCTCAAAATATGGAAGATAAGGGTTAATATTAAGCTGGGCATGATGGTCCATGCCAGTAATCCCAGCACTCGGGAGGTAGAAGCAAGAGAATAACAAGTTCGAGGCTAGCCTAGGCTACATAGCAAGATACTGTCTCAAGAAAACAAAAAACAAATAAAAGTTGTTATTAACTACCAATAGCAATGATGAGTATTTGGGTCAACACTGAGAAAATCAAATGATTTTACCACCAAAAATTTTTCTGAGCATCTTTTCCTAAAGTTCCAATATGTGATTAATTCAAGAAATTTCTACAAGCAACAAAATTTCTAAGAGTTAACTGGAAAGCCATGAAATAGTTATTATACATTGTGTATCACAAAGGGTGCTTTTTATACTTATGAAGTTTAAATTCAGGGAATAAATCAGTGTTTTTAAAAGGGACCCAAAATTAACTTGGTCTAGTGTAAGAATAAACTGAGACAGAAAAAAGAAACTGGAAATAAACCCCTACATCTAGGGTTAATTGATTTCAATAAGGGAGCTGGGACAATTCAACGGAGAAAGAACAGTATTTTCACTATATGGTGTTGGGATAATATTCCATGTAGAAGAATAAATTTGGATTCTTACCTAACATAAAAATTAATTCAAATTGGGTCAAAGATCTAAATATAAAAGCTAAAACTATAAAATACATATAAAAAAATACAGGTGTATATCTTCATGACCTTGGATTAGGTGATGGTTTCTTTGATATGACACCTAAAATGCAAGCAATCAAAGGAAAAAATAAACTGGACTTCATCAAAATTAAAAACTTTGTGTCAAAGGAAATTAACACACAAGAATAAAAAGACAAGAGAATGGGGGAAAAAAATTTGAAGATTGTATGTTTGATAAAGGTGTGATACCACAATACATAAAGAACTATTAACAATAAAGAAACATAATCCAATTAATAAATGGGCAAAGGATCAGAACAGATTATTTCCCCAAAAACAGACTTACAAATAGCCAATATGCACATGGAAAGATGTTTAACATCATTAATTTGTTTAGGGAAAGGCAAATCAAAACCACGATGACGTACTACTTCATACCTACTAGAACGGCTATAATAAAAACAAAAATAGGAAACAATGTTGGTGAGAATGTAGAGAAACTGCAACATTTGTACATTCCTGGTGTGAATGCAAAATGGCAGTTAGTATTGAAAACAGTTAGCTGATTCCTCAGAAAGTTAAATATATAATTACTATATGACCAACAAATTTCATCCCTAGGTATATATCTAAATAAAATTAGAAACGTGTATGTAAATGTTCACAGCAACATTATTCATAAAAGCCAAAAAATGGTAACTCAAATATCTACCAACTGACGAATGGTTAAATGTCAGTGTATCTGTACCTGTATATCTGATATAGTATATCTGTAAGGCAGAATATTATTCAGCAATGAAAAGTACAGATACACACACATACACACACACATACAGCGTGGAGGAACCTTAACATAATGCTAAATTAAGGAATCTAGTCACAATACCATATATTGTATGATTCCACTTATATGAAATATTTAGAACGGGCAAATGTATAGAGACAAAAAAAGTACATGGTGCTTGTCTAGAGCTGCATTACATGCTGAATGGAATTACAGCTTTGAATATACTAAAAACCATCAAATTATATACTTTAAATGGGTGAAATATATATACATGACTTTATAATTCAACAAAGTTGTTACATAAAAATTATTGACCCTAAATTCTAGTATCTACCATTACCAATGAAAATAGCAACAAAAAACTAACCTTGAATACTTGAGAACCAGGCTCATTATAAGTTTTGGCATTTTTTGCTAGGAGATCTATATCTTTGGCCATTGCATGAATACTTTTGTAGCTTCCGTTCTACAGTAAACAACAAAATATAGCAGTTCTTCTTAATGAGAGTTAATCAATATAACATTTTATAAAAAGAACTCCACGTAGTTTTTTAAATTGTCACCACAGTCCAAGACTTCATTGGAAAGTACATATGTGAACAATGTATAAAGTCATTTTCTCTTTTGTAAGTTATTACTAGTACCCATTTATAAGTAAGTTGTTTTGTAACACGTAACAAAACCATATCTATATTTTTCATAAAAATAGTTTCCAACTTTTCTTTTTTTTTTTTGGTGGTACTGGGGTTTGAACTCAGGGCTTCACGCTGTGAGACAGGTGCTCTACCACTTGAGCCACTCTGCCAGTAGCTTACAACTTTTAAAAAAACAAATAGTTAAAGGTTTTATTTAGCAAACGTAGCGCTTACTATGCTCCAGGTGCTTCATTAAAGAACTTAATAGTATGAAATAAAGCTCCCTCTGGTTTTCTAGCCCTCTTGAGGTAAAATATAAAATAAGTATAGCACAGAGGCCATGTGTCTGAGCTATCACATCTTAGCGCTCACTCAACTCCAAAATAACCCAGGAATACTCTTACAGTTGCTTGGGTTTATACAGCAAAGAAAGGAGGGACACAGGCTAGGTAAAGGCACACATGACTAGTGAAAAGTACACAGAAATAAACAGGACAAGTTCCAGAGAGTGAAAAACCAAGTAAGGTGGTGTGCAGGGTGGGGAAAGGTAGAACTAAACAGACAGGGTAAGGCCAATACAGGCAGAATCTGGAAAGCCAGGCAAAGAAGAATTGTTTTCTATGTGGGCATCCATCTTATTTGAAAGGAATTCCAGAACAGCTGGTAGGTAGGGCAATGAGGGTGAGAGCAGACAGATGGCTGCTTTGCCAACAGCCTAGCAGCAAGGCAAAGGCAACTAACTACAGGTCAGCTAATTCACGTGAGTCTGAAAAGACTAAAGCAACAGCCAGTGAATGACAGAAATTCATTATTTTGTACAGAGGAGAGTCTAGCAGCAGGCCAGACTTCCAGGACCCACAGTGGAAAATAACAGTGGTAACAGCAAAGGCATCACAAAGAGGTTGTAAATAACCTCAGCTGTGCCATGACATCCCTGAGTTCTGCTTATTTTCCAAAGGGTAGTTCCCCAGCCTTCCATTCCAACAATTTCATAAGCTATTCAATCCCCTTTCTGTAAATTCCTTTCCGCTTAAGTTAGTCAGAGCTGATTATTTTTTGAACTGGTCCAAAGAGTGGTGACAAAGTCTACAGGGATTAGGAAACAACTGACTTAAGTCTCTGAGCAGTGAGATGGCAGGAAGAAAGCCAGGGTTAGGAATCAAGATGCTGAAAAGACTAGAGACCTTCTCGTCAAAGAGGGAGGAAAGATTATTCCAATAATTTGGATAGAAGATGACAAGGATCTTGAAAAGGGAATAGCAAAAGATGACTCTGGGGCTTTTGGAAGAAAGGACAACATAAGGCAAGAACCCAGAGAGAAAAGACTAGGGCTGACTTAAAAGACATTTAAAATCTGATTTAAATCAGGGGCCAGTGGCTCACACTTGTAAATCTAGCTACTTGGGAGGCTGAAATTGGAAGGATTATGGTTTAAATCCAACCTGAACAAATAGTTCATGAAACCCCATCTCCAAAATAGCCAGAGCAAAATGGACTACAGTTATGGCTCCAGGAGGATTTTTTTTTTTTTTGTGCACAAAGCCCTGAATTCAAACCGGAATCCCACCAAAAAAAAAAAAAAATCTCATTTAATTTTTAGTACTGTGAAACTATCATTCCCCTAGATAGATGTGAGAAACTGCAGGAATTCAGGAGACTTGAGCATTTTCTGTACCAGTTACTGAGTTGCTTTTTAAACCAGACTATACATTAAGGGGTCTGTATTTAAACATTCTGTGAAAGTTTACCTATAGAACCAGTAATTACTACATTGTTACTCTTTACTATCCTAAAGCCAAGGAAGTTTCTCCCTTCTGGCAAACCACTGTGCCAGTCTTACTGCTCAATGAGACCATGTAACTTGTTTTTCTTTTTATCTCCTGGGAACAACAAACCCTTCTTACCCTGGGAGGGTGAGTGACACACTAACCATAGCTTCATTATGTAGGTGCTATATGAGATGGTTTATATACATCATTATCAACTTCCATGACTCTTCGAAGTGATACTACATTCAATAGACAACAGAGGGAGCAAGCAGGTTGGCTGACCAAAGTGACAATAGTAAGATGCAGAGTTGAGAGAAAAAAAACAAAACAAAACAAACCCAAGCCAGTTCCACTCTAACTAAAGCAAAAAGGGTGTGGGTGTGACTCAATGATAGAGCACTTGTCCTAAGTTCAAACACCAGTACCACCAAAAATAAACCAACCAACCAACCAACCACATTTCTGGCACAATTTAGATTTTCTTTGTATACTTTCCTTAACCTCTGACCATCAAAATATAAATCCTGATCATTAATTCGCTCAGTTGATATTTACAGACTAAGAGCACAGACTCTAGAGCCAGGCTGTCTAGATTCAAATCCTAGCTCTTCTTGCTAGTTGTTGATTTGGGCATTATTTAACATGTCTGGGCTTGTTTTCTAATCTGTAAAATGGGGATAATAGTATCTACATCTCATACAGTTGTTTTAAGAATGATTTACCTAATATAAAGCATTTAGGACAGTACTAGGTACACAGCAAAGCTACCTTAATGTTAGCTGCAGCTATTTAGTGCTGGAGAAATATTGGGGGAGAGAGCAGACAATTGAAGAAAGTATCTATTTTCACTGACTTTATATTCTAACATCTGTTGTAGGTTAACTGTTTATTTTAGTGACTAGGTTTTTATTTATTTTTTAATTTTTTATTAGCATATAATAGTTGCATAGGAGGGATACACTGTGATAGTTACATGTGTGCTTACAATGCATCTTAGATTTACCCTCCATTGTTCTCCCTCCTTTCCTCTCCCCCCATTGTAGGTAACTTTTATTCTAAGATATCCTAAAGCTACTCAGAAGTGGATAAAAATAAACAACAAAGCTTTTATTGCCAATGCACCTTTCACAATAAGAAATGTCTGTAATCAATCTGTTTTGATTAAAAAAAAGTTTGTAGGGCTGGGGAGCAAACTCATGCCAGGCTAGCATTGTATCACTAAGCTATATCCCATTCCTAATTTTTGTCCTAAGACACAATCCAAAACGATAATCAGTAACAATCTTGTTTGTACTATTTACTGCCAACAACCCCTTAGAGATATCTACTTCTTTGCTTCTTAAGAGCCCCTAAGAAAATCCACAGGTCAATTTGCTATGGTCACTTTCATACCTGTATCCTCTGGGCAATGGTCTTGAGATCTATAGGCTCCTTAATTATTGCATAATAGTCTGGATATTGCTGGAAGACAAAAACCCAGGTATGCTCAATGAGGGAAAGTATTCAACTAATGAGAAGTTAAGAAGCACACTCACAATCTGTTATTCAGCCAGCAAACTAAGCAACTTTATGAAATTCATGGCTAAAGACACAGCTGTACAGCATACTGCTATATTTGAAGCAAAAAAAAAAAGTTATTGATTTTATTCAGTCCTTTATTTATTTGAGACAAGGTCTCATTATGTAGCCCATAGAATTCATACAGATCTGTAACAAATCAAGTTGGACAATTTGTTAGCTTCGTGCTTAACAATGTTTTGGTCAAAATAAGGCTTTTCAAAGTAAAACTTTTTTTGAGGCAGGTCTTGCGATGTAATGTAGGCTAGTCTGGAACTCACAATTCTGCATCAGCCTTAGTATTTGCTTTCTTCCTTTCTCATTTCCATTTAAAAAGTGTTTTAGCCAGGCGAAGTAGTATATGTCTGTAATTCCAGTGAAACTATAAGCAATCTCTTTTTCTTGGCTGGCCTCATGCTTACTAGGCAGGCCTTTACCACTTGAGCCATGCCCCCAATCATTTTTGCTTTAGTTGTTTGTTGAATAGGGTCTTGTGTTTTGTGTTTTTGCCCGGGGTTGGTCAGACCTCAGATCCTACCTACTGCCTCCTGAATGCCTACAATTATAGAAGCTTGCTACCATAAGCAGCTACTGGTTGAGATGGGGTTTTGCTAACTTTCTGCCCGGGTTGTCATCAAATCAAAATCATACTGATTTCTACCTTATGAGTAGATGGAATTACAGGTGTGCCTGGCATGTTTTTTGTTTTGTTTTGTTTTTTGAGATGGAGCTCTCACTATGCTGCTCAGGCTGGCCTCAAATTTGGAAACCTCAGTCTCCAAGTGACCAGGATCATAGTTGTATGTCACTGAGTCTATCCCCATAAACAATTTCTAACTTACCAAGTATTAGTTCATCCCAAGAAATTGGACATATTAGGGGATGTCCCTGAAACTTTCACAATGACTACCCTCAAATTATTTTACAAATTTTGTTTCCTTGAAGGAAACAGCTGGTCAATCAAAAACTAAAAAGTTTGTTTTTAGGTATAAGAGGTTCACAGGAAGTTAAGACTACGCCTTGCCTGTTTTCTTAGCTCCTGACATTCACTACTCTACTTTCTAGCTCTATGATTTTGACAATTCTAGGTCCCTCATATAAGAGAAACCATATAGTATTAGTTCTTCAGTGACTAGCGTATGTTAGGGATTCAAATCCATGTTGTACACGTATCAGAATTTCTTTCCTTTTTTAAGGATAAATAATATTGTCACTTGTATATACATTTATTTATCCACTCATCTATCAATGGGTAGTTGGGTTCTTTCCAAGAGTAATTCTTCAATGATAACATATACATGCAAACTTTTTATTTATGAAAAAATTCTCTGCTTAGGAGACAGGGTGGAGAGGAAGATAAGAAAGACTTCCTTCTTCTTGTTTTCCTGGTGATGGAGAAAAGACACAAGTTAGGTACTCTTCCACACTAAAAAGGAAAAGGTTTTGTAAATATGAGACCTTTTAAAACTATCAGGGGTCCTTATAGCTTCACATCCAAGAAACAATTATATATGACTCACATCACAGCCTGTGAAACTAAAAATTTCCATGGCCCCAGTATACTTTTATTTCTAGGTAACAATATACCTTAAGAAGTACTCCACACTACACACTTACCCCCACTGTGATCACTTACTTCTATATTTATCTTCTTCCCTACTCTATGTCTTGAGGACAGGGACATGTGTCTCTGTCATGTAGTTGGAACCCAGATCACAGCTGTGCAAGAAGTTTGCTGACTGATGAGTGGCATACAACTTTTCCTATCAGTCATTAACAAAACTAGTTATTTAAAAGTATGTTTACACTGGCTGTAGGGCAATTATGAAGTATTAGAAATAACGTATATGACCACTGGTATCCTAGGTGTTGATCTAATTAGATATGATGATTATATTACATGATCTAAAATTTTAAAACAAGAAGAGAACAGTACAATTCTTCAGAAAATTAAACATAGAATTATCATATGATAAACAACAAAAAAAACAGAATAGAATTACATATGATGCAGCAATTTCACTTTGAGTATACACTCCAAAGAAGTGAAAGGAGGTCTTGCAGACATATTTGTGCACTTATATTCATAACAGCATTATTCACAGTAACTAAAACATGGGAGCAACTCAAGTGCCCACTGAAAGATGAATGGATAAGCAAAATGAGATATATACATAATATTCATCCTTAAAAGGGAAGGAAATGCTAACACATGCTCTAACATGGATAAACCCTGAAGACATTATGGAAAGTGAAATAAGCCAGTCACATATGCACAATTTCTTTTTTTTTTTTTTTTTTTTTTGCAGTGATGGGGAACAAACTCAGGGCCTTGTGCATGCTAGGCCAAGGCTGTATCTCCAGACTAGTTACTTTTATATGAGATACGTAGGAGTATTTAAAATCAGGAAGACAAAAAAGTATAATGGTGGGTACCAGAGGCTGGGAGAAGAAAAAGGTAGACTTGGAATTTAACCAGTATGGAGTTTCAGTTTTGGAAGATGAAAAACTACTGGAGGCTGGAGGCTGAAGGTATGGTTGAAGCAGTAGAGCGCTTGCCTAGCAAGGATAAAGTCCTTAGTTCAAACCACAGTGTCACCAAACAAAAAAGTTCTGAAGATGGATGGTCATGATGCTTGCATAATAATGCGAATGTACTTAATGTCACAGAACTATAAACTTAAAAAATGGCTAAACTGAGGTTCAAGTGAGGTGGTACATGCCTGTAATCCCAGCACTTGGGAAGTGGAAACGGGAGGACCTCAAGTTTGAGGCCAGCTTGGATTACAAAGTGAGATCGTATCTCTTAAAAACAAGAACTAGGGGCAATCATGGTGACTCACTTCTGTAATCCCAGCTACTCAGGAGGTGGAGATCCAGAGGATTTGTTTGAAGCCAGCCCAGGCAAAAAGTTATCAAAACCCCATTTCAACCAAAAGGCTGGGCATGGTGGAATGAGCCTGTTATCCAAACTACTTGGGAAGAGTAAATAAGAGAATGGTGTCCGAGGCTAGCCTGGGCAAAAGTGAGAGACCTTATTCTAAAAATAACTAAAGCAAAAACAGTTTGGACAAGTGGTAGAATGCTGTCTAGCAAGCTCAAGGCCCTGAACTCAAACTCTAGTAATGCCAAAAACAAAAGAAAAAAACCAAAAAGAAAAAGTCTCTAAAGTTAAAGAAAAAGTAAAGTAGCCAGGCACTAGTGGCTCATGCCTGTAATTCCAGCTACTTGGGAGGTTGAGATTGGGAGGATCAAGGTTCAAAGCCAGTCTGGGTAAATAGTTTGAGAGACCACCCCCCCCCATCTCCAAAATAACTAGAGAAAAATGGACTGGAGGTGTGGCTCAAGTGAAAGAACTGTTTTGTAAACATGAAGTCAAGTTCAAACTCCAGTCCCACAAAAAAAAAAAAAAAAAAAGCAAAATAGCTGGGTGCCAGTGGCTCATGCTTGTAAACCTAGCTACTCAGGAGGCAGAGATCAGGAGGATCATGGTTTGAAGCCAGCCCTGGCAAATAGTTCACAAGACCCTATCTTGCAAAACCCTTCAAAAAATAGGGCTGGCAGGGCTGGGATGTAGCTCAGTGGTACAGCGCTTGCCTAGCATGCATGAGGCCCTGGGTTCGATCCCAGCACCAAAAAAGAAAAGACAAAAAAAAAAAAAATAGGGCTGGCGGAGTAGCTTAAGGAGAAGGCCCTGAGTTCAAGTCCCAGTACCAGAAAAAAGTAAAATAAATAAATAAAGAAGGCTAAATGGTGAATTTCATGTTATGTACATTTTACTAAATAACAAAAAGAACTGCCAATAATAATAATAATAATAAAAAGAGGCTGCAGGCATGTCTCAAGTGGTACAACACCTGTCTAGTTTAAAAAAAAAAAAAAAAACAGCTCATGAATTTGAGACCACCCTGAGAAATACAGTGAGACCCCCAACTCCTCTCAAATCTTTTCCAAAAGTCACATCCTTCTGATTGAATGATAAGACTATGTCCTTTGTTGCTTGTTGAGGACATTAGGAGGCTCTCTTGGCTGCCTCCAATAACTTCCATTAAGAATGTTATTAGTTATTAGTAAATTCAGGGCTGGGGAGTGGCTCAAGTGGTAGAGCATCTGCCTAGTAAACGTGAGGCTCTGAGTTCAAACCCTAGTACTGCCACAAGAAAAAACTTTAAAAACCTAATAGTTGTTAGGAAATTCTTAAAGTATTTAATAAAAATCCAAATACTTTAATTCACCTGTGTTTAATCATACCACTTACCACTTTAGAAGGCAGTTTCTGAAAAAGTTCGCTAATGAGCCGTCCTGATGGATTTGTGGCTACAACTATGGCTTCAAGAAGCTGCTCTAGGATCTCCTTTAGGTAACTTGGAGAAGACTACAAGACAAGGGAGGAGGAGAGAAAAGTACTTTATTATGAAAATCAATAAACACACGTCAAATATTAAATAGCTTCTAAAACTGTAAAGCTATTTCAAAACAACAACCTCTAAGCTATATTTATTCTAAGTTCAAACTTTAAGAAAACCACAGAAATGCTCAAATGATGGACATGGAGTTTTACCCTTGAAATGGCCCTCATGATATGAAGCTCCTTCTATTGTTTCTGTAAGTAAATCCCTCGGATAGGTCCTTTATTGAATTCTATTCCATAGTAAACATTGTGAAACCAAAGTTTAAGGCACTGTGTGTATGATATGATGAAAATGCATACCTTTTTAGGATCTGAGCAACTGAGCAAGAGAACGCATGCCCTGTAAATATTTGGCCATTTCTACATTTGCTGTTCACATCTACTGAAGTCATGGTAAAACAACAACTACATATGTGGAGTTGGGACTATACATATTAACCATGGATTATTCTGAAAGGACTAGCAAGTGAATTCAAGTTATGTCAAAACTGAGTGGAGGTTAAGTAAACCATTTCTGTTCTTCAGACTGGCTTATACTTAGTTACATCTAGCTTAGCCATTGTTTTGACATAGGAAAGTATATGCTCCAAAGGGCACGTGGTCAGGGAACATTCAAGTTTGAAGCCAGTTTCTATAGTAAGCAATGGGATTTCTTAATCAGGGTTTATACTGAATAGTACTTCAAATCTAAATCACATTTTATGCAAACAAAATAAACAAAAACAAAAACTGGAGGCATGGCTTAAGTGAGAGAACACCTACCTAGCAAGCATGAAACCCTGAGTTCAAACCCCAGTACAGCTCCCTACACACACACACACACACACACACACACACACACACACACACACACACACACACACAAAGCAATGGTTATCTGTGGTTTAAATTATTATTTTGAAAGTACTAGGGTTTTGAATTCAGTGCCTTGCACTTGCTAGGCAAGCACTCCACTGCTTGAGCCAAACCTCCAGCCCTTTTTGCTTTCAGGTTGTTTTTCAGATAGGGTCTCATGCTTTTTGTTTGGGGCTGGCCTTGAACCACAATGATCCTCCTATCTACACTTCCCATGTTGTTGGAATCACACACACCATCACCCCCAGCTTATTTGTTAAACTTTTAAACTACAGAAGCACTAGTATTTTTGCCCTAATCCAACAGAAATTCTGTTTATTTAGTGTAGTCTCGATTTTAAGGTCCAACATTAACTCCACAGAGAAGGCATTAATATCTCTTGGGACTAGTAAAATGCCCGACATTTAGAAATACCCAATAAATATTAGATGTGATTTGGTCACAGTCCCCGACTACATAAAGCTCAGGGAACCAACAGGACATGAATGAAAGTAAACTGAAAATCCCAAGCTTAAGTAATTTACTTTCTAGCTTCACTAAAAAGAGAACAGCTTATGTGCTTTTCTCTACCCAAGAGAGTTGTGATTCCTCCTGTTATTATCTTCTCTTTTCAAATGTGTTTGCATTCTCAAACTTTTTTTGAACAGGCTGGCAAGGACGCCTAATTTTTTTTTTCCTGGTGAAACTGGGTTTGAACTCAGGTCTTTTGTGCTGTGCAAAGCAGGTACTCTAGCATGTGAACTAAGCCTACAGTCCATTTTGATCTGGCTAATTTGGAGATGGGGTCTCTCAAACTATCTGCCTTGGCTGGTCTCAAACCTTGATCCTCCCAATATCAGTCTCCCAAGTAGCTAGGATTACAAGCATGGGCTACCAGTGCCCAGCAAATGTTGAATAATTGTTTGCCGCCTTTTTTTTTTTCTGTGGGACTACAATATCCTCCTATTTATTCTTCCTATGTAGCTAGGATGACGGACATGTACCACCATGCCCAGTCACTGGTTGAGATGGGGGGGGTGGGTCTCACTAACTTTTTGCCCAGGCAGTCCAGTCCTCCAGAATAGCTAAGATTACATGTGTGAGCCACCGTGCCTGGCCTGGCCAACTCTGCAACTTTTAATCACAATTCCACCTACTCAGACATATTGTTTTAATCTATCAATATTAGAATAATCTTTAATAACATCAAGATTTCTTTTAAAACTGAGCAGGAAATATGCATTAATGTAAAAGAAATTCATGAAAACAACCATGGATGGCATACATTGTCCAGGATATCGAAAATCCCTTGAAATCGGATTGGGTTTTCTAGTTTACCCTCCCAGTTACTAATACAACAGCACAGGAAGCCCAGCTTTCCACAATAGCCCAGAGAGAATCACAGCAGGGGTCCCATTTGCTTTCCCAGAACCCATCTATGACTAGTTTGAGCAGTACACTTACTCCTTCAGTCACTGTGCCTTGATTGTCTTGGCCATCTTCATCATCATCTTCCTCATCTGCTTCTCCTTTTTGAACAAACTCATTTCTTGTTCGAAGATACAAATCCCACAGTTTGCAAGCAGCTTTATATTCAGGAGAATCTGGCTGCACATTAGCAAAGAGAAGAGGGGAAAAATTTTTTTTTTAGTGTTTTATTGTAAGTCAGTTGCTACTTTTAAAGTTTCTATTCCAGCAGAAACTGGTACTTTAAGGCACAGGTTTGAAAATTCTGTTACTACAAATTTTAAAATCCTTATGATTAGAAGATACACAGGGCTCAATTTCTTGTCCAAGAAACTAAGTATACGTTTTAAAAGCATTCTGAAATCAAATTATTTATTTATATCCTGTCCCATTACAGAAAGAATTCAGGCAGAAGATGAGTGATTTGATAAATTAAAATTAATTACTACTAATGCACTAGGAAAGACAGTTTAAAGGATAAGTCTTGTTTTAAAAAGAAGCTAATAACTGTTCTGAAACTACTTTTATTTTAAAAATATTTAATACCTTCTTTAAAAGATTCCTGTTCCTGAAGCACAGTAGGTATGAAACTTCCTACTAAAAACAATGTTGGATGTAATGTTTAAGAAAACAGATAAAACTAAAAATGTATCATTAGCTACCAATAAGGAGTAAAGGCACTCATAAAAGGAACAAAAGTGAGAACTGAGAAGAACAGAACACAGAAACTAACATTCAAGTTGAGGGCACTTGTAAAACAAGATTTAGTTTTAAAGCTTCTTGTGTGGGAGTGGAGGGATCCCAGACACAATAGAAGCCGAATTTGGGAGGATGGCAGTTTGAGGCTAGCCCAGGCAAAGTTAGCAAGACCCCATTCTCACCCATTAAAAAGGTGGATGGGGTGGCACATGCTAGTCATCCCAGTTATGTAGGGAGGTACAAATAGGATCCTATGGCCCAGGCCAATCTTGTCAAAGACACAAGATCATATTCCAAAAATAGTAAAAGCAAAGGGCTAGTGGCATGGCCAAAGTGACAGAAGGAAAGCCCCAAGTTCAAAACCCCCAGTACTTACGTCCCCTCCTCGCATTTCAAAAAAAAAGGCTTCTTGGGGCTGCAACAATGTGAGACAAAGGCCAGGGCCTACCAGAATTTGGGACTTCAGAGGTCATAGCTGCACTATAAGTAAGAATTCAAAATAAATGCATTTCTATACCCTCAGGGAATAAGGAAGATTGTCCATGTCAACTTCCACCCATCTCAAAACATGGCACTGTGAGGACAGCAGGGGCACAAATGAATTTTCTTTGGAAACTATTGTAAGTTAGCTCTAACAAAAGAAGGGACCTGGAATAAGCAACAAATATTTTCTGCATTGATCCAACTTCAGTTTAAACCTCAAATAATTTCTAGTGATAAACTCCTAAGAAACATGAGCCCATGATCAAAAATCAAAGAACCAAGGAACCATAAAAACAAAAATGACAGCAAAACCAGACACACAAATAGAATTATTAGATATTAGAATTCAAGTATTAGATTAGCAAAAGAATCTACCATAAAATAAAAAATAAATATGTTGAACATGTACAAAGAAACAAGACTGAAAATATGAGCCAAGTACAAGAAAAACTACTTCTATATACAAAAAATATAAAAACTAGAATGTAAAAACGTACTAGACTGATTTGAGAGCAAATTTCACATACACACACACACAAAACCCTGGAAGAATTAAATAAACTATTTAAAATGAAAAAGGTTAAGAGAGAAAGAGACCTGAGAGAACTTAATACAACATCTAATTGCAGTTCTATAGGGAAAAGAGAGAGATTGGGACATAAGAAATATACAAAAACATATGGCTGAGAACTTTCCACAGCTGAAGAAAATACCAGTCTTAGGTTCAGCAAGCACTAAAACCTATAAATTAAATAAATAAAAGAACATCTAGATATATCACAATGAAACTACAGAATATCAAAGAGAAAAGAAGACACTAAAGGTAGTCAGAAAAGACCTTTAAAGGAACTACAATTATACTGACAGATGATTTTTTTTTTGGACATGTGACTTCTTAATAGCAATTAAACAATGAAGAAAAAAGAACAGTAAATTTGGAAGTAAAAACTACTGACCATGTAAAACAATGATATTAACTTATGGGACTCAAAATTTGTCACATGAAGGTACGTAACATGGGGCAACATAAATAAGAAGAGTGATCAGAGCTGAATTACTCTAAGGTCTCTGTACTGTTTGGAAGGAGGATTAAGATTAACTTTCCACTTTGATACGAGCACTTACCCAGCATGCATGAAGCCTGGGATTCAATTCTCAGCATTGAAAGAAAAAAAGGAAAGAACAAAAAAATTCCAGGATAAGAATTAAAAGACTAGGAGACAGGCACCAGTGGCTCATACCTGTAATCCTAACTACTCAAGAGGCAGAGATCAGGAGGACTGTGGTTCGAAGCCAGCCCAGGCAAATAGTTTGTGAGACCCTATCTTGAAAAAACCCTTCACAAAAAGGGCTGGAGGAGAGGGTCAAGGTGTATGACCTGAGTTCAGACCCCAGTGCCACAAAAACAAAACAACAACAAAAAAAAACTAATAATAATAATAATTAAAAGACTAGGGACAGAGCTAGTTCAAATGCCAGTACCACCAAAAACCAAAACAGAAGAACTAAAGGATTATCAATAGATCTTATAACTTAAATCTTAGAGGGGCTAAACATTAAAAAGAAGGTGAAGAAAAAATAAAGTAAAAATATTAAAAAGTGAGATAAACAGAAAGTAAAAGTTTAGATGGTAGGAATATATTCAAACATAATCATTGCTAAAACTGTAAAAATTTGAAGCACTCTAATTAAAAAGGTAGATTATCAATTACATTATTAATAGCAGTTCACATATATTCTGTTTCTAAGCTATGTATCAGCATTAAAATGCACTACTAGCAATTAAAAGGGCTACTGTATGATGCAAAGAAGTCCAACTTAAGTTTTAGGACAATATAACAATCTTAAAATTGTATATTACTATTTGCATACAGTCTCAGAATATGTAAAGCAAAAAAATTACCAGAATTATAAGAAGAAACAGACAAATCCATCATCAGAGGTTAATTTTCCTAATATATTAGGTAAGAGGCTCTACCATTGAATGACAGCCCCAGTTCAAGTAAGACAATGTAAAATATCCCATTCTATCAGTAATTGGACAGAAACAGGTAAACAGAAGATTTTAGCAACACTATTAACAAACAGCGTACGATCTAATGAACATATGCACAACTTTGTATCCAGCAAATGGCACTTTAGTTAAATTCACAAAATTTCACAGCAGCATTATTTACAAGAGCCAAAAGTGGAAATCAAATGTCCATCAACCAGGGAATAAACAAAACATGGTATATTAACACAATGAAACAATATTTTACCACAAAAAGTAAATGAAGTAATGATACATGTCATGATCTGAATGATCCTTGAAGACATTACACACAGTGAAAGAAACCAGTCACAAAATGTCATACACATGCAAATCCATAACAGAAAGTAGATTAGTGGTTGCCAGAGATTTGAAGAAGGGGAAATGGGAAATGCCTGCTAATGGGTATGATTTTCTTTTTTGGGATAATGAAAATATTCTAGAGTTAGATAGTAGTAATGGTTGCCCAATTTTGTGAATAACTAAATTCCTTAACTAGAGGGTGTGTAAATTATATCTCATTCAAAAATACACATCTTAAAGAAGGTAAGTCTTAAGAATAAATCTGACAAGATATGTGCAGCATCTTTATGAAGAAACATTTAAAGGTTTACTAAAATGTATTAAAGAGTTAAATAAATGAAGACATACCAAATTGATAGATTAGAATAGTTAACAGCATAGTTATGTCAATTCTTCCTAATATGATCAACAGAGTCAAGGCAATTCCAGCAACATTTTTTGTACTTGTTGACTTAAAACACTAATTTAAAAGTATGTAAGAAAAGGCAAAGGGTCAGGTATAGTTAAGATGCTTTCCTTTTCAGATAAATAATTATAAAGCCACAGTAATTAAAGAAGGAATAGAATGAGCCAGTAATAAACTAGCCTGTGGAACAGAATTTAAAAAAAACCAGACCTATGAACAAATGCAGAGAATAGTAATAGTTATACCTGTGGAAAAAACCAGATCCCTAACCCTCATAAAAGACACAAACATCAATCTCAGCTGTATTAAAGGTTTATTATGTAAAAGACAAAACTATAAAGAAGAAAACATAGAGAAGACCATGTTTATAACCTTCAGACAAGAGGAATTTCTGAAACAAGACATATAAAAGTATATACCACAAAGTTAAGACTGATAACTTTTGATTTTACTGAAATAAAGGAATTTGTGCTCATGAAAAGATACTATGAAAAGTGGGAGGGAGAAATGAACCAAGCCTTGTATGCACATATGAATAATAAAAGAAAAAAAAAAAAAAAGAAAAGTGGGAGCTGGAGGTGTAGGTGAGTAGAGTATGTGTTCAGTGTGCTTCCAGTCCCAAGTTCAATCCCAGCACCAAAAACAGTAAGACAGAAGACAAACACAGAAGACAGCTGAAACATATGTACTTGAAAAAGAGTCACTGTTTAAAATATTTTAAAATTTCCAGAAATAAGTAAGAAAATAACACACAACCCAAGAGAAAAATAAATAAAATATCTAAGCATAAGTACATTACAGAAAAAATTTATAATCATATAATTATATGAATGTTCAGTCTGCTTATAATAAGATATGTGAGTCAGGCAGTGGTGATACATGCCTGTAATCGCAGTTCAAGGCCAGCCTATACTACCTAGAGAACTCCAGGCCAGCCTCAACTATAGGTGAGACCCTGTCTCTCAAAAAAAAAGAAACTCCAACCACAAAGAGAAATCACTACTAATCTGCCAGAATAATAAATATTAAAAAGCAAGACAATTGTCAAATCAGGTATCTTCCAAATTTGATGCATTCTTACCTTATAATAGGCCTTTGCATTGTTAAAAAGCAGCTGGAAGTCAGCGGTCAGCAGATTAACATCATCATACTCTTCCATTTTTAGTTTCTGTTGAATTTTCATCAAATCAATGGGCTGAGAAACCACTTCATAATAGTCTGGTTGATTCCTGTTATAATGAAGTATACAAAAACTTATGCTTTAAAACTATTTGTGGTAATATCCAACAATCCAAGTGACAGTCCAAATTAGAATTTGCCATCATTTACTCTCATTAGAATTAAAGGGGAATAACAAAAGCAATATGCAGATTTGTTGTCTTTTAAAAATATATATTAACAATATAAAAACCTATGTTAATATGTGTGATGGTCTTTTACAAGCTAAATATCTAAGGTTTAGGACACCAGAACTAAACCCATGCTGGTGATATCTTCTATAAATGAAGATATCTTTCCTGGCGTTCAAAAATAGCTGAAAACAGGTACATGATTTAAAGCTCATTATAAACTTATAAAATGGATTATCTTTCTCCACAGAATCTTTTCTTGCCAAATACTGTCCAATTACTTATAATTTAATATCAATTAATAAAGTTAGAAGGAAAAAGATGAGCTCTTAGGCTTAAAAAACTTACCAAACACACATCAAAGATGATAAGATACATCTACACATGACCAAACTATTTTAAAAATTATAAACACAAAATTCAGGACAGTGGTACAGTGCTTGCTTCACATGCACAAGGCCCTAGATTAGATCCCCAGCATTCCTTCCCCCCCAAAAAAGATGGAAAATCAGGATAATGGTTGTATCTTGGTGGGGAGGGATAGTGAAGGGCACAAAGGAACTTCAAATGCAATTAAGTTTCTAAGATAATTTCTTGGGTTTTAAACTCATGGACGTTTATTATTATGCTTTCTTTTTCTTTCAGTGGATTTAAAAAATCCACAAAACAAGTAAATCTTTTGAAAAGTGATCTGGGTGATTATTTCCTCAATTCTTTCACAGGGGTATTTAGTTCCCTTCTAGATGTGTAAGAGAAAAGTTATTACATGCAAACGATGTCATGGTCATCAAAGTCTCTCAAGATCTTGGTTGCTATGTTGTAGCCATCCTTTCAGTATGCATAATATATTTAATTATTTTGCTTTTCACTCTGATATAAAGGTTCCAAAGAACGGCACAAAGAACTTACTTGCTAAATCATTTGAGTAAGTTCTGACATGATGTGCCATTACCCCTGATGTTTCAGTGTATATTTCCTATAAACAAGGACCATTATTCAGCCATCAAAATGAGGAAACATACTTTGATACAGTCCTATCATCTATTTCCCAGGTCCCATTTGTATTTTGGTAGCTATTCCAAACTTTCCATTCATAGCATTCGCTGGTAAATGGATGGAATTGGAGAACATCATTCTGAGTGAGGTTAGCCTGGCCCAAAAGACCAAAAATCGTATGTTCTCCCTCATATGCGGACATTAGATCAAGGGCAAACACAACAATGGGATTGGACTTTGAGCACATGATAAAAGCGAGAGCACACAAGGGAGGTGTGAGGATAGGTAAGACACCTAAAAAATTAGCTAGCATTTGTTGCCCTCAACACAGAGAAACTAAAGCAGATAGCTTAAAAGCAACTGAGGCCAATAGGAAAAGGGGAACAGGAACTAGAGAAAAGGTGAGATAAAAAAGAATTAACCTAGAAGAATTCCCACACGCACAGGAAATCAATGTGAGTCAATGCCCTGTATAGCTATCCTTATCTCAACCAGCAAAAACCCTTGTTCCTTCCTATTATTGCTTATACTCTCTCTACAACAAAATGAGAAATAAGGGCAAAATAGTTTCTGCTGGGTATTGAGGGGGTGGGGGGGAGAGGAAGGGGGCAAAGTGGGTGGTAAGGGAGAGGGTGGGGGCAGGGGGGAGAAATGACCCAAGCCTTATATGCACATATGAATAATAAAAGAAAAAAAAAAGGGAATAGAACCAGTATTTTATCTGCTGTTCAGAGAAAACAGAGTAATAGACATTCGAAGGTAAGAATAAAGGACTATCTTGGTCTAATATTGATGTCATTGGTGGTACCAAGAGACTCTCCCAGAGTGAGCATTGTGGGCTTCTTAATTTGATATCGGAGATAGCCCTCTTCATCTGAGTCTATTGGCCCACAGTCTACTCTTTGCTGAGGTCCAACCTCAGCAGCCTTTCAGACTTGGATAATTATCTGTAGGCAATTGAGAACCCAATGAAGACCTGTGCCTAGAGAAGACGCTGTGCTCCTGGGATCCCTACTACAAGACTCATCACAAACATTTTCAGAATTACCATGTAGACAAAAAGATCAGGATTCCAAAATATAATTAAAACAGGAATCCTCAACTTTAAAAATGCAACCCCTCTACTGATTTTTTTCCATTTAAATAAAACATACAAAACAGTATAAAGTGGTAGGAGTATAGTTCAGGGGTAGAGTGTTTGCCTAGCAGGTACAAAGCCCTAGGTTCCCTCCCTGGAACCAAAAAAAAAACAAATACAGAACAAAACAAAACAAAAAAACACACAAAGAAAATAACATTAAAAAAAGTAAAAACAAAATAGTCCCTATGATCTGGACTTGATAACATTATTAGCATTTTTACAAATTCTTCCAGACTTAACTACATGCACATAGAAACAAAACTTAACATAAATAAGACTGTCCAGTGCATCTTCTTTTATAACAGCTTTTCTTTCCATAAAAGAACACCTTGCCATAATATGGCCACAGAACAGCCAAAATACAATTGAAGTCTAAACCAGAACACTGAGAAACACCAACCTTGATGTGCAGAGACTGCTAACTCCCACCAAACCCCATTCTCCCTTCCTCCCAGGAAAACAGCATCTTGGCTAAGTTTTGGCCAATACAAAAGTTAAGTGTGCTATGCTCGGGTCATGTCCTTAACACGCCTTCTTTTTCCTACTAGCTGGAGGGTAGTCAGCATGGTCAGAGCATACTGACAAAGATGATACCCTAGGATAGTAGGATAAAGACACAAAAGAAAAAATTTCTCTCAGCTTCAGCCATTGTTATAAGCAGTCCAATCTTAGTATAATGAGTCTAATAAACTTACCAAAACAAAGTTACAAAAAGAAATTCACAAATTTGGTAGCTCTAAGCAATACTGCTTCTCATAAACTCTTGAGTACACATGTATTCCACAGAGGAGGGGCAGGGATGCCCTTGGGTATAAGGCTTACATTATTAAGGCTGCAAGATGACAAATGCTCCAGTACCCAACCCTGTATTCTCTGCCCCTCAGCACCAGCCTGTGATTTACAGCAGGCAGCAGATAGGATACCTTGTCCACATAGGGTTTTGGTCCCCCATACTCCAGGTATAAGGCTCCTCTCTAGGAGGTTAAGAACACAGGTTACTTACTCAAGAAGACTTGAGTCTGACTCTGGTTATCCTTTAGAAGTTGTGAGAACTTGTGAAAGCTCCCATCTGTAAACTATAACATGTCAAATTTAAACAACATATAGTTTGAAAAGTGCATGGCCCTGTCTTTAGCACATGGCAAGCAATAAATATGGGCTTTTTGTTATTTTATCCTAATTAAATCACAGTATTTAGGAGATTACTACTGATAAAACAACTCCTATCTGGAGACAGTTACCTCATTTTAAAAATAGTTCTTCTGGGACTGGGCTCAGTAGTAAAGCATCTGCCTAATGCTTATGAGGCTCTGGGTTTGATCCCCATCACTATGAACAAACCACAAATTAAAACAAACAAAAAACCACCAAAATCCACAAAAACCTCACAGTTATTTCTTTCTAGCCATTTCTTTACATGGCTCTCCTAACTCAGATGGTTGACACTCCATCTTCAGTGGCTCTACTCTTTGAAGTGAGGAAATTGGCTTCAGCTCAGCCTGTGGATTGCTAGTTACCTACTGCAGCATCGACAACCATGAATGGGTCAAAATGTTTTGTTAACTCACTCTTTTCATTTCCCATAGCTGCTGCAACAAACTGCCACAAACTTAGCGGCCTAAACCAATATACATTTATTATCTGAGTTCTAGTGGCCAAAAGTCCAAAACAGGTCTCACTGGACTAAAACTGAGGCATTAACAGGGCTACATTTCTTCTGGAGGTGGTAGTGGAGAATCGGTTTCCTTGCCTTTTCTAGCTTCTAGAAACTTCCTGCATTCCTTGGTTTAGTCGAGTCACATTCCTCCATCTTCAAAGCCAGCAGTATAGCATCTTCAATTATGTAACATATCCATCTTCCCCATTTAAGGACCTTCTGATTACACTGTTTCCAAGTAGATAATCAAGGATAATTTCACCAACTCAAAGTTAGCTATTTAGCCAACTTAATTTCCCTCTTCTATATAACTCAATATAGTCACATGTTGGGTCACAACAGATTTTTAAAATATGCACATTATTTGGGGGCCATTATTCTACCTAGCATACTTATGGAACTTGAATTCCAAGGTAACTAATGATTTTTCACAGTAAGAGAGGAAGGATGGAACACAGCCTTCTTGTTGCAAAGTACCTCTGCATATTTTTAAAAAAAAACCAATGTTTAGCTCTCAAGGAAACAGAAAAAAAAAAAAAAAGAACAAACTAAACTCAAAGATAGCAGAACAGAAGGAACAGAATAGAGTTATAGAAAATAACATAAGGTTTTTAATAAAACAATAAAACAGGCTCTTAGATGACATAACTAAGAAAAGCAGAAAGAAGGCTCAAATAACAACAATCAGAAATGCAAAGGGACACATTATAACCAAAGCCACTAAAAACAACAACAAAAAAAACTACTATGAAAGAAACTAGTATAAAATATGGGGTGTGGTGGCACGTCCAACTGTGAACTACACAGCAAGACTGTGTCTCAAAAAACAAAAGCCAAAACCAAAAAAACACTGCCAACAATTCTAGAAAAATAGATAATTTCAATCTATCAACATTGAAAATGAACAAATAGAAAGGCAAAAAGACTTATAACTAGTGAGACTAATTCAGTAAATAAAATCTTCCAACAGAAAAAATCCTGTTCCTGATAGCTTCATAGGTGAATTCTATAAAGCATTTAAAGACCATACCAAACCTCAAACATTCCAAAATATTGAAGAGGAGTGATCACTTTCTAATTTCTTCTATGGGACTAGCACTGCTTGACACCAGAGGAAGACACTATATGACAAATAAAAAATCATACATTAATATTCCAGAGAACTGATGCAAAAATTCTCAATAAAATGGGCTGGTGGAGTGGGGCTGAAGTGTAGAGTGCCTGCCTAGTAAACCCCAGTACTGCCAAAAACAAACAAACAAAACCCTCAATAAAATATTAGCAAACCAAATTTACCAATGTATTAAAAGGATTATATGTCACAACCAATTGAGACTTATTCCTGAGACATAAAGATGATTCAACATAAGAAAATTTGATCAATGTGATATACCAAATTAATAGAATGAAGGAAAGTAACCACATAATTATCCCAATCAATGCAGAAAAATCATATGACAAAATACCCTTTTGTGATAAAAACTCAGAAAACTGTATTATTTCATATATAAGCCATATATGAAAAGTCCATAGCAAACATATTCTGTAGTGAAATAAAGACTGAAAACTTTTCCTCTAAGATCAGGAACAAGCCAACAGTGTCCATTCTTGCCACAGCAATGGAAATTCTAGCAAGAGTAATTAGGTAAGACAAAGAAACAACAGGCATCCAGTTGGAAAGGAAGAAGTAAAACAATCCTATGCAGAGATGACTTGATCTTTTATACAGAAAATACTAAAGATTCCACACGTACACACAAATCATAGAAAAAAATGAGCAAAGCTACACGTTACAAAATCAACGCTCAGCTGGGTATGGTGGATCTTCTGCTCAATGGATCCTAGTCCAGGTCAGCTCTGGGAAAAAGCATGAGACCTTACCTGAAAAGTAACTAAAGCAAAAAGGGCTAGGGGCATGGCTCAAGTGACAGAGTGCTTGCCTAGCAAGTCTGAGGTCTGGAGTTCAATTCCCAGTACTGAAAAAAATCAGCACACAAAAAAATCACGAACAATGGACAATCAAAAAATGAAATTAGGAAAACTACTCCATTTACAACAGAATCTAAAAGAATACTTAGGGAGGGGTGAATCTAAGTAAGATACACTGCAAATGTCAGAATGAAACCCTCCTGCAAAAAGTAATATATGCTAATAAAAATGTAAAAAGCAAAAAAAGTTTAGGAATTAAAGTACCCAAAGTGAAAGACATGTATACTGAAAACTAGACAGTATCACTGACAGAAATTAAATACAACACAAGAAAAGGAAAGCTTGCCCATGGGTTGGCTACATCAAGAAGAGAGGTTGAGCATGGTAATTCATGCCTGTAATCTCAGTATTCAGGAGGCAAAGATAGGAGAATTGGGAGTTCAGGGTCAACCTGGGCTATATAGTAAGACCCTGTCTCATAAGACAAGAAAAAAAGAGAAGCTGGATATGGTGGTACATGCCTACAACCCCAGCTTCACAGGAGGTAGAGACAGAAGGGAGCATCATGAGTTTGAGGCCAGCAGGTACAAAAAAAATAGTGCGACCATCTCAAAAACAAAATACAAACAAAAGGGATGGGGTGGGAGGGTGTGGCTCAATGGTAAAGTGCCTAATAAGCACAAGGCCCTGGGTTCAATCCCCAGCATCACAGTTAGACCATTCATTGTTGACAAGACTATGACAAAATTGGAATTCTTAGGCACTTTTGGTGGGAATGTAAAAAGGTACAGCATTACTGACTACTGTATGGCACCCAAAGACTAGAAGAATTACCATATGATCCATCAATTCTACTTCTGGGTATATATAAAAAAGAAGTGAAAGCAGGATCTCAGAGATGTATTTACACAGCAAGGCTCACTTTAGCATTATTCAAAACAGCCAGGAAATAGAAACAATTCTGGAGTTCATTGAGAGATGAATGCTCTTTACACATACAATGGAGCATTATTCAGCCTTAAAAAAGGAAGGAAATTCTGTCACACGCTATAATATGGATGCACAGCATTGAGGGCATTATGCTAAATGAAATAATTCAGTTATAAAAAAGACAAATATTGACAGTGCCAGTGGCTCATGCCTGTAATCCTAGCTACTCAGGAAGCAGGTATCAGGAGGATGTCGGTTTGAAGCCAACCTGGGCAGACAGTGAGACCCTATCTCAAAAAAAATCCATCACAAAAAATGGCTGGTGGAGTGGCTCAAGGTGAAGGCCCCAAGTTCAAACCCCAGTACTGCACAAAAAAAAAAAAAAAAAGACAAATACTAAGCCAGGTACTGGTGGCTCAGACCTGTAATCCTAGCTACGTGGGAGGCTGAGATTGGAAAGATCATGGTTCCAGGTCAGCCCAGGCAAATAGTTTGTGAGAAAGCCCACCCCTGCATTCCCCAATCTCCAAAATAGCCAGAGCAAAAAAAGGACTGTGGGTGTGGCTCAATGGTAGAGCACCTGCTTTGTTAAGTACAAAGCCCTGAGTTCAAATCCCAGTCTAATATAAAAAAAAAGACAAATAATGCATGACTCTACTCACAAAGTGTCTAAAGTAGTCAAATTCAAAGAAGTACATAAAAATAGAATGGTGATTGCCAGGAGCAGGAAGAAAGGGTAAGTGAAATGCTGGCAAAGTGACTCAAATGGTAGAGCCTGACTAGCAAACACAAGGCCCTGAGTTTAACCCCCAATACAGTCAGAAAAAAAGGAGGGGGGGAAATGGGGAGTTATTTCCTGGGTATAGTTTTGGGATATGAAAAAGTTCTGGAGGCTGTTGCACAAAAATGTTACTATACTTAACACTTTTTAAGTGTTAAGACAAACTACTACCGGACACTTTACATGGACCCTAGACCAAATTTTGCCACTGTACTGATGTTTCCAACTCACCTTCGCTTTGGTGCCCTAATGAAGAGCTCACAGAGGAGTCTGCCCTGATCATCCTTATAGTCTCGGATGGTGTTGTAGAGTTCATGGCATACAGCAATCTGTACATACAGAGAAGAAAAAAATCACCAAAGTAGTCAACAGAAAGCCAATGTAGGAATAAGGATTATCAACTATTCAATAAAAAGACCTACAGGCAGGGCTAGAGTTGTAGCCCAAGGAGTAGAGCGCTGTCTTGAAAGCACAAGGCCCTTAGTTCAAACCCCAGTACCACCAAAAAAACAAACAAAAAAACCCATAGCCACAAAAGACAAATACAGACAAAAAAGTTCAAATACCCAAATTACCAGATGGGAACCCAAGTCTGAAATATGATGACAGGATCTCCCTTTTAAAATAATCTAATTAAGCTTTTGGTATCTTTCATCAATTTGTGCTACTGGTTATTTTCTTTTAAATTAAATCAGTTCACACCATTCTCTTGCTTAAAATCATCCAATTAAGTGAATCAAAGATCCTAATATAAGCTATCAAGCTGTGAAACTACTATAGGAAAGAACAGGGCATATACAAGCATAGGTAATAACTTTATGAATAGAACTCTCAAAAGAAAAATTATGAATGGCCAATAAATACATGAAAAAATGTTCAAATTCCTTGGCTATAAAGGAAATGCAAATCAAAATGACAATGACATTTCACTTTACTCCAGTTAGAATGACTATCATCAAGAACACAAACAACAACAAATGTTGAAGATGCAGGAGGGAAAAAGGAACCCATAAACACTGTTGGCACCAAAAAATAAAAACAAAAAACAAAACCCATTGTTGGTGGGAATGTAAATTAGTGTAACCACTCAAAAAGCAGTATGTAGGTTCCTCATAAAACTAAAAATAGAACTACTATATGATCCAGCAATACCACTCCTGGGCATATAAGCCACAAGTATGCCTCAAGTGGTAGAGTGCCTGCTTTGCAAGTACAAAGCCTTGGGTTCAAACCCCAAATTCACTAAAAAAATAAAAAAATAGAGCCACTTGAATACCCATATTTATTATAGCACTAGTCACAACAGCCAAGCTTTGGAAACAGCCCAGATCCTCTACAACTGTTGAATAGATTAAGAAAATGTGGTATATGTACACATATACACAGTGGAGTATTATTCAGAAATACCCTGAATATTAGAATGAAATTATGTTGTTTGTACATAAATACATGGAACTAGAGATTATTGTGTTAGCAAAGTAAGTTAGGCTCAGAAGGACAAAGGCTGCATGTTTTCCCTCATATGCTTACATCTATAAAATAAACACATATACGTATATATATGGAGAGACAAAAAGAACACGACTGCAACAGTGGGTCTGTTGAGGGGATTATAGGGAGGTGAGACAGGAAAAGAGAATGAAAAGGAGTGAATAATATTGAAACACATCTGTGTATGAAAATAGTATAACAAAATACACTGTAAGCTGTTGAACAGGGGAGCAGGGCAACAGAAAAGAAGTAACTAATACAAGGGTTTAATCTGATGAAAATACAATATATATGCGTATATGTGAAATACCAAGGTTAAACCCCCTTGAACAAACAATATACTCTTAAAAAAAAACAAAGGACAGAAAGGTAAAACAGGTCCTGTTCAGGGGTTGGTTCCAGTAGGAGGCAAAGTGGGTAAACAGAGAGTGTGAAGGAGGGCAAATATGGATATACTTTGTATCCCTATATGAAAATATAACAATGAAACCTACTGAAATTGTTCTAAGAAGTGAGGGGAGGGAAGGTGAATAAGAATGATGAGGAGGGCAATATAATTAAGATACATTGTAAACACATATATAAATGTGCTCTGTACAAACTATTGTAAGATAATAAACAAATAAATCATCCAATAATCTAGATGTAGTAGTACACAACTATAATCCTAGCACTCGGGAGGCTAAGGTAGGAGGATTCTGAGCTGGAGGCTAACCTAGGCTATGCAGCAAAACCATCTCAAAAAAATCAAAACAAAAATTATCAAATAGAAGGGCGTTTCACGAGACAGAAAATAAAATCTTAACTGGTAAGATAGCCTATGAAGGTCTTACATACTCTGGCTAAGTAGAGTTCACCAGTCTCCTTCTCTTTTTCTGTAATTATATCCCTGACCCAGGCCCTCTGTAAGGTTGGTGCCTTATCATCAAGATGCAAGTCAAAACAGCCCAACTCATCCAAACTTTTCTTTTTAGCACTTATCACTAACTGATGGCATTTTATTATTTATTTGTTCACTGTTTATGCTCTGCTTCCCCCAGACTGGAACCTAAGCTTCATGTGAAAAATATGCTTGCCTCACATCAATGCTTATCATATGACAGGCACACAACAAATATATGACATGACACATTGGTATTTTTTATTGTTTCACAATATTAATTATACTATTATTGATAGACTTTATCAAGTCAGAAGAAAAAGAAGTAGAGAGGTCTTGCATCTCAATCACCTCACCACAAAACAAAGGGAGGCAGAAGCCATGTGGCCCAAGTTACTCACAGGATCTACAGTTGGCAGATTGGAAAGTCTCCTCCTTTTCCTGCTTGGACCTGGTGTGGGTACAGAATGGTGCCCGTCATCAAAGTCCCCACTGACACTGCTAGAAGGGGAGGTAGCTCTTCTTCTCTTGGAACCCATGGAATCCAACTTCTTCTATAAGAAATAATCAGACATGTTCTTATGTTTAAACTTCAACTCAGCCCTCAGCTGGTCACCTGCCAACAAATTTCTGGTTCATTTAGGATGATATTTTAAGTGTTATAAAGGAGTTTAACTAGCTGTGAAGTTTATTTTTTTTTTTAATTTTTAAAAGTCCTGGACCTTGTTTTTAGCTTACCAGAATGTTGCTCAACAAAAGTGTTCTCATTTGTGTATCACCAATTCCGAATGATTCAACTACTTTCCCAATCATGTGTAATGGTATAACAGTGTGCTACAGATATTGATCTCTAAACCTCTGGAGCAACCAGGCAGGGCAAGGAGACAGAGGTTCCAAGATAGTCACTTCTGGAACTGGCAGCCTCATCTGCTTTCCTTTGTGCCTCACAATTATGAGTTCCCAAGTGGGTCATGATTAAGAAGCAATGTGTAAGGCAAATAAGTAGCAAAAAAATAAGTAAGGGGACAGGGGACACTAATTTTTCTAGCATTGTATATGTCCCATAATATTAACACCCTGAAAATCAATGTGCTCTACTCATTAAAGCAGAATCCACAAAATGTACCTCTGCAAAACACTCAATGTGACTTGCTATACCTAGGGAGAAGTAGCAAACTGTGCTTTGAAACATCTGTTAATCCAGACTACGTTTTCAGTTATATGACAAGAGCACCTTATACATGAGTTTTTAGGGCCAGCTTGGACATTCAGAAACACATTATATTTGCTGTCAGTTTTAAACTGACTGCTAAGAAATTATTCATAACACAACTTTACAAATCTATTCATTTGACTGCAACACAAGAAATGCAACCACTGAAATGATCTGTTATAGATAAAGGGTGTATACCCAAGATGTCCTACAAAGTTTATATGATTTTACAAGTGTTAAACAGTGTGTGTGATTTCAAAGGTCTTTTTCTAAAACTAAAAGAAAAAAAAGAGATCCTAGTCTCACTCATCAACATTCAATTTCAGGAAATTAAGACACCAGCAGCTGAATGAATAGAACAGTAGACCACTGTTGCTAGTAGTACAGAAAGAAAAGTTAAGGATCTCCAGGAAACAAAAAGACAAAAGAAGCAAATAAATTCTGGAAAGCAACTAAGAAACAAGAAGAGTCTGGTGTCTCTTTCTCTGAACTAAAGTCCACAGGGTTTATTTTAACAAGGTTTTTAAAGCAGAACCTACAAGAGTTGTGGTTCTTCCTCTAGGTTTTGGTTTGTTATGGCTAAGCTTTGTTGATTTTTCATTTTATAAAAGACTGATAAACTGGTTTCAATTTCCTTATGCTAAACAAATTAAGAACTAATCCTTTGTAAACAAGGTATGACAAGGACACAGATGAATTCAAAGAACACATGAGGGACTCTAAATGGAAAGGGCAACAAAAATTTAAGAAAGGTGGAAGGGAAAAGGCAAGGAATGACACAAAAAGGAAAAGGGTGTAGATGATCAGTAATTTACCAGCTTTACCAGAGCACAACCAGCGCCTCGAAAAGCCAGTCTCCTCATTATATCTGAAGGCCAAGGGATATCAGTGAGAGAAGGCAGGGTTTTAGAACTGTTGATTCAGTATTAGTATACTCAACACTGAAAGAGAAGAACAAGACAGAGGAAGGGGAAATAGAAGGGTCAGGAGGAGTAAAAATGAGTAGGAATAGACAGAAAACATTCAAATAGAACTGCTAGAATAAGATAAAGAAAACTGGAGATAACAGGCATATCAGTTCTCTTGCACACCTGACAATTCTTCCATTTTCAAACCAAATGCTTTCATATGCATAAGATGTCTCACTGAGGTTCCCCTTACTCACATGGAATGACTGTCAACTCCAGGAATGAAGCATGCCTGCCCAACTGCCCCCTAGTCAATAAGAACAGAGTTCAATCACAGAGCTGGAATGGAGAGTGAACACATGTGGGGGCTCACATGTGACACCAAGTGTTGACAAGCTGGAACAAACCAAAAATGGCTCATGTGAGCAGTTTGGATAACTCTTCCCCACACCCCAAAAATTCAGAGAAAGCCATTTCTTTCCTAAAGTCCTATCTGCATTGGAAAGACATCACATAAATTTAGCAGAGTTAAAAAAAAAATCTTGAATTGTTTTGGCAATTGGAAATTACTTTTAAATGGGGCTGGAGGTGTGGCTCAAGTGGTAAAGTGCCTGCCTATCAAGTGCAAAGCCCTGAGTTTAAACCCCAGTACCCAACCCTTCCAAAAACTAACTTTCATAAATAATCCACAGAAAAACAAACAGCAAAAAATGTAAATTACCAGTGTATGTAATTTAGATGATACAATCCTGAAAAATACTTGAATCATTTCACTTTGGTAAAATAAGAAAAATATGCAACAAGACTAATTTAAAAATTTTGATGGTACTGGAGTTTGAACTCATTGCCTCATGCTTGCCACACAAGTGCTGTACCAATTTAGCCACTCTGCCAGCCCTCCATTTTTTTTTACTCCAAAGGATACGTTCTAATATGTAATGTGGAAGTTTGGAGACAAAGGCAATGTTCTTGTGGTACTGGGGACTGATTCCAGGGCCTCCAGCTCCTAGGCAGGTGCTCTACCTCTTGAGCCCCAACCTCAGCCCTTTCACTTTATATTTGTTTTTGAGATAGGGTCTGGTTAACTTTGCCTGGGCTGGTATTGAACCAGTGATCATCCTTCCTCCATCTCCCAAGTACCTGCCAGCTATCAAAGGCAATGTTCTGAAACAGAAGAAACAGTAAGACTTACACTCAGATTAGGAGTCCCAGATCTTCCACCTCTAATTATCTATGTGATGTTGCCTGAGTTACAACATCTCAGATCTGTTTCTTAATCTCTAAATTGAAAACAGTAAAGTGTACATATATCGTTGGGATGTTGCAACAGTAAAAACAGACGTACACATGAAGTTAATCTGAAACTTCAAAGCACAACTCTAGGACTACATGCTCCCTGGGCACAAGAATAGGGTTCTCTTCAATTTTGTAACCCTGTCCTTTAGAATAACGCTGGTTATAGGATGGATGCTCAATTTATCTAATAAATGTACTGAAAGTGCACTTGAGAGGTACCTTTACTCTTTTTCATGAAGAGGAAAGATTCTGGAGTGTAATTTCAGGTTTTAAAATGGTGTTGTTTACAGTCACAAATCAAAAAGTCTGACAGCCAATGATAATTTATAGTGGGCAGTACAGAACATTGTATAATGTACAACTCAGTAGTTAGTTTTTTGACAGTTTATGAACTTTTAGTATTTCCTGTGTTTCTAGTGATATTTAATAGTTCAGTAACATGCTTAAAGCAAAATCTTGGAAAACAGAAGACTCAAAAGCCAGAAAAAAAAAAAAAAAGCAACTATAATCCTACTTTCCATGGAAAAGACACCCTTATTACCGTTCAGACATTTTTTGTATTTATCTATGCTTTAATTACCCCTTTCTTATTAACAAAATGACAAAACACACACATTATTTTGCAGACTGTTTTAAGTTAGAAAAGATTCTTCTAACTCAACCTTCTTCCTCATGATGTTTGCCTCTTGAGAGCAGTCTATTACACAGATATACCACAATTTACTTATGCTGGGAATTTTGGGAAAATTATTAGTTGAAGTATTTTGTACACTTAAAAAGTGGTCAAAGCCCTTCCATTCACGCTCACACGTTTATTATTATTTTCACCTGAAACATCTCTTCAAAAGATACTTTCCAATCTTCTATTAAGATCCAAAATACAATCAATTTGGTAACAATTACTAAACCAAAAAAATTATACTGCCCTTTAATATTTTACTCAAACATATGCTTGTACGATAATGTAAGAATTACTAATCCACTCTACTGTGTACGTCACTTTTCAAGATTTCTTCCATTTTTTTCCTTGCTATTCTTCTCCTTTAAATCAAAATCACTTTCTTATAACAAAACCATGGTTCCCGTTCATAAAGTTAAACACTGTAAGAGGTGGGGAAAAATTTTAAGACCCGGAAAGTTTTAAAAAATCCGATTGTTTGTGACCTTGCAGATGAAAAACTGAAAATATCTGGCCTCTAAGTCTCACAATCATACAGAAAGAAAAAAAATAGTGTCGAGCCCCACAAGAAACAACAAAAAGGAGGTCGTGAGCGGCAGAGGAAAGGAAGGATTCTCCTGGCCTGTCAATGGTACAGGGACTAAGGGAAATGTTGACAGCTTTGAAGCAGCTGGCGACTAGCGGGAAAGAGCGCGGGGAGTTTCCGGGCAGTGGCGCGCCTTTGTCCCGGCAGGTGCGGCCAGGCTGCCGGGCCCGTCCCGAGACTCGCCACCGCACCGCGCCCCGCCCCGCCCCGCCCCGCGCCGCCCCCGGCCCGACCGGCGCGTCCCTACGGCCGGGGCGGGGCCTCCACCGCGGCTCCCGCCCGCCCGAGCCCAACAAAGGCCCGGCAGCAGGGCGAGAGAGAACGGCCCCGCCCGCCCCGGCCCCGGCCTTACCCAGCCGCTCCGCCGCCTGCAGCCCCGGCCGCGGTCGCTGACCGCCGCGCCCCGCCCCGTGGCCGCCACGGCTGCTGCTATTGCTCCTCTGGTCACGGGCGCTGCCGTCGCTCCAGCACCCGCCGCCCTCGCCGCCCTCACCCCTCCCAGTGCCGCCGCAAAAGCAGGCCGCGGCCGCCAAGCGATCCCGGCTCTGCGAGACACTGCGTGCGCGCGCACGCAGAAGGGCGGAGGCGCACTTTACGGCGGTAGCGTGAGTGCGTGACGCTTGTCCGTATGCTCTGTTCACACGTGGCAGCCTCCGAAACATCTCGTTTCTGTCACCTCTCCTGCCGCTGCGGTTTTCACAGCCAGCATGAAGCGACCGAGTAAGTGGGGTCAGGAGACGGGCGTGGAGAGGCCCTGTATTTGTTGTTTCTGGTGGTGGCTGAGCCCACCGGGGTGCTCTTATCTTGGGTTTGATCTCGGAGCGAGCGGTGGACGATGGGTAGGCCATCGCTCTGTTCCCGTGTAGAACTGAAGGTTGGAAGGCCCAGGCCCTAGGTCAGTCCTGTTCACCGTAGATGCATTGTTCAGAAAGAAAACTAGGCCAGATTTTAGGAGGAGACAGCGTTTGACCTTCGACTTTAGCCGAGCACTAGCTCCCAAACATACTGTTCCTCGCCTGCCGTACGATTCGTAGTGCTTGACCCGAAACGGCTTCTTGTTTCGCGTTTAACGTTCCTCTGTGATCCCATTCTACCATGGGAGGAGTATGCGCGCGGAACTGGTTCTGTTTAATCAAATTCGCTTGGATTTAAAAGTTCTACTTAGGTTTTTATTAACTTCCCCACGTTTATTAACATTAGGTAGCTAATTTAAGGCAGGAAAAAGGGCATAGCAACGTAGGGTACTCACCAAAAACTAGACGTAGTGGTCATTTGTGTTTAGTTCATTCTTTTTTTTTTTTCTTTTTAGAGTTAAAGAAAGCCAGCAAACGCATGACCTGCCATAAACGGTATAAAATTAAAAAAAAGGTAACTATTGATAGAGCTATACCAAATATATTGCTAAGCTCATTTCTGCCCCATATCACACCTCCACAGGGAAGTCTGTATTATTGGTTTAGATTTTGGGCAAAAGCATTTAGACTTCAGGAGTGCAGCTGTGGGAAAGTACAGTAATTTGGTAATAAGGAAGTCTGGAAACTTTGCTCAACATAATATAGTCCTCTCTGCAAAAAGTCTAGTGACACTTGTGTGTTTTCATACATGCATAGGCATTCTCTGTGATGTCCCATTTTATAGGACATCTTAGGCATAACTAAACTGCAGTCAGGTTGTTTTCTCACTTGAATTCTGTTAGAATACAGAGGTACTTTTGTAAAGTGATTTTTTTCTTTTTTCTTTTTTGCCATACTGGGATTTGAACACATGATCTCACACTTGTAGGCAGGCACTCTACCACTTGACCCACTCCACCAGCTTTTCTTTTTCTTAATAGATTCGAGAGCACCATCGAAAATTAAGGAAGGAGGCTAAAAAACGTGGTCACAAGAAACCTAGGAAAGACCCAGGAGTTCCAAACAGTGCTCCCTTTAAAGAGGCTGTTCTTCGGGAAGCTGAGTTAAAGAAACAGCAGGTAAATTAGCTAAAACTTCCAGTAGCGGTGTGGTGTGAGTATGTGTGCTTTGTTAAGGTAACACTGATCATTGGCATATGCATTTCTCTTACGGCTTGGACACAGCTTGAAGAACTAAAGCAGCAGCAGAAGCTCGATAGGCAAATGGAACAGGAAAAGAAAAGAAAGCGTGAAACTAACCCTGGTGATGAGCCATCCAATGCACCTGTGGAGGTAGGGCTACAACCTGTGAGAATTGAGAGACGAGTTCTGAGGCAGAAGAGAATATGCACAGGCTAGTAGGTGTCTTGGGAGGATGAAAACTGAATTCAGACTGTATTTTTTTCTTTTCTTCGGTGGCGGTAGGGTTTGAACTCAGAGTGTTGCAATTGCTAGGCAAGTTTTCTACCACTTGAGCCACACCCCCAGCCCTTTTTGCTTTAGTTTGTTTTTTAAGTAGGGTTTTGTGTTTTTTTGCCCTAGGTGGCCAGGGACTGATCCTACCTTTGCCTCCTGTGTAATTGGGATTGCAGGTGTACACCACCAGTCCTGGACCTCAGACTGAGGAAAATATGAAAACTACAGTTTATAGCTGCTGTATTTCTAATTTTGTGTTCTCTTCTTGTAATCTTTATGTCCTTCAGGAAATTGAACAGAGCAAAACTAAGAAAGCCAAGTTGGGCAAACAGAACCCAAAGAAGATACACTGTCAGGAACTTAAAAAGGTATCTTAGTCTAGGTCAGTGTCTACAAATGGTAATGAGAGTTTAAAAAATTTATGCAAGTCATTCATTGACCTGACATCAGGCCTATAAAAGGGGAAACTAATTGAAGGAAGTCAAGAGGGTAGGTAGTAATACTGTTGTTGTAGTTCTCTGACACCCGTTTCCCAAGCTCCCTCCTCCTTCTCCTCCTCCCCCTCCCCCTCCCCCCACTTCCCCACCACTGCAGATAGAACTGGACTGTACCTCTCAGCATCTCTTGGCAAAGCCAAAAAGGCCTATCAAGTAACATAATTTGCTATGGTGGGTTGTGTATTCAGACAGTTGGGTTTATTTCCACATCGAAATCCATGTTTATCAGAGGTTGCTGAGCAAAGTTTTTCTGTTAGGCTTTACTGTGTGAGAAATGATGAGCCTGTCAACTTTTTTCGTATTAAAGTGAAGACATGAGATCCAACTCTGAACTCACCCTGGTGTCAAGTGAATGATGCCAGTATGCTTGCATTGAGGGGTCTCATAACAAGGAGTGCTGGTTCTGATTGTTTCTTCCTTGACAGGTGATTGAAGCCTCAGATGTTCTGTTGGAGGTATTGGATGCCAGAGATCCTCTTGGATGCAGGTGTCCTCAGGTAGAAGAGGCTATTGTCCAGAGTGAACATAAGAAACTAGTACTTGTATTAAATAAATCAGGTGAGCAAAAGGGATTTCCCTTTGTCTTCTCTATGAACTAGTTGAGGAATGAGGAAAATATCTAAACAGTCTGATTGACAGTGAAGACTGATAAGATCCAACTCTGACCTCAACAAAACCAGAGCATGTGTACTCAGGTTGCCAAAAACAGGGTTGAACATTGGGAGGAGGTGGTTTCTACAAGTGATTCAACTGGCTTTTCCCACTTTACCACTCATTACTTCACCACCTTGTTTTATTTAAGGGTCTGAGCTTCTATACCCAGCTTACCATGTAGTGTATTTCATACAGAAAGTGATGACAGGGCTGGAGGTATGACTCAAGTGGTAGAGTTCCTGCCTAGCAGGCCTGAAGCCCTGAGTTTAAACCTCAGTGTCACCCACCACCTGCACAATGTTGAATATTAGTTCAGGGGAAAGATCCATTAGATTATCTGTGATAAGATACTTAAATGAAATATTTAGGAAGAAGAAAACCCAAAACAGACTTGAGAACCACAAAGGGGCAAGATCAAAAATCACTGTTAATGATCAAGTGCAGTGTCTCATACCCATAATTCTAGCTACTTGGGAAGCATGTATCAGGAGGACTACAGGCTAAAGCCAGCCCATGCAAAAAGTTCAAGAGACTCCATCGTAACTAATAGCTGGGCATGGTGCAGGCTGGCCTGGGAATAAACGTGGGACCCTGTCAGAAAAATATCTAAGGCAATAAGGACTGGAGGCATGTTGCAAGTGGTAGAGTGCCTGCTTAGCAAGTATATGGCCCTGAGATCAAACCTCAGTACTGCCGAAAGTTAAAATCAGGGTCAGAAAGCAAGAGACTTAACTTGAGAATAAATCTTGGAACACAGCTGTGTGTAGAGTTAATGTAAAAGTTGAGTTAGTCCTAACAGTGAACAATACAGGAGGAATTGAAATATGGAAGAGTAGATGTTGAACTCTGTTAAGGGCAACATAATAGGAACCTTCCTCTTCCCCTATTTCCTAAAGAATACCTTTTGAAGAAAACTGGGAAAAGGTGAAATCTGTAGTGTAACACATAAATTTATCTTCAGCAAAATGAAGCATGTGTCTTATTCCTAATTCCCATTAGATCTGGTACCAAAGGAGAACTTGGAGAGCTGGCTAAATTACTTGAAGAAAGAATTTCCAACAGTGGTATTCAAAGCTTCAGCAGTTCTGAAGAACAAAATGAAGGTAACCAAGGTACACTTCTACCATTAGTGGTGAAAAACGTGTTTAGCAGATTTTGGATGGTTGAAATATGATGAGTGTACAAAATATTGACTAAAAAGTGAAAGTAAAGAGATCCAACTCTGATTTCACCTGGACACCATCTGAAAGGCAGCAGAATCTAGAGAGGTGGGCTCTGGCACCTCGCTTTTTGAGTCTTATCTAGTGAGTTCTTAGAATAATTAATCTAATTAGTGGCTAATTCATGTATTTGGAATTTTACCATCTGAAGGTACAGAAAAAAGCTGTTCCATTCAAAAGTAAGGTCTGCTTTGGCAGAGAAGGCCTTTGGAAACTTCTTGAAGGTTTTCAGGAGACATGTGGCAGAGCTATTCAGGTTGGAGTGATTGGTGAGTTTTATAACATTCTGTGTCTTACTACCTACATGTCAAGATGCTTTTAAGGATTTTCCCATGTTAAGGGAGAACAGGTTATTGTGAAAGAAAGGGCATTCAAACACAAGTTCATGCCCACTTCACCATAACATAATTTAAAGAACAAAGACTTAAATAATTGCTGCCAGATTCAATTTGTTGTTGGGCCTGAGCTCTGCCAGAGGTTGACTTCTGAAAGCTCTTAGTAGCTGGGAGTACAGCTTAGTGGTAGAGCACTTTTCTAGCATTTGTGAGGTTCTGGATTTCCCCAGTGCCATAAATACATACATACACGCATACATACATACACATTTTTGGTTTATTTGAGTTAAGTCTTTTCCTACCCTTTTACAAGTGAATGCAAGAAATGAGGAAGCTAAGATTGGGCTTAGTGTTGAAGTGAAGACACTCAGATCCAACTCTGATCTTGCACTGAATACCAGAGAAACAATTAAGCATTGGAAATTTTTACAATCACCACATAATGCATTGTCCAAATTTTCATTTATAGGTTTCCCAAATGTGGGGAAAAGCAGCATCATTAATAGCTTGAAACAAGAATGGATATGTAATGTTGGTGTTTCCATGGGGCTTACAAGGTAAATTGAGCTGTTCAATAATTAGAATATCATAGATGAGTATAAATAGGTTTTATTTTTGATAATTTGAGGAAGGCAAGTTTTTATTCTTTCTTTAAAGAAAGGAAGAGGGCTAAGCCAGTGGGAGACTTGGGAGCTTGATTATAGAGTGGGACAGCTGCCTATATTTCAGTTTGAAAGACAAATTAAAAATAAAAATAGAAAGGGTGGGGTGTGGCTCAAGTGGTAGAGGGCTTGCCTAGCATGTGTGTGACCCTGGGTTCAATCCCCAGCACCACTCACATAAAAGAGAGAAGGCTGCCTTAGAGACAGTGACATTTGAACTTGACTTTGTGAAATGAGTAGAAATTGGCCAGGTAGAAGAAAGAATACGTACAGCAGAACATAGTTTGGGTAGGTGGCATAGTTTCTTTTTTTCGAGGTGACTGTTGTGATCGTAGACAAACATGAAGCAAATGATGATAAATTGTGTCTGACTCACTGTGTTGAATTTGTTCAATCCAACCCTGAGCTTCATGTTCTGTCTCTTGGCTTGCAGGTAAACCACAGTGCGCCTCCATAACTGTTAGTCCCATTTCTCTTCTTTCAGGAGCATGCAGGTTGTCCCCTTGGACAAACAGATCACAATCATAGACAGTCCAAGCTTCATTGTCTCACCACTTAACTCCTCCACTGCACTTGCTCTGCGGAGTCCAACAAGCATAGAAACACTAAAACCAATGGAGTCTGCTAGTGCCATCCTGGACCAGGCTGATGCTCAACAGGTAAAAGAACTAGTCCCTTGCCTTCAGCTCCTCACCACTGATCTTTTTCACCATTAGCATGATGTTCAATTTTCCATCTATACTGTATCAGATAAATGACAGTTCCTATTTCATTTTATTTTTAAAGGTAGTACTAAAATACACTGTCCCAAACTACAAGAATTCTCTGGAATTTTTTACAAAGCTTGCTCAGAGAAGAGGTATGCACCAAAAAGGTGGTAGCCCAAATGTTGAAGGTGCTGCCAAACTGATATGGTCAGAATGGACAGGGTAAGTGAGGTTTCTTTCTCTTGGCATTTTGGTGACTACTTAAACTAAAGGAGCTGGTTTTAACAGGTCTTGTTTTTAATACCAGTGCCTCATTAAATTATTATTGCCATCCTCCTACATCCTGGACAACTCCTCCACATTTTAATGAGAGTGTTGTGGCAAACATGAAAAGGGGCTTTGATCTGGAAGAACTGGAAAAAAACAATGCTCACAGCATGCAGGGTAAGTGAGATTTGTGTTTCATCGCTGTTTTTATCTGCTGACAGAACAATAAAGAGAAAATTAAGTGAGGTTTTATATTAAAAAGTAAAAGCAAATCTTAAGTTGCTTTCTTAGAAGTCCTTTGCCCCAGATTCACCTGCTGATTTTTTGTCTTATCTATTTGTGTGGTCTTTGTTACTTCCCTAGCCATCAGGAGCCCTCATTTAGCCAGGAGCATCCTTTTCCAGTCTTCAGGTCTGACAAATGGAATAATAGAGGAAAAGGACATACCTGAAGAATTGACAAGACAGAGAGAGAGCAAACAGGAGGTGGGGGACGATAACAGTAACATGGTCGGTGACCAGGAAAGTGTTGATGGTGAAGTTGATGTAAGTGTATTCTCTGATTTATTAAAAGCTGAAGTTTTCTACCATTATACATAACTAATGGCTAAAAGTAGAAATAAAATATTTTGAAATCAACTGGAAGAAGCCCTGCACACTTAGGTATTTGAGGCTTATGATCTTGAAATTTACACATTTCACATAATTGGATATATATAATTGACAGTGGCTGCTAATCCTGTTCTGTTTCTTTTTGTCTCACAGGAAAAAGTCTCAGACATCTCCCCTGTAGGAGACACCACGAAGGCTCTGCCTGAGGAATCCACAGCAGGTGAATCTGGGGTGAAGGACTTGGAAGAAAGCAACTTGACTTAGATTTGCTTTTACTTTTTTACATAAAACTTCACTTAATATTTTTCTCTAATAGGTGAACCATCTGCAGGATCTTTTATTTTGGATGAACTGGCTAAAGAGGATGATATTTATGACTTCAGCACAGATTACATGTAACAGAATTATGTAGTCCAGGCTTTTCTCAAATTTGTGATAGTCCCACCTTCATCACCTGAGTGATGCAGACAAGTGCTAGCTAGAACCACGTGTACCAAAATGTTATTATATGTGTTTTTGTGCTGGTTTTGGTATGACATGAGCTGTAAATTTTGTGAATATGGATCATGAATGTATAAACAATTTAGAAAGTCTACATTCTATAAAAAGACATAATAAAGTCTACTGAAAAATGTTGGTTTATTTACACATCAAGCCACAGGTTACAAAATAAAAATCAGTTTTGAACTAGCTGTACCAGCCTTATACCATTCTTCTGATGAATCAGGACTATAGTAAGAAACACTTGGTAAGGCAGATGGAGACATTTATAGTCTGTCTTATAAGGTGACTGTCAGACAGGGCAGTCTGTCATCCTTACCCAGCTGAAACATCCCTTTTTCTGTTGGTTGCTATAGATAGTCCTTGAAGGCTAGCAACTGTTACTTCACTTCCCACGCGTATAGTGTCTTCCAGGATTTCCTGAGAAATGTTTATAGCTTAAATTCTGTTTTACTTTATATTTGAGATTTCTGAATGTCTTCTGATTAGATTGAATTTGCCTGTTGGATCTGGAATATACCATTTTTCCCAAACATCAGTATATGAAGCAGTTCTTCCCCATGGCTTAAAGTGTCCATTCCAATGAAGTAACTTGGCAGCCTTTACAAACTGTGGTGAATATCGTTTTCCAGCACTGGAACCTTGTAATTGAGAGAAAGAGTCAAATGATCATACCAGTAAGACACAAGGCAATGGCATGTATTAAACTGCAGAGAAACTTAAGGGAAACTGGCTATATTCCATCCCTGAGGATGGTTCTTTAGATATTAATCACTGATTAACCTAGGCTATTATTTCCTCTTACCAAGGTGGCGGACATTCCACATAGGGTCAATGGTGGAGTGCTGTTGATAAAACACAATAAGCAGAGGAGGCGTTGTGATGCTGCCAGCCAGTGTTCTGCTATACAATCCCTCTCTTGATGAGGACAGATAACAAATGTTAGTCAAGACTCTAGGGCTTGAAGTTCAAGAATTTTTTTCATAGCTGGGCCATACTTACTCTACATTGAGTTTCATCCATTTTTCCAACTGATTAGTTATATTCTGTCGCTTCCATTCTGTCAGGTTTGCAACAAAAACTCCAGGATTAAAAGAGCAGGTACTGGCTTTCATGGAAAGCTTACGAATTCTTTCCTTTTTGTAGTCAAGGTAGCCAATGTAATTGTACTAAAAACACAAATGGAATGTATGTTTGTTACAGTTTGATAGCCAGTAAAGAAATATCAACTTGATTAATCAAAAAAGGAGTTACCTGAATTAGCCACTTTTTTGTTTTTCTTTTGGCGGTATTGGGGGTTAAACTTGGAACCTTGCACTTGCTCACCAGGTGCTCTACCACTTGAACCACATCTCCAGGCACCCCCCCCCCCCACACCATTAAACTACTCTATAGGAAATTACCTGGTTCCCTGCTCCACGGATGACAACTTTAGCAGAGGTTGAATCACAATCTTCTGAGAATGCAGCAGCGTGTCCTGGTTTTAGTGGTGTATTGTACAAGGCAAGGATATCACCTGAAATGGGTAAGGTGTTAGGATAAATATTTCCAGTGCCTTGAGAGCCCTTGTTTCTCCCAATTATTCCGATGGTGACCTTTTATAAGAGACCATTCAAACATAAGACAACCCCCACAGCCTACAACCTGGATGGAGAACAATACTCATGACATTTTGATACCTTGTACAATTACATCATCATCCATGTATATGGCTTTCTTTGCACTGGGAACCAGAATTGGCAAGTAGAACCTTGCAAAGGTTAACTGGAAATGAAAAGAAGCATTAGCATAGGATACAGTGACTATGTTTTTATTTACATAGAAGCTGCTAGATTATTCTCAACACTTGCAGAAGACAGCCAAAGTACTCTTAGAACTACGCAGGCTTGGTCCTCAAGGAACTGTATGTACTATACTCTGTTAACCGGATATTCTAATCTCAAGTACAAAGAAAGATGTGTGGGACTCACTGGTTTCATGGACTCTCCCTGGTCAGGATCCTCTTTTACTTTCCCTTCCAAAAGTTTAGTGTCAAAATTCACAATTTTGTACCTGATGCTTTTCAGGGAACCACTGTTAAGCCAGGACCTGATGAAGAAAAAGCACCACATTTAAACTTTAAATATTCACATTTGTAAGATGTGAATTTCTAAATTATGCTTTCCTAACAAGGGCTTAATACAATGCAGAGAAACCCTGGGGTCCTTTATTTCTGATATGTGGTTTTCTCATCTAAAATGAGGATATTCCTGCCAAAGTTCTTTCTGAGGCAGGATTATATGGTTATTCGCTTCCAAAATTAAAACCGCTATAGGAAAACTTGAAAATATCACACCACCAAATGGCCCAGTCTTACTATATAACCAAGGCTGGCCTTGAACTTGTGATCCTCCTGCATTAGCCTCCAGAGTGCTGGAATAGGTGTGCATACCTGGCTGGACCGCTAACTTTCCAAATGTTAAAGAAAATGGAATCAAAGTACAATGGTAGTGAAAGCTAGTGATGAGTCTGTCATATATAAAATGACTATAAATTCACTGTAATGACCCTAAGTAACTCATCTGCCTGAGTCTGAGGCACTAAGACAGTGTTTCCTGAAGTAGTAGTACATACTCCTTCTACTCCATTCCAAATCAGTGTTTTGTGGACACTTGATGTTATTGCTGTCATTCATTTTGTTTGTATTAATTTTATTTTCATGAAGGAGATTCCATCACATTGGGTTTCCATTAATCACAACAACTAAAATGTAAGGACTATTTTACTAAGCAATTACTTCAAGCCAGGTGTTTTATATACATTTTCATTTTACTTGACACAGAACCCTTTAAGTTGGATATTTTTGCACCATAATTGTAGGTGAGGAAATTGCTACAAGGTTGCTCCAACCACCTTGGACTAGGATTTGGACCAGAATCTGTTCACAATTTCACCACACTACCTTGGCACTGTTCCAAGTCTTCTCACACCAAACCAGAACTACAGGAGTTGTCCATGAGATAAAATGTGAATTAAAAATCAGCCTACTGCTTCGCTCACTGAGAAAGTTGTTACTAAAACTCAGTCTTATTACCAAAACAGTAACTGAAGTAAAACCGTTCCTGGGTTGGCAGCCAGACTTCTCTAGAGCATCCACTAGAAGTAGAATCATTACGCAAGCAGAGCTCACCGGAGATGGTCTGCTGTACTGTTAAGTGTAACAATGTGGAAAATCACGTTGGAATGAGTGTTATGTTGAATGCTATTAATGGCTGCAATGGCCCCCCCAAGCCTGTCTTCAGATGCAGCAATGACCACAGGAATCTCCTCTTCTCTCCCATCTACTGCATGTTGGGGAGCATTTGGGACAAAGTCTATGGGCTGAAGTCCCAGAATTCCTGAATCTGAAAAGAAAACACACACAAGGAAGGCAATGTGATACAAACACAATCTCATGAGCTTTATTTTTTTCTCATGAGCTTTTGATATAGATTCTAAAACACGGAAAGAGGTTCAGGTGAGGATTACGGTTGCAATTTTCACTTTATTCTCTCCCATTAAATTTTAAAGCAGAGTATCCAGAAATTGTTTTCCTACACATAACAAAGTTTTTGGATAAGCAGAAGAAAGGTTTTAAAAAACAGGCTGGCAACACTCTGAGATACACCATTAGTAGGAAAGAGAACCTTTCTAGAATGTACTGTGGCTATTTGTATGAAGAATCCTAAATGGATATGTGGCCTTTGACCCAATCATTCCCTTTACTACCTCTCAAGGACAAAATCTGAGCTGGGTGTTGGTGGCTCATGCCTATAATCCTTGCTGATCAGGAGGACTGCAGTTTGAAGCCACCCCAGGCAAATAGTTCATCAGACCATATCCTGAAAAAACACTTCACAAAAAGCTGATAAAGTGGCTTGAGGTGTAGCCCTGAGTTCAAACATCCACACCACAAAAGAAAAGAAAAAAGAACAAAATCTGAAATGTAATCAAAGGTCACAATTTCATGATGAGGCTATAACTCAGTGATAAGAATGTATGTTCAGTATGTACAATGCTCTGTATTCGATCCCTAGCACCACACACACACACAAAAAAAAAAGCCAGGTGCCAGTGGCTCCTAGCTATCAGGAGGCAGAGATCAGGAGGATCGTGGTTTGAAGATAGGCTGGGCAAATAGTCTTGAGTGAGACCCTATCTCAAAAAAAAAAAAAAAATCACAAAAAAGGGCTGGTAGAGTAGCTCAAGGTGTAAGCCCTGAGTTCAAGCCCCACTACTGCAAAAAAAAAAAAAAGCGTCACAATTTTATTTATAATTACGAAAACCTAGAAGTAAAATGTTTTTCAATCCATAAATCATACGTAGGCATGAAATCAATTTAGTGGATCATGATCAGAATTTATTTTATTGTAGTGCTGGGGATCAAACCCCAGGATCTAGCACATGCTAGGCAAGTGTTCTACCAGAACTACATCTCCAACCCAATGATCAGAATTCGAACATGAAAAGTTTCTGGATCGGAATGCAAAATTGAATTAGAATAGAAAAGTGTAGGGCTGGGCTCCACACTTGTAATCTCAGCTACAAAAGAAGAGGAGACAGAAAGAGGCCAGCCTGGGGGTTGGGGGAAAAAGAGAAACCACCTCAAAAAACAAGCCAGGTATGGTGGTTCATGTTTATAATCCTAGCTACATGGGGACTGTGGTCTGAGGCCAGCCCCAAACAAAAGCAAGATCTGAAAAATAAAGGGCTGGAGGCATGGCTCAAGTGGTAGACGGCTTGCCTACCAAGCTGAGGCCCTGAGTTCAAACCATAGTATCAGAAAAAGAAAACAGCACAATGCAAGTATTGTTCTGTAAATCTTCCTTCTTGCCTTTTACAACAAAGTATCTGTAGGTTCTACATCAGTGAATTGAACCAACCACAGAATGAACATAGTAGATAAAAAAAATCACTGTACTAAGTATGTAGAGCCTTGTTTTTCTTATCATTACTACCCAAACAATACAGTATAACAACTACTTATATAGCATTTATGTTATATAAGATATAATCTACAGATACTCCATACAGTAGGATGTGCACAGGTTTTGTGCAAGTACTGGTCTTGAGCATCTAAAGATTTTAATCCTAGAACCAATCTCCTACATATATAGAGGGACAACTATACATTTATTCATTGTTGTATGCTGAGTGACTGTTACATAACAGGCAGTATCCAGACACTGGGGCTACAGCCATGAGTAAAACAAATAAATCCCTACCATCTTGGAGGATGGACAATAAGCAAATATATATGTGTATGCTGCATGTAATGCATTTCTTATAGTGGGATTGTTACCAAAACGTCTGAGAGTCATTGTATGAAAGATATTTTACATAGCTCAAGTGATAGAGAACTTGCCTAGCAAGCCTAAGACCCTGAATTTAATCCCCAGTACTGCAGGAGGGAAAATATTTTCCTTGTGGATACAAGTAAACTTATGGCATTAAAATTACACATGAAGAGTTTCTGCTATCACGGTGATGTGCTTATGATAACATCATCTGGGAAAACATGTAATATGTACAGTTTAGTATAATCTGAACTCTATGTACATAGAGAAAAAGACTGAAAGGTATCAGACCAAATTTTTTTTTTTTTTTTTGCTGTATTGGGTTTTTAACTCATGGCTTCTCACTTGCTAGGCAGGAGCTCTACCACTTGAGCCACACCTCCAGTCCAGATCAAACTTTTTGTAGTATTTATCTTGAGTCACCTAATATTTAAAGAATACCACCTACATATCAGCCATCATTCTTATGCACCAGAGATAAACCAGTAAACAAAGTATTCTCATGAAGCTGAATATTATTTCATTTTTATAAATTTTCCCACCAGAAGCACACATTACTTTTATCTACATATATCATATACACATATATCATTATAAAATGTGCTATCAGGGCTGGTGTCATAGCTCAGTGGTAAAACACATGCTTAATAAAAGCAACCTCTGAGTTCAGACCCAGCACCAAAAAAAACAACAAAAACAAAAACATGCTATCTACACTCAGTGGAAGTCTGGGGAAAATTATTTTATTTTGGTAGAATTAGAGTTTGAACTCAGGGCTTCACACTTGCAAAGCAAACACCTTCAGCCCAGAAAGCTATTCTTTCCTTGCTCTGGTGGGTGGCAATCCAAAAATACTTTTTTGGTTTTTTACTGTTGTTTGTTTTGAGACAGGTTCTTACTATGTAGCCCAGATTGGTCTGGAACTTGCTAGGTAGCCTAGGCTGGTCTCAGATTCAAGATCCTCCTGCCTCTGCCTCTTGAGTACTGGGATTATAGGCAAGTACTACCATGCCCAACTTCAAAAATGATTTTTGGCAAATATCCTGAAGCCTCAAAGATCTCTCAATCTAAGGCAGGGCAGTATGAACAACTAAAATAACTTGTAATGATACAATAAAACGATTTTTATAAATCAGCTGACAAGACTTTATGATCTCTGTTTTATTATTAAAGTCCTACAGATGTGGTTCCTCAACTTAAAGGAAAGTAGCAGGTGAAGGAAAGTAATGAGACTAACACCCTAGTGACAATAATGGACATCAAACACCAGGGACACTTGCCTGTACCCACCTTCTAAAGCCCTACCCTGCTGAAACGTGAGTGGATAGCAGCCCACAGAGGCTCCTCTAAGGCCTCTGATTTGGTGGAAAGGAATATTCTGTCAAATCAAATCCTTAGCTAATGATTGCAATGCAGGGAAAAGAGTGGAGGGCACCACAGGAACAAGAGGAGTACCTACCATGCTTACTCCCAGAGTCTTCTCTACCTTTTCTAAGGCCTAGAAGCAAACTTTCTTTTCTTTTAACATAGTGATATGAGTTACAATGTGAGACACAGGAAACCCCAGGTGTTCAACAGATTCTAAGGCAACTGTAAAGAGTTCCCATACCTGAAACTTCATTCCTTAGCAAACTGCTTAGGCTGAGGAAGTTATGGTGCAAAACCAGTAAAAAGAGGACAACAGCCAGGACCAAGATGACGATGTTTACTGAAACAGATAGGAAAAACCTGCATTTTATGTGGTCAGCTTTAACTAGGTATAAAACAACATGAGTTGTAGAAAGAGCATACCTTTACGGAACGACATCTTTTTCTTCTGTCTTATATAAATATTCCTTATTAATCCTATAAAACAAAATCAAGCCCCCAGAGTCAGTAGGTATGTAAGAATGGCCATCAATTATCCTATGAATATATGCTAATATATGTTTTATATGTTTTTTTTTAAATAATGACCATCAAAATGCCTATATACTTTTAGAAGAAGTATACATCATATTCTGCAAAAAAAATCATTTGAATTAATAATTTCCAAGAACCAAATTTGGGATCTGAAATTCTCATGATAGTCATAATAAAATACTTTCAAATAATTTAGAGAACTATGTAGCCTAAGTTAGGTTTCATTTCAGAATGAATTTTTTACTTAATATTCCTAGTTAAATTGGACTGAACTTAGGTATCTGACAAAATCAACCTAAGAGCTACTATTCTCAAAAATTTTTTTAATTAAAATTTTACTTAAAAAAGAATGAACTTCCCAGCTTTCATCTCTGTTGAGTAACTGCCCATCTATTAAGAAAGTGGTACATGCCTGTATTCCAAACGCTTGGGAGACTAAAGCAGGAGGATTGAAAAATTATATGCCAGCCTAGGCTACATAACAAGACCCTGTCTCAAAAAAAAAAAAAATAGTATCCAATATTGTCACTCTGCCCTGGCCAGTCCTCCCCTGTACATCTGATGCCTTCACTTTTTCAAAACAAGTAATTCAATGGAACCAAGATTGCAGGTGGAACTAAATTTATTAAAATTGGTTTTTTTTGGAGGTACTGGGGTTTCAACTCAGGGCCTACACCTTGAGCCACTCCACTAGTCCTTTTTCTGTGAAGGATTTTTTCGAGATAGGGTCTCAAAAACTATTTGCCCAGGCTGGCTTTGAACTGTGATCCTCCTGATCTCTACTTCCTAAGTAGCTAGGATTACAGGAGTGAGCCACCTGTGCCCGGCTTAAACAATTAAATTTTTACAATGACGTCTGAGAAATGTTTCCAAGGTAGGTTTTATCCAACCATGATATTTTGACTACATTTAAAACCTTTAATTCTTTTTTTAAACTTCATCTATAATAGTAATTAACATTTACATAAAGGTATTTATTTTACAAAGCACTTTCAAACATAACATATTCCTAAAAATCAAAGTTAAGTCTAAATTTCATTCTAGGTAAACTGTATATATATTAGGCACTCAATTTCTTAGGTCTTTGAAAAGAGGAGAAATATATTAAGCTTTTTAAAAACTGAGGATCAGGGCTGGCGGAGTGGCTCAAGTGGTGGAGTGCCTGCCTGGCAAACGTAAGGTCCTGAGTTCAAACCCCAGTACTGAAAAACAACGACAAAAAAATTTCCTAAGGATTATCAGGGCAGATTACAAATGTGAGGGTAATTCAGACTCCTAAAGAACAATCTAAAGTGCACATTTCTAGAGCAGCATATATGAATATATTATGCCAGTGAACTTCCTCTCTAAAGGATACACATTATATATCCTAAGTTATATGTCTCGATCGCATTGAGCTAAGCCTTACTATAAAAGCTGGCAGATTGAGAGCTACTCAGATAAAGCCCTAATATCTGCCTACTTTGAGCATCTTCCACCAAGACTGGAGAAAACATTCTCATTCTAATAAATCCCACCTGGGACAAAGGACAATGTTCTAGCTGGTCAATTTCCAGTAACAGTCACTTACAGGCAGTACTATATATGGATTAAAAGGCCATGTATTTACGCTATTCCATTAGTGGGGCACAACAGAAATATAACTATATCAAGTATTTAGTAGTACACCTAAACAGATTAGCAAGGCAAGAAACTCATCCAGTAACCTACACAGAAAATGCCAATTACCATAGAGTGAGTATGTCAGCTCCTTATTTCCATTCCCAATAATGAAGTTTCCTTGATATTTAGAAGGAATTCTCAAGGGGCTGGGAATGGATAAAGCACCTACTTAGCATGCATGAGACCCTTTGTTTGATTCCCAGCACAATGTTTAAAAAAAAAAAGCAGAAGGAATTCTCAAAACAAGACTGCATGTACACCCTAGATGTATAATAGTAGCTACATTTTTGTAAGAGAACTGTGTACAATTTGCTCAGCAATATTCCATTGTTCACTATGAAAATACTTTTTAGAAATTATAAAACCAACACATTCCCCAGCCACTTATTAACACACACATACACCAAGCAAACCTAGGGTATAGGCGTACCCATTAATATGAAAGAAACCTTAGGTGAAAAAAACTCTTTTCCCCTTTTTCTTATTAGCTACATGCACTTATCCACATTCTCAGTAGCTGTGCTGCCTTTTGTTTCTTCCCTGTTATTACAGACCAAGTACTTCCATGAAAGGCCATCCCACTGGTGCTCTGTATCCTATCCTCTGATTACTTATTTATTGGCAGCTCTGCGGTTTGAACTCAGGGCCTCAGGCTTGCTGGGCAGGCACTCTTATAACTTGAGCCACTTCACTAGCCCTTTTTTTGTGATGAACTATTTGCCTGGGGCTGGATTTGAACTTCATTCTTTCTAATCTCTGCCTTCTGTCTGAGTAGCTAGGATTACAGACATGCGCCACCAGCCTATGATTATTTTCTTGGTGTAGCATCATCACTCTCTTGCAGTCTGGTGTATGACACCCATAAGCACCACAGCATGTTCTGGGAACTTATAGTTAATTAAAAGAAAGAAAATGAGAAAAGACACCACTTCTCCTACCTACCCCACCTGACCCACAGGCACATTTCTCTGCCTTCCTCCCCCCATTAAAAACTCAAAAGAATTTAAAGTCTCTAACTGTAACTCCTCTCTGCTTTCACCTTCTCCACCCAGACTTGAGATTCTACATTCAAACTGCTCGTGAGGTCACCAACAGCCAAATTAATCTTTCTGTCCTTCCATTATCTCCTGAGAAGCCATCAGTAAAGTCCACCCCACTCTTCTCAGTTATGAAATTATCTTGTTTATTCTGTTTCCTGATTAGTATGTAAGCTCTATGAAAACAGGGAGCCTGTTGAAAATGTTCACTGGTATATCCCTGCCACCTAAAACTGTGCCTGCTAAATGGTAATAGGCATGTGACATTTTGAGAATGACTTTGCTAATCTAGGATGAAGGCTAGATCTCTGCTCAAGAAGGGAATGCAATCTTTGATGATAATGATAAAAACAAATCCAATGTAAGGAAAATCATGAGATTCTAGTGGAACTGTCTCTCAAAACCTGACAAGGTAATTTCCTTTTCCCCCTATTTTTATAGTTCAAACACCTGTGATAGCTATACAGCAACTGCCATCTTATGAAGTGCACTAAATGTCTATATATACCTACAACAGTGTCTGTCCGAAACACATCAAGAAACACATAGGAAGCAAGGAAGGAAAAGAGATCCCTGTAAACTCTTGCCCTTCCCTGAATCTATCTGACCCCTACCTGCACTTGCGTATTTTTCTAAGAGCAGAACTGTGTACAATCTGATCAGCAATATTCCATTGTTGGTGGGGGGTGGCCCAAACAATGTATACACATGTGAGTAAATGTAAAAACGATTTTAAAAATCTATTAAATAGTGAATAAAAATTTTTCTGGTAAAAAAATATTCCATTGTTCACTATGAAAATACTTCTTTTTAGAAATTATAAAACCAACACATTGCCAAGTCAATTAGTGCCAAAGGAGTTTACACTGTGCTGAAGTGTGGACAAGCAGGAGGAATGACAGCCACTTTCTCCTATTCCTTCACTAGCTAACTCCAACTTCCCCCAGACCTCACGCCGAGCTGCACTCCTAGACCTCCCTCGCAGAGGGCTAATCAAGCTGTCATACATTTCTGGGGTGATGTGGCTGGCTCCCTTGTCACACGAGGGGCTCTAGGAAGGCAAGAGCCACGTCCCGGGTGCAACAACTGGCACAAGGGTGCCGGGTCACTTTGCTGGCTCCGTGGACCTGTGACCGTGGCAGCCGGCAATCAGGACGGTGGGCCGCGTTCGGGACCTGTACATGGGGCGCGCTCTCCCCATGCGGCGTGAGGAGCGGCCCAGGGCGCTGAGGTTCGGCGTAGCTTCATTAATCCTAACCTAAGGGTCATTAGGGCCCCCTTACGCTTAGGAGTGACGGGGAGGTGGCGTGCCGTTCTGGAGATCCCATCAGGCCCAGAAACACCGGGTTAAAACCCATCCCGACCAGTCGCGGTGACCGCGCTTACCTGCACTGAAAGGAGGAGGGGCCGCCGCAGCCCACGCCCCGGCCCGCCCCGCCAGCTCAGCGCCCGCGTCGCAGGCCCCCGCCGCCGGGCCGCCCGCGTCCCCTGCACTCTGGGCCGAGCCCGCCTGTCCACTTGTCCTCGAGTTCTGAGACAGTCACCCACTGCCACAATCTCCAGCCCGATGGCTGTTCCTGCAGCCAGAGCACAGCGCCCAGCAGGCGCCGCGGGGCAGCCCATAGCCGGGGTCCTCGCCGAGAAAAGGCTGTCGCCATGGAGACGCGGAGCGCGCCGCGGGAGCCAGTAAGCAGCGGAAGCGCGGTCTCGGCACCCAGTATCCCTGACGGCAAACCGTCTACGGGCGCGCGATGCCTCGGCCCGGACGTGGCCGTCGCCGCCTCAACCCAAGCGGGCGGTGCACCGGGCTACAGCCAGCTGCAAAAGCGCACGTAGCCTAGCGATGGCGCGGGGCGGAGCCATGGGTTATCCCGGCAGGTCCGAGACATCCGCTTCCGGTGCCGGGGCCTTCGCGCTCAGGGACTCGTCAGGCCGGTCTGTTGATTCATGGTGTCAGACTCAGGTCCCTGCGGCCTTTGAGTGTCCGCCGCACTTGTATCGCTGTCAGCGTCCTCGGCCAATCATGCTGGAACATCTAAGCTCCTTCCCCACACAGATGGTGAGGGTGCGGCCTGGGGTCTCCGCACGCCACTCGGGAGCATGGTGGCATCGAATCCCTCTCCCGGTCGCGGTTCCCATCGCCGACGGTTACTGTCCATCCTCTTTCCCGAATTATACTGTGGGGTCCTCTTCTCTTTCTGAGGGATTCCCTTGCCCGTGCTTCTCTAGGATCCTCGACCCCCCACCCCCACCCCCGGAAACCCACAAGTTTGATTCCTTTCTCAAGCCCCTGGGGAGCCCGTTAGTGCTGCCCTGAGTCCGGTCTGTGCACCTCCTCAATGGTGGCACCAGTTTTTTTGCTCTCTTTCACCCGTAGGATTACAAGGGGCAGAAGCTAGCTGAACAGATGTTTCAGGGAATTATTCTTTTTTCTGCAGTAAGTATTGGTTTTACATTTACTCTTTTTCTTTTCTCCTCCTAGCCTGACTTTATTTAATAGACTTTGTTTTGTCTCTAGATAGTTGGATTTATCTACGGTTACGTGGCTGAACAGTTCGGATGGACTGTCTATATAGTTATGGCCGGATTTGCTTTTTCGTGTTTGGTAAGAAATTTATGGGTGTTTGAGGCAAACCTGAGTTTTCTGAGTTGGGTTGCTTTGGTTGGACTTAGTAGCAAGACCCAGAGCCAAACTCTTCCCTTACCTTTCCTGTCAGTGTTTGTCCTTGCTACCACTGGAAAGGCAGAATGCCAAATATCGTCAGACGGTGAGCCGCGTAAAAGGGTGTATTTCCTTTGGCAGCTTCTCAGGCAAAACTAGCAGGACTTTCTCCTGGTGCCCATATTGCCTCCTTCACGGTGCTCTTGAGTCTTAAAGCCTTAGTATAAAGTAAGGCTTGTTTCCATCAACTGATAGTATCTTGTCTGGGCAGTTTTTGTTTTGTTAATCTTTAGCATAGGAGTCACTTTTGGAATCAGACATCACACGTAATGATCTTTTAAACTTTTAATGGATATAACTGATGCATTTTTTTCTATTTTGGTCTAGCTGACACTTCCTCCTTGGCCTATCTATCGCCGACATCCCCTCAAGTGGTTACCTGTTCAAGACTCAGGGACAGAAGACAAGAAACCAGGGGATAGAAAAATTAAGAGGCATGCTAAAAATAATTAATTGGGATTTTCATGACTCAACGCCTGCTTTTGTTTCCTGTGAGATGAGCTAAATTACTTTCATAACCAAAACATGAGCTAAAACCACCTATGCTCTTAAAGCACAGCTGTGTATAATTTAGTTCTCTTTATATTTAATTTCTAACCTTGTTGTGTTTTGATTTACAAATATTTTAGACCATCTCTTCATAATCTTGTTATGAAATGAACAGAAAACACAAGTATGCAATGTTTCTTTCAGGTATAATGAATAAATGCCTCATAAATGACAATATATATATATTTTTGTTTGTTTGTTTCTATGTTTTTTGAGATAGGGTCTCACTATGTAGTCTGGGCTGGTCTTCAATTTGAGATTCTCCTGGCTTAGCCTGTTGAGTGCTGGGATTATAGGCTTCTGCCACCATACCTGGCTTGACAGTACAATTTAACTGCCAAAGTTTTATAGTTAATTATAAGTCATTGTTTTAATGTTTCATATTAAAACTCATAATGCAAGTCTATGGTTTAAAGGGTCTTTTGTTGATTATTCTACAACACTATTAGTAAAATCCTAAGTTATAAGTGGTTCTGAAAATGTCAGCACCATTTTTATTCTCCATAGCTATAACTTCCTAGTGTGTATGGGGGTTTTTTTGTTGTTGTTTTTTTTTTTTTTTTGGTGGTCTTGGGGTTTGAACGCAGGGCTTTCAAGCTTACTAGGCTTGAAAGCCTAGTAAGCCACTCTACCACTTGAGCCACATGTCCCCAGCCCATTCCTAGTACATCATTAACAGGAAATACCTCTGAAAAAATTTTACTAATGTAAATTTGTGGTAAAGTAACATTTGGTACCATTGAAATAAGAGCTGTTAAGCAGAAACATTTAATCTAGGCTTTACCTGAAGTAGACCAAAGTGAAAGACTCAAAAAGCTGTAAATTCCTTTTAATTTTTCCAGAGGACCGGAGAGAAAAATGTGCTGAAAGGTCTTGTGGAGTGGCTTAAGTGGTAGAGCACCTACCTAGCAAGCAGGCCCTAACTTCAAACCCCAGTACCGTCCAAAAAAAAAAAAAAAAAAAAGAAAACTAAGCATACGTAAGTATAATAAATGTAACTAGAAAGTTAGCAGCTCCCAGAGAAGGCTAAAAATCAAGTTACCTCATGGTCTCAAAATGAAATCTAATGGTTGAAAACAGGAGCAAGAATATATTGGGCAGACACAAACAAAAAGGAGGGATAACCATGAAAAAGTCAGATACTTGATATCAAGAATTATTAAATGGGGCAAAGAAGATATTTCATAGCTGCCAAGATGTTATTGCTACGAATCATGCAGTGAATAAATGTGAACTGTATAAAACAGACTGCTATATATACAAGAAGAGTTCAGCAAAACTTCAGTCTTGGTAGACCAACACTTTACCTTTCAGAACTTGGCAGATGAAGTAGATAGGCTACGGACAGGAAGACTTTTGTACTTGTTCTCTGTTCCTGGAAAGCTCCCCTCAGATATAAGAATTGTTCCCTTCTTTTATTGAGGTCTCTACCCATATGTCACTATAAAGGAACTCTCCCTACCAGCCACATCCACTTAGCCTGGATTAAATGTTGAATTTCATAGCATTTAACACATCTCACAGTATAAACCTATTTATTAATTGTTTCACTAGAACATTAGCTGTGTGGGAGCAGAGACCTTGCTTTGTTAACTGAAATAAAAAGTTCAGTTTCTTGACCAAACTAGCCATAATTCAGAAGCTCAATATCCACATATGACTAGTGGATTCCATACTGGACAGTACAAACATAGAACATTTCCATCATCACAAATTTCTAATGGTCAGATTTTATGTTGACTATTTAATAGACAAATTTTTTTATATGGCAGAATTCATCTTTATTGAATGCCCATAGGGCCATTCCAGTAATGGACCATATAGTAAGCAATCTGATAGAAAAATCTCCAAGAAGTAGAAGTTGTGCAGTTATGAATCACAAAATAACCAAAAGATAGTAGGATGACAACTGAATGACTGTTTAAACAAAAAAATACAGCATGGAAATAAAGTATGGGGAAATTCTTCTAACTCTAAGAAAATACTATTACTTTATATACCTTAAGTTATGAAACTTAGGTAAAATCAGTTGACTGTCAAGAAAGATGTAGGTTTCCAAAACTACAAGAAAAAGGTGAACAGATCAGAAAGACCAACAGTTTGCCAAAGATTTGCCACCACCTGGGCACTGACTAGACGGTTTTACAAGTTGAGTTCTCGTAAAACCCTTCAAAATAAAAATTTCAGAAACTGTAAGCACTGTAAGGGCAAAGCAGCATTATTCTATTCACTGCTACATCTCCAACATCCCCAGCCCCTATCAAAGCACTTGGCACATAGCAGAAATTAAATAAAAACTTAAAATAACTGAAAGAAAACATTTCATTAGAATATTTTTGTATGTGTGTAATTATTAAAGAAGATATTTTTATAAATAATAAAAATATTATTTATTAAAATATTTAGAGCAGTATTCATTCTTAAGAGTCCTTTGAACACAGAAGTGAAAATTTACTGACCAAGACTTTTATTTTACAAAAACGATTTCCTAGATAGTTATTACTTCTTATTAAACAAGAATAAAATGTGATACACAATCATACATTTAAAACATGGAAATGCAAACAATATCTTGACGTATATGAAGACAAACTTCAGGAGACAAACGTATCCAATAACTAAAAGGACCTAGACTTTACTTGCAAATTGCTTAATTAGAAGGGGAGCGTTTAAGAGATATTTTTATTGATGGAAAAATAAATCTAACAAAACTAATACATGAAAACATGATTTATAAAGCTAAAATACTTACTCAATTCTTGTATACCTTAAGTGAGGTTCATATTAAATGAAAATAAAATATTAAAAGTCCATCAATGTGTAAAAAAGGAAACCAGTTGCTCAAATACTAAATAGAGCTTTGTATTCTTTAAAACTATTCTCAGAATAGTAAATTGACTTTAAAAAAATACATAGCAACTACTCTCTAAAGTTATTAACAGCAAGTTTATCACTGGACATACTTACTTCTCCTGTTGCTTTTATCACTATAGTACTGGATAAAATTTGCAATCCAATGCTTTAATGGCCCTATTTTCAAGCTAATTAATACCTCAAAAAGTAAGGTTCTAAAGTTGGTTTAAGACTCAGTAAACAGTAACCCAAAAGTAACATTTTTCCTCATAAAAAGAATGAAAATCAAAGGTTTTTTTCTTTTGTGAACTTGCTTCATCTTACTCTGTTCTTTACATTTTTTTTTCCAATAAGAAAACCCCAGAGAGATATAAAATGGTGGTCAATGGTCTCTAATCAACTGTAACAACTTGCTTTTAAGTGAAAAACCTTTGAAAATAGAAAGTTTTTGGTTCTAGGAGCAGATTAGAACAAATTCTCAAAAGTTCACATTTTCTTCAAAAAACTTCAATTGGCGAGCTTTCACACTATAAGTTGTATACTTTTCACCCATGTGCTCCTGTAAAAGTACCTAGTTGGGAATGAGAGAAAAAGAAAATCAGTATATAATAGAAAAGATAATTTCTGTAATCCTAGAAGAAAGGCTTTCCTAAGTATGGTACCAGAGGTGGAAACCAAATGGGAAAATAATTTCGTTTACATAAAAATTTAAAACTTCAAGATTTAAAATAAAAGCAAAGAATAAATAAACTGGGAAAATATTTGCAACATTCATGCCAAAGAATTAGTAGCATCAATATATAAGGAGTTCTTAAAATACAAAAAAACCCAAAAATGTTAGAAAACTAGAATCGATGAAAACAACAAAATCAATACCATGGGTTATTCTGCAAATTCATTTATATATGTATGTAAATGTAAATCCCATACATTTATAAAACTATAATACAAATAGCCAACTAGGCAATACCTAAAATTCAACCTGACTAATCAAAAATATTGTATGACGTTCAATCTGTTCAAAGAAACCCTTGAAATTTAAATAATGCCTAATGTCTTTAAACAGTTATCACTCACCTCCTGAGGCAGTGAACTGACGGCACAAAATCACTTTGGTGGTATTCTGGTCAAAAATGTATAACCTGGCCAGGTAGTGGCATATCCCTACTGTAAGCCCAACCCTTAGAGACAGAGGCAAGAGGATTGCAAGTGGGCTACATAACAAGTTCCAGGTCAGACTTGGCTACATAGTAAGATCCCGTCTCAAAACAACAAAACTAAACTAGGAACTCAAAAGTTGAAAAGTCCAATAACTGAAATGAAAAACTTACCACAAGGGCTCAACAATAGATTTAAATTGTCAAAAGTATTAGCAAACTTGAAGATAAATCAGCAAAGATTATGCCAGTGAACGAGCAGAGGAAAAGAAGTACAGGACACCATTAACTAACTGTACCAGATGTGCGTAATATGTTAGGTGAAAAAAAGAAAGGAGCAGGAAAAACATGAATAAAGTCTGAAAACTTCCCAAATTTGCTGAAAAGCAATTAATCTACACATTCAGGAAGCCAAATGAAATCCAAGTAAGATATACTCAAAGACATCCATAGACACAGTAAAAATGCTGAAAAACAAGATTTTTTTTTTTTTTTTTGCGGTCCTGGCTTTGAACTCAGCCTATTTCTTGAGCCACTCCACCAGCCCTTTTTTGTGAATTTTCTTTTTTTTTCCGAGATAGGGGCTCACAAACTATTCGTCTGGGCTGGCTTTGAATCATCGTCCTGATCGTGAATATCTAGGATTAGAGACATGAGCCACCAGTGTCAGGCCAACCAAGAATCTTTTTTTTTTTTTTTTTGATTTATGTAAAGGTTTAATTTTCTTTAACTTTTTAAGACCTAACTGTTCTTTTGCTGATCTAAATTATTAATCCAATCCCATATGCTGCTTAAAATTTCTATATTTCAAACAGTGTATTTAAATAGTGTATGATGCTTCTTGGTCTTTCTATGACTGACAGAGTGAGCTCCTTGGAAGATTTTTTTTTTTCATTTTTCTTTTATTATTCATATGTGCATACAAGGCTTGGTTCATTTCTCCCCCCTGCCCCCACCCCCTCCCTTACCACCCACTCCGCCCCCTTCCTCTCCCCCCTCCCAATACCCAGCAGAAACTATTTTGCCCTTATTTCTAATTTTGTTGTAGAGAGAGTATAAGCAATAATAGGAAGGAACAAGGGTTTTTGCTGGTTGAGATAAGGATAGCTATACAGGGCATTGACTCACATTGATTTCCTGTGCGTGGGTGTTACCTTCTAGGTTAATTTTTTTTGATCTAACCTTTTCTCTAGTACCTGTTCCCCTTTTCCTATTGGCCTCAGTTGCTTTAAGGTATCTGCTTTAGTTTCTCTGCATTAAGGGCAACAAATGCTAGCTAGTTTTTTAGGTGTCTTACCTATCCTCACCCCTCCCTTGTGTGCTCTCGCTTTTATCATGTGCTCATACCAACCAAGAATCTTATATCCAACAAAACTATCTTTCAAAAACAAAGATGAAATACAAAAAAAAAAAAGTGAAATAAATTCCTAGATAAAGGCAGATACTGTGTGGCTAGCAGACTTCCTTGTAAGAAATACTAAAGAAAGGTCAGAAAAAAAATCTTAAGAAATAAAATTGAATCCACATGAAAATACAACTATTAGGTAATTATAAAACACAGGACAAACACATATTTCCTCAGCTTAACTAATTTTAAAAGCAATTGTTTAAAACAGTATATACAGAGGACAGCAGGATAGGAAGCATCAGGAATCCATCTCCATACTCAAGACAAAAACTGCACTGACAGAATCTGTTTTGTGTAATAACGATTTTGAAACTCCGGAGTCTGTTGAAGGCATGCAACATCCAGGGGAAGTTTTGGGCTGGTAAATGGTAGTTAATCTCAGCTTTTAGCACCCTGAGTCAGTTTGCATGCATCTTGTTAAGAGCCAGGATAGGCAATTTGAATCCTATCTGGAGACAGAGGCAAAGGGATCATGAGTTCCGAGCAAGCCCAGGAAAGTAAGCTATACCCTACCTCAAAAACAAAATACTGGGGATGTGGCTCAAGTGATTAAGCACTTGCCTAGCAAGCATGAAGCCCTGAGTTCAAGCCCCAGTACCACCAAAATGAAACAAAATGCCCAAGCAATGACAACAAAAAGTGGGCTGTGAGCGTAACTCAAGTGGTAGAGTTCTTACCTAGCAAGCACAAGGAACTGGGTTCAACACTTAATACTACCACAACAGCAACAAAAAATTCTATCCTCCAAATACCAGTAAATCTGTGTAGCCATAAAGGATTGTGGCTTCTGACCACTGAGGTGCAGGCAAATATTGCTGCAAACCTCACTGACACCATCACAAGCCCTGCCCCTCCAGCTGAAGTGACTTCCTGGGATTTTAAAGGGTTGTGCCTTTTCTGTCCACTCTTCTTTTTCTTTTTTTTTTCATCGGGGGTGGGGGTGATTAACTCCATAGATTTAAAAAGTAGGACATTCAAAAGCAACCACATATGAATGCACAGGAAAAGGCAGACTCAGAAAAGTCATGTGTGTGCCTTAAGTCTACTCCTTACTCAGGCTGATCCCCAACACAGACACCCTAAGGTACACATGAGAGTCAAAGTCTTTATTTTGTTAAAAAAAAAAAAGCAAGGCATAAAAAGAAACAAATTATTCAAAGAAAAAACAATCAAACCAGATAGAAGATGTATTAGAAAACAATGTATGAATGAAATAGAAATGTCAGTAAAGATAAGACATAAAAACAGCATAAAAGAAATTCTGGGCAACCATAGGCTGCAGCACTGTCAGCCCCAGAGATGGAAAAGGAAGTGCCACAGTTTGAAACTTATCCCCAGTCCCTCTGTTTTCCAAGGCAGCCAGTTTCTCTCTCTCTCTCTCTCTCTCTCTCTCTCTCACACACACACACACACACACACACACACACACACACCTGCTCTTCAACTACTTGTCCCCAGTTACACACAGGCCATAGTGCCCAGTTAGGGCTGAGTGGCTTAGCCCCAGTTCCCTGACCAGAAGAAGCATCCTGTCCACCTCCACCATGAAGCCCTCCATGCTGTGCTGTGCCTCACCAAGGAGGACCAGAGAGAAGTGAAGAAGGATGCTTTAGAAAATGTCCACATTGACCTGTGTAAGAAAATCATAGCTGACAGACATTTTGATCATCTATGTGCAAAAATAAAAAAAAAAACCTCAGTAGAGAACACATTAAGAAATGTTTTAGAGCAAACGGAAAAAGAATGTATGAAAACAATTCCATTTACAATAGCCTCAAAAAAAATCAAATACCTAGGTGTAAACCTAACAAAAGATGTGAAAGACCTCTACAAGGAAAACTATACACTTCTGAAGAAAGAGATTGAGGAAGACTATAGAAAGTGGAGAGATCTCCCATGCTCATGGATTGGTAGAATCAACATAGTAAAAATGTCGATACTCCCCAAAGTAATCTACATGTTTAATGCAATTCCCATCAAAATTCCAATGACATTCATTAAAGAGATTGAAAAATCTACTGTGAAATTTATATGGAAACACAAGAGGCCACGAATAGCCAAGGCAATACTCAGTCAAAAGAACAATGCAGGAGGTATCACAATACCTGACTTCAAACTATATTACAAAGCAATAACAATAAAAACAGCATGGTACTGGCACAAAAACAGACATGAAGACCAGTGGAACAGAATAGAGGACCAGATATGAAGCCACACAACTATAAGCAACTTATCTTTGACAAAGGAGCTAAAAATATACGATGGAGAAATAGCAGCCTCTTCAACAAAAACTGCTGGGAAAACTGGTTAGCAGTCTGCAAAAAACTGAAACTAGATCCATGTATATCACCCTATACCAAGATTAACTCAAAATGGATCAAGGATCTTAATATCAGACCCAAACTCTTAAGTTGATACAAGAAAGAGTAGGAAATACTCTGGAGTTAGTAGGTATAGGTAAGAACTTTCTCAATGAAACCCCAGCAGCACAGCAACTAAGAGATAGCATAGATAAATGGGACCTCATAAAACTAAAAAGCTTCTGTTCATCAAAAGAAATGGTCTCTAAACTGAAGAGAACACCCACAGAGTGGGAGAAAATATTTGCCAATATACATCAGACAAAGGACTGATAACCAGAATATACAGGGAACTTAAAAAACTAAATTCTCCCAAAACTAATGAACCAATAAAGAAATGGGCAAGTGAACTAAACAGAACTTTCTCAAAAGAAGAAATTCAAATGGCCAGAAAACACATGAAAAAATGCTCACCATCTCTAGCAATAAAGGAAATGCAAATTAAAACCACACTAAGATTCCACCTCACCCCTGTTAGAATAGCCATCATCAGCAACACCACCAACAACAGGTGTTGGCGAGGATGCGGGGAAAAAGGAACCCTCTTACACTGTTGGTGGGAATGTAGACTAGTACAACCACTCTGGAAAAAAATTTGGAGGCTACTTAAAAAGCTGGACATCGATCTACCATTTGATCCAGCAAT